CCCCAGCACACACTCTGGGCTCTGCCCCAAGCCTTGGCTCTCCCCAACCTCCGCCTAATACTTTCCTGAATTAGGGAAGCAGGATACATCCCTCCAGAGAGTGAGAGAGAGCGCATTCCGTTCCATCCACCTCTCTCTGGGGTTTCCATGTGAAGGATGGATGGATTTCTCAGTTGGGTTTGAGGACTCTTAAGTAACGGTGATGGGTTTCTGCGTGTGTCAGACGCCCGGTTGGGCAAAAACAAAATGATAGGTAAGGAACACAGCGAACGTAGAATGGTCCAATTATTCCGGCTTGTTCTGTTGCTCTGTGTGAGTGTGTGTGTGTGTGTGAGTGTGTGTGTGAGTGCGTGTGTGAGTGAATGTGTATGTGTATGTGAGTGTGTGTGAGTGTGTATGTGTGAGTATGTGTGTGTGAGTGTATGTGTATGTAAGCCTGTGAGTGTATGTCTGTGAGCGTGTGAGTGTGTGTGTGTGTGTGAGTGTGTGTATGTGTGTGAGTGTGTGTGTGTGAGCGTGTGTGTGAGCGTGTGAATGTGCGTGTGAGTGTGTGTGTATGTGTGTGTATGTGTGTGTGTGTGAGTGTGTGTGTGTATGTGTGTGTGAGTGTGTGTGAGAGTGTGTGTGAGTGTGTGTGTGTGTGTGAGTGTGCGTGTGAGTGTGTGTATGTGTGTGTGTGTGTGTGTGTGAGTGTGTGTGTGTATGTGTGTGAGCGTGTGAGTGTGTGTGAGTGTGTGTGTGAGCGCGTGTGAGTGTGAGTGTGTGTGTGTATGAGCGTGTGTGAGTGTGAGTGTGTGTGTCCCTTTGCTGAGTGTTGGCTCCCCTTTGTGTGGGCTGTGAAGGCTGAGAAGCTGATGTGGGTTCCTGCAGTGGATGAGGCTCGTGGCTGTAGATCTACAATGAGCTGCAGACAGTACTGCAGAACAATAGCTGCTGATTCCCTCCATCACAGCCACTGTCCTCTCTCACTAGTGTTGAGATATCGTCACCCGTCAAACCGCTGATAAGCAGCTTTCCACCAAATTGACCCGGGCAGAATGAGTCCTTGTTTTTAATCCAGGTAAAAGGTTGCTGAATTCTTAGCCCCTCGAGCAGTGAATGGCTTGCGTAAGACGGCTCTCGGTTAAGCATCAATGTAGCTCTCTTTATAAAGTTAGTTGTTCGTAACTTTACAGTCAGCGTCACCGACGTTTAACGACATACGAAATGATTTATTATGGTTCGAGGTGTAATCGACCGCAGATGTCCAGCAGGCTTTATTGCAATGCACGACATGAAAAGTTCTACCCGTGCACGTGACCATGAGGATATGGTTTCTGCAAGCGGAGATAAGAATTGTGACTCGATGCTGATCGTTGGATAAGATTCCCGTGAGGTTTTATCAATTGTTTTATACAATACCGTCTGTTTTCTGATATCAGGTTATTACCACATGGAGCGGTGAAGATGGATTCGGAGAAGCAGTTGAAAGAAATGAGTACTTTTCTGCTGCAGGTCTGGGTTGCAGGCTATAATTCACGATGGGAAATTGAATATTTTAAGAGTCCGTCTGGTGTTTTAATTTAAAATGAGTTTGTTACATTTCCTTTAGCGTTCTTGGTGCAGCAATAAATGGAACGCGATCTTGTTATTTCACCCACAGACTATACAGTCGATTCACTTTGTACAGTGAAGCGCTTTGAGACGTCTTGAAGACGTGATAAGGCGCTGTATCAAATGCGAGGATTATTATAATTATAGTTAGGGCCAAGTTTCGTCTCTTTCTATTAACAAAATCTGCATCCCAGAATCAGAAGGACAGCAAGTGGGTGTTACGTTACAATTAAAAGGGTATTTATCTCAATTACATTGCGCAGCAATGAAATAGGCTGTTTGGCCCAACCACTCTGTGCCGGTGTTTATACTCCACAAGAGCCTTCACTTATCCCATTCCGCCTTCATATATGCATTGAATATACTCTTAAATAAATTAATGCTTTTCTGCTCCAACCACAGCTTCTGTCAGTCAGTTTCACATTCTTGCCACCTTCTGTTGTTCAGGTTATTTTTAAATCCTGTAATGCAGAGGTTACAAGCGAGCGAGAGGACTCGGGTTTGATTCCCGGGCAGGACGAAACGTTGGGCAAGTTTCCTTACTCCACACACACGCCTCTGTTTACCGGCAGTGAGTAGGAACCCGGTTGTTAGTCAATTGGCAGATCACTGTTCCAGTGGTAATAATCCTTTCAAATAACTAAGTCATTTGGTCACTCAATCCACAGCTGTTTGTGGGGACGCTGCTGTGCGCGATCGGCTGCCGCGTTTCACCCGCAAAATACACTTTGCAGTACATTCCTCGAACGGCTTTGGGACGTCTCGAAGACGTGATAAGGCGCTGTATCAAATGCAAATATTATGATCATCATCATTATTATTATAATAATTAGAATTGGGAATTTTAAAATGGAACCTTTGAGATCCTGACCCAGCTGTGGATTTGCTGGATGATTTACATTCTGAAACAAATGGCAGTTGAGTGCAGTTTTACCCGCAGGTTAAAGCAGTCAGGTAGAGAGCTTTGGCAGTGAGGTTGAAGGATCACTTTGAGCAGCACCAGTAAATGACAAGTCACCGGTCTGCAATAAAGACCTGCCGACACGGCAAAGAACCGAAGTCAGCTGATTGCCACAGTTTTCCTTTTGTTATTTAGTTTACACTAAATAGACAAAACTATATAAAATTGCACCACTTTTTCCCCGAAATACTTCTCGCCATTCCCCACGTGTGGGTAAAGAAAATTGTTGAGAGAAAGTAGTATTTACTAGTTACTACTACTAGTTACTCTAATAGTAATAATACTTGCATTTAATATAGCACCTTATGTTGTTGAGACGTCTAAAAAGCGCTTCACAGAATATACCGTAAAGTGAATTGACTTGTGTTTTGTGGGTGAAACGCGGCAGCCAATTGCGCACAGCAGCGTCCCCACAAACAGCCGTGGATTGAGTGACCAGATTATTATTTTTTGTTAGGGATTATAACCCCGGGAAAGCGATTGACTAACAACCTATTATTATGATTAATAACATCATTATTAACAATAATATTATTAACAGTGTGAATAAATCTTAATGTCCTTGGTGAGCCTATGGATTAACATTTGGGAGTGGTATATATTTCAATTGATATTGCACATTTGTGTATTTTTTCTTTGTCAGTGTCAGGAATAAGTTCTTTGAAGGCCACATTTGTCCAACTGCTGTGCTTGTTTTCTCATTTGAACTCTGGCCGCCTCACGTCTCCCTCATTTCTCTGACTTCAATTTCTCGTGTAAACGCTGGTGTTGGATGGAATGGCCACCACTTTCAATAAGGATTTGTCAACCGTGGTCGGGATGATGGCATTGTCCTGTGTTTTAGCGACAATTACCTCTTGACTCTCAACAGAGAGAAGGAGAGAGGAGGAGCACTGCGGGTCTTACACTTACAAGTGACTTACATCAGCAATCTGGCAGCCGTAGGATTTGGTGACAGTACAGAGGGCAGGTCAGAGAGTAAAGTGCAGACACAGTGGGCAAGTCATTGATTTGCAGGCAATGCAAATTTAATACAACAATTAGCTTGGGCAGAGTGAGCCGTTGGACAAGTTTCCTTACTCCACACGCCTCTGTTTATTTACCAAGCAGTAAGTAGGAACCCAGTTGTTAATCGATTGGCAGATCACTTTTCCGGGGGATAATAATCCCTCAAGATAGACAGGTAGATAAATAAACAAATAAATAAATAAAGCAGCATTGAAACATACTGTATGAGAGAGAGTGAGTGAGAGAGAGAGAGAGAGAGAGAGGGGGGGGTGGGGGGGGGCTGTGCTCATTGCCCAAATTTATACTTCGAAAAAAAATGTCTGATTGCATAACTCTATTCACATTGCTGAAGGTAAGATTCCTGCGATGACTTGGGCTGATTTCAAATTGTACTAATTGATATGAAATGCTCACTTTAATATTCGAAGTTCCACTCCAGCTGATGTACTTTGTTAATCTATTTCTCCACGCATTTCTCAATAGGGTTGAAAGAGTTATGTAATTTTCTAGGCGACAAATTTCATATAACCTGAGGGGCATTGTAAGTTGTGGATCCTTGCTTCTGTGAAACTCATTTCTCTGATAACCTTGTCATTTATTACTGAGGTGGCGGAGGGCATATTATTACCTTTGATGCCTAATAGAAATAGTACAATGATATTTTGGTTGCAATTTAGTAAATGGTAATCATGTTTTGAATAATACGTTTCATATTTTTGTCCAAACCTTCACTATAAGTATTTCAGAGTATTCCGGATTCCGTTTATTAAAGGTGGAATTTGGGCTCAATTGAAAATAATAGGAACATAGGAAGAGGAGGAGACCGTTCAGCCCCTTGAGCCTGTTCCGCCATTCTGTAAGCTCATGGCTGATCTGTTCCAGGTTCCCACTAGTCTTTGGGTCAAAAACTGCCCCTGATTTCACTCCTAAATAGGCTGGCTCTAATTTTAAGGTGATGCCCCCTGTTCTGGATTACCCCCCTTACCCCCACCCCCACCTCCCACCAGGGACAAGAGCTTCTCTGTAGTATTTTTGGTATCATCTGAATTTTGCCCATGGAATAATAGGTGTTGAGATCAAACTCCACACGAGGACTTGAGCTGGATTCCACTATGTATTAATGCCTGTTATCGTGGGACGTGAAATTATTACATTGCAAAAATAATAGATGTTGTATCTTTGCGGTTTGATAAGAATGCGGTAAACATCAGTGCAGATATGTTGCTATGTTGTTTGGCAATCACACTGTACGGAAACAGCAGTGTTAATGACATTTGAGATAGTTTCAAACTGTCACGTTGGCTGAGTGGGTCGCACTCTTGCAAAGGCAAAGCACGCAAAGCCAGAGAGTAATGTAAGATAAAACAATGTAAATATGGAACACGAGCGTCTGTCTGTGCCTTCTCTCACCCGGATCCATCTTATTTTTCTTTCCTAGCGTCTTGTTGAAGCGGCTGAAGATGCACATTTGAAGCACGAGTACAATTCCGATTTGGAGGTAAGAAAATTATCCCTTTGAATTCAGCCTGGCTTTTTCAGCTCACACAGGGGCTGTAATCGTACCCCGATTATCCCGAGGAAGGTGAGAAGGTGAAGACCTGTGAGGTTTGTCACCTGGAAGACGCAGTGTTGGGTGAGATTCCACAGTTTCCAACGCTGACCTGATCTTTCACACAGTTCCGTGTTATCACCATTGGCAGATTGACGGACCTACAGGCTGACAGACCTACAGGCTGACGGACCTACAGGCTGACAGGCCTACAGGCTGACGGGCCTACAGGCTGACGGGCCTACAGGCTGACAGACCTACAGGCTGACGGGCCTACAGGCTGACGGACCTACAGGCTGACAGACCTACAGGCTGACGGACCTACAGGCTGACAGGCCTACAGGCTGACAGGCCTACAGGCTGACAGGCATCAATTGGGATTATCACTGTGATTCCAGCAGCAGAAAGTTCTCGAGAAAGGAACCATTGACTATTAAATATTCTGTGATGAGCAGTGAAGGTTAGCGTGGGTTATGGAGCCATAAGGTGCTTCACTCTCGTGCTTTGTGACAGGATTATTTGACCTCCCTTGTAATGGGTCCAGGTTTAACACAATGCTGGTGAGATAAGTGCTTGTACACGCAATGTTCAACCTCTACACCTCACTACAGGTGTTTATTACATATGATTTCAAATAGATTTTGTAACTAGTACATGATTCATGTCGTACATAAAGCGTGTGGTACATAGACTCATAGAATTACACAGCACAGAAGGAGGCCATTCAGCCCATTGTGTCTGTGCCGGGTCTTTAAATGAGCTTCCAAATCAACCCCACTCCCCCGCTCTCTCCCCATAGCCCTGATCAACCCACTCCCCCACTCTCTTCCCATTGCCCTGATCAACCCCACTCCCCCACTCTCTCCCCATAGCCCTGATCAACCCCACTCCCCCGCTCTCTCCCCACAGTCCTGATCAACCCCACTCCACCACTCTCTCCCCATAGCCCTGATCAACCCCACTCCCCCGCTCTCTCCCCATAGCCCTGATCAACCCCACTCCCCCGCGCTCTCCCCATAGCCCTGATCAACCCCACTCCCCCGCGCTCTCCCCATAACCCTTATCAACCGCACTCCCCCACTCTCTCCCCATAGCCCTGATCAACCCCACTCCCCCACTCTCTCCCCATAGCCCTGATCAACCCCACTCCCCCCGCTCTCTCCCATAGCCCTGATCAACCCCACTCCCCCCCCACCCTGATCAACCCACTCCCCCGCGCTCTTCCCATCGCCCTGATCAACCCCACTCCCCCGCTCTCTTCCCATTGCCCTGCAAACTTGTCCTCCCCAAATAATTATCCCACATCCAGTGGGAAAAAATACACAGAAAAATATAACGTTTAAAATAAAGAAAGGTAAATTTTTTGAAGAGAGACCAGCGAGGTCTTTCACTTCAGGAAACACTGTCGTCTTCAGTCTCTGTGTTGGTCAATCTGCGTCCCTGTAATTGTTCAAACAAAGAGGAGGTACTTGACTGCATGGTACATTCCGTGCTAGATTTTGACAGGTAGTCTGCTGAGATATATTGTTGGCTTTAATTACTTCCATCATATGACTGGCACTGCACACTACGGTCTGAGTGATTATTAGAACAATTTAAAAAGTACTGCAGGTGATGCAATGGAGCGTGTGCGTTCAAAATGTCTGAACAAATCGGTTTTGAAAGTCATTAGAAGGAGAAAGTAATAATTGTAAAGGCTGAGTTTCCAAATGTGATGAACTTAGAAAGGCTTCTTTGTGAAACTTTCCAAAATATGGAGCATTTGAAATACAGTGATTATTCACTTTATAGCAGTTGTACATTTGAGCACCAGTTTAAGTTAAAGATTGGACTGAAAAGCACAACATCGTTTTGCACAGCGTCAGAAATCCTTGACAATTTCTGCTTATTTGCTTTGTTGTTTACAGACTACAAGTCTAATATTATTGGTTTTATTTTAATGCTGACTTTATTCAGTTGCAGTTTCGATGACCTTTCTGTTAATCAGTACTAATGATTTCAGGCATATCTTAAATTATGATGGACAGAGCAGGAGGTAACGCACACCAGACTCATCAATTTGTGCTGAAGTCGTCAAAAAGAGGAAAAAAAGATTGTGTTAATGAATCATTAAAATGGTTCAGTTGGCAACACTCTCGCCTCTGAGTCAGAAGGTGGTGAGTGTAAACTCTGGGGGTGGGGGGAGTTGCATTGTTGGCGGTGGCTTCCTTTAGATGAGGTTGACTGGTTCAGGTGGGTATTAAAAATCCTGTGGCGCTATTCGAAAAGAGAAGAGAGTTTCTCTCCCCTGGTGTCCTGGCCGAGAGTCCCCCAAATTTGACTAAAAACAGTCAAATTACAGTGAAAAGAGATAACGTCTTAAGATGGGTTTTGAAAGTGGGGAGGGACGGGGTGAGTTGAAGGGATATTGGGCATTTTATTATGCTTTCTTTTAAATAGTTCAGGGCCTGAGACACTTGGTTCCAGGGACTGCATTATGAAAGGGTTGTCCTGTTTTGTGCAATAAAGCCACCAACGTTTAATTGACGTTCTACCCTTAACCAGTTAATGTTCGATGTGAGCATTCCTGTTATACCGCTTGCTTTGGGGTGAACTACTCTTAAATTCGATGACTGAACTGACGTTGTTACAAACAATAGATTAAGATGCATTCGTGGCAGATTGTACTGCTGTCTGCAGTTTGAATTGAATTGACGCACAGTGTGTTCAGAAATGTCGGTGGTATGGTAGAACCTCTCCCTTTGATCTTACTTGCCTGTTAAAAAGACAAATGAATGGAAAACCAGCAACGAGTTTTATGAAATATTAACTAGTTTGTAGTTCATGAACTGACCAAGTAGAGCAGCAGGAACATCGATTGCCAGGGTATTAAACAGCCAAATGAACTGTAATAGAGAGAAAAGGAGAAGGAATTAGATAAAAAAGCTGTTAGTTTTTTTGTCTACAAATGCACTCTGTGAATTACACTGACCTATTCCTTGCACTGCGCTCAATGGCACTATGTTACTTATGTAAATGCCCAGTTATAGCCCATTAAGAAAACGTTTTCTCAGTGTTGTCAGGGTTGTGCAGGCTTTTCAATTTGTCCCAGTGGGGTCATGTGAAATGCTGACCCTCTTGATGAGCTGAGATTGAAGTCATTTTCTTTTAGTGCTCAGTGGATCTTCAGTGTAGTCAGCAAACAAAGCCTTATCCTCGTCTCTGGGGAATTCTCAGGTGCGTTATCTCCAAATGCTGTCAGTCTCCTGGGCGGAGGGAAATGATGGTACAAGCGAGCACTGTCGATAGTCGCTGTGCAGCTTACGATACACCATGAACAGCTTTTTCTGCCTGCGGTCCTGGGGTGTTTATGGGATAAAAGCTGTAAGAAAATTGTGGTTCGGGATTTTGATGCAGAAACTCCCACATTTAACACACCATTTTCTGTTGGTTTCCTGGTGAGCGAGTTGCGCAGTGATACCAATTTGTCCGTGTGCATGCTCAGTGTGTAAGCTCGGTGTGTAAGCTCGGTGTGTGAGCTCGGTGTGTAAGAGCTCAGTGTGTAAGAGCTCAGTGTGTAAGAGCTCAGTGTGTAAGAGCTCAGTGTGTAAGAGCTCAGTGTGTAAGAGCTCAGTGTGTAAGAGCTCAGGGTGTAAGAGCTCAGTGTGTAAGGGCTCAGTGTGTAAGAGCTCAGTGTGTAAGCTTGGTGTGTAAGAGCTCAGTGTGTAAGCTCGGTGTGTAAGAGCTCAGTGTGTAAGCTCGGTGTGTAAGAGCTCAGTGTGTAAGAGCTCAGTGTGTAAGAGCTCGGTGTGTAAGAGCTCGGTGTGTAAGAGCACAGTGTGTAAGCTCAGTGTGTAAGCTCAGTGTGTAAGAGCTCAGTGTGTAAGAGCTCAGTGTGTAAGCTCAGTGTGTAAGCTCAGTGTGTAAGAACTCAGTGTGTAAGAGCTCAGTGTGTAAGGGCTCAGTGTGTAAGGGCTCAGTATGTAAGAGCTCAGTGTGTAAGAGCTCAGAGTGTAAGAGCTCAGTGTGTAAGAGCTCGGTGTGTAAGAGCTTGGTGTGTAAGAGCTCAGTGTGTAAGAGCTCAGTGTGTAAGAGCTCGGTGTGTAAGCTCAGTGTGTAAGAGCTCAGGGTGTAAGAGCTCAGTGTGTAAGAGCTCGGTGTGTAAGAGCTCGGTGTGTAAGCCCATCACAGTAATGGATACGAGAGAGAGGTGTTTTAGTACCTGTATCGTCCAATAATCCTCCATTTTAAGTGATGGTTCATCTCTCGTGGCTGGTTTCTGGGGACCTTCCTGACACACACGGTCTCCACAAAATCATCACTGACACCTGACAGTAACGTTTTGTGAAAAAAGTTTGAGACATTTTAACTTGATCTCCTACAAAACCTGCAGTCAATTCACTTTATAGCGTATCCTGTGAAGCTCTTTGAGACGCCTCGAAGACGTGATAAGGCGCTGTATCTAAATGCAAGGATTATTATTATTGTTATTATTATTGATCGGGGGTCGTACAAAAATTCCTTAAACCAAATGCCTTTCTTCCATTTGTCGCTTCTCCCGATGGCACTGATATGTTGACACAAAGCCAGTTCCTCCGTCAGGGTGAGGTGACTCTCTGATATGTCCTGCCCCTATTATGGCACCTTAACAGTTATTTTTTAAAGTGATTTAATTTTACCTTAGTTGATTTACCTCCATGAAACAATTACCAGCACGCAAGGAGGTTTAAATCTCCTGGGCAGGTATTCTCTGAGTTATGTCTTTACCCTTGTACCAGACCTGTGTGCGTCCAATCGGTTGAGAATTGTTCAGCGGGGTTTCAAGGATGAAATTAGCGAGCTGGAGGGGACGTAAAATAGGAATAGGTTATTCCTAACGTTTCTAACTGAACCATGGAGCTGGGAGGCCGTTTATGCGTTTGTGATTCAACGTAAAGAATAAATAGCAAAATGAAATGAAATTAAATTGGAAATCCATCCCGTCAGGGAATTCAGTGAAATGTGAGCATTTCAGTTCCACAATCGGGCCCCAAATTTTTAATCCCTATTGCGCTGTGACATGTTGTCGGTTGGGTGTAAACATATCCCCTAATCACAGCTACCAAATAGATGCTTTGCGCTACATAATAATAATAATCCCTGCATTTGATACAGCGCCTTATCACGTCTTCGAGACGTCTCAGAGCGCTTCACAGGACAGACTGTAAAGGGGAATTTTGTGATACATTAAGTAATTGCCCACAAACGATGGAAAACTAGTTCTGTCCTGCAGTGCCTTGTGTAGTCACAATACACGCCTAAAGAGGACAGAGTGAAAAGCAGCCATTAGTGGGTGATGAAAGGAAAATGGCCTCTGGTATCACAGAACAAAGCTTCGAGTGTGTCTGAGCGCTGCCCAAAGATGGAAGAGAGAAAGCTTTTCTTTGCTTTTATTTATTTCATCCCAAGGACATCAAACAAAACAACTAATCAAGTGTTATTTTGGAGCTATGTTTGTTTAACTCTTGCACTTCGGGTTACAGAACAGATCCTCGGTGTAAGACAACACTGTGTTTATATGTAGTGCCCTCCATGTGGGGAAGCAGCTCAGAATCGCTTCAAGTCCAGTGGTTTCCTTACCCTCTGTTGCTCTATTGAAACGTGACATGTTAAACATGATGTAAAAGGGCAGTTAATTGGAGTTGAGGTACAGATCAGCCATGATCTTATAGACTGGCAGAACAGGCTCGACGGGCTGAATGGCCTCCTCCTGTTCCTGTGTTTCTATGTACGTTGAACGTACCCAAACTGACCTCCAAAGTCCTTGAAAGTAAATCACAATTTTAGATTTATTTTGAACTGTTCTTACTGCTTGAACAATTTGGTAAAGGGATTTGGGAAGAGAGTTCCAGGGGATGGGGCAAAGAGGCTGAAGGCTCGAACCCCAATGGTTCAATTCCAAAAAAACCTTACAATCGACAGGGTTTGAGTTGGTTGCCTTCCACGGCACTGGCTCTAACAGAGCTGAGATTTCAATGGTGTCAATGTTGAGTTTGTTTTGTTCAGCGCAGTTAGAGCATTCCCCTCCAGCTCGCTGCTAATAGCAAGAGCAGCGTTTTGCTAAACTAATTAACTCGCCTGTAAATCGTGGAGAAGCGCATGCAAATGAGCTGAGAATGACACAGTGGCCTCATTCTAATCCCAGAGTGCGCTCTGGGCCACAGGGAAGATTGAATGGTGTCAGAATCCACAACAGCAGCAAACGCAAGCCTCGTTTTATAGAGGATGGGATGAGGGGCCCTCAGAATTGAAGATACTCATCTTCAGAAATGTTCTGTGCAACTTGCTACTGTCCTACAATAATAATAATATTAATCATAATAATCCTCGCATTTGATACCGCACTGTTGGGTTACTTCTCAAACCGTCTTTATGTGTGTAAAATAATCTTCAGACTTCAGGTAGATTTCAAAAGTTCTTCTTTATTACCGCACTGCAAACAGGTTACAGTCCAGGCACACTCTTGTGGTTCGAACAAAGAATACTTGGCACACGTTCCAGATATAGGTATAATGCTCCAATCACAATGCTGTAATTAAGTTTTGTGCCGACCACTCTAATACCACCCCCTTCCAGCTGTCTCTCATATCCCTAACTCCGTCTCTTCCCACTGTCCTAATATGAACTTGTTATTCCGTTACTCTTTCCTGTCTTTGTTCCCCGTCCGTGAGCAGCAATCGGATCCATTCCAGTTTAACCTACTCTATGCTGATTATCACTAACCTGAGCAGTTTTTGTACAAGATCACTATTGGGCATTCAGGCCAGAACTCCTGTTCTCCTTCAAGCACCTTATCATGTCTTTGAGACGTCTCAAAGCGCTTCACAGGATACACTGTAAAGTGTAGTGACTCTATATTTTGTGGGTGAAACGCGGCAGCCAATTGTGCACAGCAGCGTCCCCACAAACAGTCGTGGATTGAGTGACCACATAATTATTTATTTGAAGGGATCATTAGTGCCGGAAAGCGATCTGTCAATCGACTAACAACCAGGTTCCTATTTACTGCTGTGTAAACAGAGACGTGTGGAAACGATAGCCCGTGTGAACACTACGTTATCCCTTCCCCAAACCCCCCTCCCCACAAAAGCCACAAAGACGCTATATAAATGCAAGTTGTTGTTGAAGGAAGAGAATGGGTTTGACAGGGAAGAATTCTCCGTGTCCATTGCGAGTCAGCCACTACATCTCGGATTTTTTTTTCTGTCTGCAAAGAATCCATGAGAGCAGGAAATCCAAGGCCCCCTTTAATCTGCAGTGTAACCTGACGAGATAACAACGTGCTCCGAAAATCCAGTTATGGAAAGTAATTATTGAATGAAGATAGTTATCAAAATTAATCTGCATATTGTCTTATCTTCTTTCAACAGCAACGAGTACCTCACATTTGAACGCTGTGCAGTCCAGTAGCTCAGTGGTTAGAGCACTCGCCTCGCAAACAAGAGGACCTGGGTTCGATTCCCGGGCAGAGCGAAATGTTGGGCAGGTTTCCTTACGCCGTGTGCCTCTGTTTACCCAGCAGTCAGTAGGTTGTTAGTTGATTGGCGGATCACTTTTCCAGGGGTAATAATCCCTTCGAAAAAAAACACTGATCCCATCAATGCTATTAATAATCTGGTCACTCAATCCACGGCTGTTTGTGGGGACACTATTGTGCGCAATCGGCTGCCGCGTTTCGCCCACAAAACATACAGTCAATTCACTTTACAGTGTATCCCGTGAAGCGCTTTGAGACGTCTCGAAGATGCGATCAGGCGCTGTGTCAAATGCCGGGATTATTACTAATAGTAATGTCACAGATGCTTCCACTGATCCCTATTGACTCTAAATGTTAATTTTTTTGACCGTAAGGGAATGTTTGAACGCCGCCCGGTGATTCGGGAGCTCCGCACTGTCGGGTTTTGCTGAAACGGAACGCGGTTTAAAACAGCGACGGTCAACTTCACTCTCTCACCTTTAAATGTCCACGTTTTCTCGATGAGCCGGGTATAAAATGGTGCTGGGCTTTATGGTGCAATCACCAGCGATTAATTGAACTGATGGATGAATTGTCACACGCACGGGGTAATTGATGACTCCATTGTCAGAGTACATGGGCCGTGACGAATGCAGCGGGAGAGAGAGAGCGAGAGAGAGAGAGAAATAGGATAATGTGCCTACAAGTGCTGAAGGTTACCTGGGCTGAAGTCAGCCTGAAAGTCTCTTCGCACTGTAAAGAATGGAAATGACCTGCTGCTGATTACACCTCTGGTTGAGATATTTTGATGAACGACCCACTGAATTTCCTTTCTCACACGGACGCAAGCTCTCTCACCCCTGGTGTTTAAAGCGGAATGGTTCGCACTCGGCGTTTTAGAATAGTATTAATGATACCGATAACAGTAGCAATAATCCTTCCATCTGATATGGTGCTTCATCACGCTTTCGAGACGTCTCAAAGCGTTTCGCAGGATGCGCCGTGAAGTGAATCGACTGTGTGTTTCGGGGGCGAAAATGCCCTTTTTTTTTGTGAAAGGTAATGATGTGTTGAAAGCAGGAGAGAAAGGAGAGTGTTGGAGGGTCTGGGTACGATAAGGCAGCTGTTTTCTGCGCTTGGTACAGACAATCACAATCAATAATAATGTCGCAGCTACTTCCGCTGCTCCTATTTCAGCACACGCGAGATGGGAAGCAGCAAAGCCCGAGACTCTGAAAGGACATTTATAAACATGGAAGTCATTTGATCTGCCGTGGGCTTGAGGTCCTTTGAATCGATCTCCTCTTTTTAACCGGGTCCATCTTTTTTCCTGCGTGATCCCCTTTTCAATGACTTTGCGCGAGTTGGACAGCATTTGCTTGATCAACAAAGCTTTGTGTGTGCGTCGCAATAAATTCATAGAAATACCGGTTTAAGTGCAGACTATCGTAACTGATGCCAAATTGTTCTTGGCTATATCGCGCGGCTGTTCTATCATGGAATGAATCTCCCACACGTTCTCAGCTGTGATAGCCTCCCGCACAGACCTCCTTGTTATCTCCAGACGCGTTTATCTCGAGAACCAGACATTGTTTTCAACAGAGATAAGGAGAAATTGGTGACTGTGACTCTACCAGGCCGTTATTTTCCCCCACTATTTACAACTGGGCATTCATCTCATTTTATGCAGAGACTGGAAGGTGAAAAGCAAATGGTACAGACCAGAGTGGAGGTAGTGTAATGACACATCTTATTGCCATCGTACTACATTAGCAGAGAGCGTAATTGCGGCAAGGTCTATACTTCACACTGTACATTTCTGGCCAAAGGATTTATTACCCTTTAGTAATACTCTGTGGAATAAATTTAATTGCTGCTAAATTGTGTTCATGCTATGTCCCATGGCACTATTTGCTACGTTGCTAAAATAGCACCGTATTGTACTGCACCCTTGCAATTGTGGTGAACAAACTTTCTGTGTAGCTATAAATCAGTTGCCCTCAGACTTGGCTCTAGTGATGAGGCACAGTGAGCAGTGGAGGCCACATTGACAACATGGTGAACACTTTTGGGCTACACTACCTTCAAAAGTGTCAGACCGGCTCAGTTGGTACCTCATTATTTCTTTTGTCTTCCTTTCCCCGCTCCCTTCTCTGTTAGTCCTTACAAACCGTTCCCTTCCAACATTCCCCGGGTCTCACGAAAGGTCATCGACCTGAAACGTTCACCCACTTTCCTCTCTCCATAGGTGCTGCCTGACCTGAACTGATGAGTGTTCCCAGCGAAGTCTGTTTTTATTTTAGATTTCCAGCAGTATTTCTGCAGTGTTTTTTACCTTGTGTTTCGCATTCCAGGAGTGAAGACATTTTGGCTTAAAGTATCGTGTGGATATGCCTCAAATTGATTATCTCTTGAAATTTGTTTCTCTTCTGACCATGGCATGTATTTCCTTTTCAGTACGAATACTTCAACGCTGTTCTAATCAATGAAAAGGAGGAAGATGGCAACTATGTGGAACTTGGGAAGGAGTTTATTTTGGAACCTAATGAGCATTTTAATAACTTGCCAGTTAACCTCAGCTTAAGTGACGTGCAAGTCCCCACCAACATGTACAACAAAGGTAGGTCGGAGAGTTTCCAATATCCCTATTTACTTTGCCAGTGTTGAAGGGGACGTTCTCCTGACGTGAAAGGCGCTTTACAAATGTTATTTTGTTGTTGTTATAGTTAGTATTCTGTCTTGTAGAGGTTCACCAAGCAGTAAGTGAAAGTGGAGTGGTTAGAGCACTCGCCTCACAAGCGAGAGGACTTGGGTTTGATTCCTGGGGAGGTCAGGGCAAAAAGTTGGGCAAGTTTCCTTACTCCACACACAGGCCTCTGTTTACCAGCAGTAAGTAGGAACCTGGTTATTAGTCGATTGGCGGATCGCTTTTCCAGGGATAATAATCCCTTCCTGTAATAAATTGGTCACTCAACCCACGGCTGTTTGTGGCGACGCTGCTGTGCGCAATTGGCTGCCACGATTGGCCCACAAACTATACAGTCAATTCACTTTACAGTGTATTCTGTGAAGCGCTTTGAGACGACTCGAAGACGTTTTATTTTCCTTTTGGAATAGAGGAAGCCACAAGCTACAAGGAGGTCACTTTCTAAAAAAAAAGCAATTAGGGATACAATCAGCTCAGGAAATAACGAATTTAACTGGTCAAAATCTCATTTATTTTTATGACTCATTTATTACTTGTTATATTATTTAACCACACTCTGGTAGTGTCACTAAGCGTTTGTCCGCCTGACTGTGGGAACAATTGTAAACAGCTGGAGGATACTTTTGACATTATAAAAATTACTGACAGTGGTTAGGAAATCCCAGAATTTCTTTTTAACGACTTATTCCTTACGTCGTTATGCATTTGCCACATTCCCTGGAATTCTTGTCCAGCATTTGACTTACATTCGTGCAAACCACGCATCAAAAGGTCAAATGAGATTGAAAAAGTAATATACTGGAGACCTATGGCTCAGTGGTTATAGCGCTCGCCTCGCAAGCAAGAGGACCTGGGTTTGATTCCCGGGCAGGGAGAAAGATAAGGCGAGTTTCCTTACTGCTCACACCTTTGTTTACCAGCAGTACAGTGGGAGCCCGGCTGTTAGTCGTTTCTCGGATCGCTTTTCCAGAGTTAATAATCCCTATAAATAAATAAATAAATTAAATAAATAAAAATAATCATTTGGTCCCTCAATCCACGACTGTTTGTGGGACACTGCTGCTAATGCAATTGGGGACATTAATGTAAATGCGTTACATTCACCCCAAAAAAGAGATAATGATAATAATAATAATCCTCGCATTTGACACAGCGCCTCATCACATCTTCATCTTCGAGACGTCTCAAAGCGCTTCGCAGGATACGCTGTAAAGTGAATTCACTGTGTATTTTGTGGGCGAAACGTAGCAGCCAATTGCGCACAGCAGCGTCCCCACAGACAGTCGTTCCTTTAAAGTGGAGTAGACTGTAGTCGATGTAAGATAAGACGTGATGAGGCGCTATATCAAAATGCAAGGATGATTATTATTGTGATTATATATATATATTACACTTTTGACTTGATCTTATCCCATTCCTGATAACATTATAAGTTGGGTTGACACACTGCGATTGTATAAGTAATGTTTGTGTTGGGCAGTATGTATGTAAAGGGTAGTTCCGGAGATACTGACATTTAAATGATTTGACTTGAATCAGTTCTGGTTGACGGGTAAAGTACGTTGAAACATTGTTCCACGTAGAACCCAAATCACTGGAACTTGTCACTTGCTGTGAAGTAAATAGCCAGTAAGATTGAGGTGTCAAAACTAAAGATTTGAAGAGAATCGATTTGCGCTGTATAAATAACAGTCAGAAATTACCATGTTGACAAATTGCAACTTTTGTCAGAAACCTTTCCTCTTCGCTTAATTGTCTGATTCCGCGGCTCTGTCTCTCGCACTTGCCTTGTACTCAGCAGATTTATGGACTGAAGGTTTGCCGTGCAGCTCACAGCACACACAGCCACGTATCACACACACACACACGCACACACATATATATTATGTTTATATATATTTAACGCTGTTTTATCTGACGTGCTGAAGCAAAAATATTCCCATCACGTTTCCAGTCTGCTGTAGCAATCCCACCATTACATCTCGGAGGGTTAATCATTTCATATAAAGGATCACCGATTGACAAGTCATGTTTTTTAGCTTCAACCTTGCTTCAGCTGTCTGTGTGTATTATGTCGGCGCCGGCACTGTAACCAGCGACAGGATATACTGCAAGGTAGCGTTCCGCAAAAAAAAAAAAACGGTCCCCAAAGAAAAGCTTATAGGATTAGGAGGAGCTTGTTTGTGTGCAGAACAAAATGAACTGTCACTATTGACTAACTGAGTGCTAAGCGATTCTTGTGATAAAGTGGAATCCAGGTGTAGGAAGGCAGAACCCATTTATAGCTCTGCGGAAAATTACTCATTTTATGACACTCACACGGACCACATCACTCACCATCTCTTCCCTGGTAAAATGCGGAGAAACGTCTTCGCTCCCACTTACGGCACAGAATTCTGCTCTGGATCCTTGTGGCTCGATCTTTATAGAATAGAATACGTCGTTCAGTAAAACCGTGGGGTCTCGTACGGCAAGTTTTAATTTGTGAGAAACCCCTATTTGTCGTTTATAATATAGCAATAATAATAATAATTTGGTCACTCAATCCACGACTGTTTGCGGGGACGCCGCTGTGCGCGATTGTCTGCCATGTTTTGCCCATAAAACATACAGTCAATGCACTTGACAGTCTATTCTGTGAAACGCTTTGAGACATCTCGACGATGTGATAAGGCGCTGCATCAAATGCAATGATTACTGTTATTATTATTATTAATTTATAGTCCCAAGTTTCACTGGAGGCACAGTCATTTCTTTTTGAGTTTCATAATGACACAGATCTTGTGAAGAAAGATGTAATATAAACTAAATATTTCTGCTAAAGTGTCAATTTCCTGACTCGCTCACATAGAAAGGAAGGGATTAACTAAAAATATTTCCAAACTGGATAAGCTTGTCTTGACTGCGTTAAAATCAGACATTTTGACCAAATGATATTCATAGGCCCCATAACTAGCTCATTTAAGAGTGGCTGTGGCTCATCAAATTTCATCGCAGTCGAAAGCGAGGAAGATAATCTGCGGAAGCCTCGCTCGGTGTTGAAGGATTTTCTGATTGCTACGCATATTTGCTCGGGTTCTAGGCATTGCATCTCATTGCTTTCCACCAGCTTGAAATTACATCGATATCAAATCATATAAATGGGAACATCAAATCATTTTTGACATAAATTGACACGGCAATAACTTTATCACCCATCGCACGACCAAAGGTGCACTTTTCTAATATGTTATCCATGTCGATGGCCAGAGTAATGATTGACATCCGTCTTTAAGCCCAGCTCCTCTGGTACCGTTTCACAGCAATCATTTTGTGCTGAGATTAAATGGAAACATTTGGACTATTAATTCTTATTGTACAGACATGGCAGGTTTGACTCCTAGTCCCATTTGTTCACCTTCCAATGCAAACACCTAACATTTAATAAACCTTTGATTCGGTGAGCTGCTGCACTGGAATATGAACGCGTGCATTCAATGCTTCCTGAGCAAAACGCTCAAAAGCTGGGTTTGAAACCGAAATGAAAACTATATATTATTTTCCGTTTTGTGCAGTAGATTCCTACGAAACTCTGGAACTCCCTCCCTCCCTCCCTCCCTCCCTCCCTCCGCAACCTTGCCCCTTCCTTGCGCCTGAAGACCTTTCTCTTTGAGCAGTGCCTACGCTCACCTCCCGTCCTCCCCCCGGCTCGCCTCGTGCTCCGACACTGTCAAGCGCTCTGGGACGCTGCCCTGTGTAGACACAAGTTGTTGTTGTGAAGGACTGACTCGATTTGCTGATATTTACAGCTGTAAACCCGGCCCCTTGGCTTTCGCTGCACGGCTGAATCCTAGCACTAAAAGCCGGGCTTCCGTTTACCCAGGAATGTCTCAGTGCTGCCACTTGCCCCCCTCCGACCACACATTGTCCTGACTTTCTGTCCGCGCCCTGTGACAACGGTGAAACTGATGATGGGCTGTACACCAGAGCGGTACAGACACGCACAGCAATATTCTATCTTCCTGGGAAGGTCTGCCATCGTTTTATAAAGTGCAGGTCCAAACCCAAAACCCAGGCAGCCCAAATTAGGCACTTGGTGAGTAATAATAATAATAATACTATAATAATAATCCTTGCATTTGATATAGCGCTTTTCAAGTTTTTGAGGCGTCTCAAAGCGCTTCACAGGATATACTGTGAAGTGAATTGACTGTATATTTGAGTAGCAGCAAATGGACCAACTCCAACCCAGTGATTTAGAGTTGGTTCCATGTCTATCTTTGAGCAAATAAAGTGCCAGGAGGTCAGGGGGTCCCGCAACATTTCAAGCAGATCAATGTCAGTAAAAACACAGGACCTTCTAGGACAGCTAGGTAAAACCAGGTTAATTATTATAATAATAATAATCCTTGCGATTGATGCAGCGCCTTATCATTCCTGTGAGACGTTTCAAAGCGCTTCACAGAATATACTGTAAAGTGAATTAACTGTATATTTTTGTGTATGGATTGAAGCGATTATCTCCCATTATTATTACTATTAGAGTCAGTCCCATGAATGGGTTAAAAAAAATGCAGCAGTGAAACAAGCTCACACACAGCCATACAAGATTTTGGGCCCTTTCGGCTCTCAAACTGAACGCCACTTGAATTTTCGGGGGAAAAAAAACACGAGTTGGGTGTCTTACAGCAAACCAATCCAATTTAATGCTTCACTGGTCGTGTGTCAGACGCAGTCAGTCTGTATCTACGTATCCGAATGGATTGGTTCAAAAAACGGCAGCTCAAGTATAAATTTAATAGTGTTTCTTTGGTTTATTAAATTATGTAATGACCCTTAAAATTATAAAGGATCAATCCTCAGGAAAGATACATATTTACTGATCATCTCTCGGCTCTGGCCCAGTTATTTTAATGCTGTGTGAATAATACTACTACTACTAATAGTAATCATAATAATAATAATAGTCCTTGCATTTGATACAGCGCCTTTAGACGTCTTCGAGACGTCTCAAAGCGCTTCGCAGAACAGACCGTAAAGTGAATGGACTGCATATTTTGTGGGTGAAACACGGCAACCAATTGCGCACAGCAGCAGTGTGGATTGAGCGACCAAATTATTTGAAAAAAAAACATTTTGGAGGGTTTATTAGCCCCGGAAAACCTCTCCGTCTGCACCACAACAGAGCATTTGTTCATTCTTATCTTTCAGATCCCAATATCGTAAATGGAGTTTATTGGTCTGAATCCTTAAACAAAGTTTTTCTCGACAATTTTGAACGAGACCCTTCTCTGACGTGGCAGTATTTTGGGAGCGCCAATGGATTTTTCAGAGGATATCCAGGTATAAAAGATTAGTTCAAGCGTTGCTTATTGTACGTGTGTTATAGCAGCAGAATCTCCTCCTTGCCACTCTCCAATCATTATTCTTCGCTGTCCTTTCTCCCGCTTTTCGCGGTGTTATTTCCTTTCACACATTAATGCGAAAACTATCTCGGTATATTTGACAGCGCTCGTTTTCCTCAAACCATTACTGTTCAGATAGAGCCGGAATGAGAGAGAAACTCGTTTTTTTCTTTGTCGTTTGTTTAAAATGACCTGATTGCTTGCTTTGGAAATAGGTATAAAATGGCAACCGGACGAAAATGGAGTCATTGCGTTTGACTGCAGAAACCGCAAGTGGTAAATCATAGTTTTACTTTTTTTTTAAACATTTCCAGAAGTGTAGTTTGTGGGGAGGGCGGCTGTGCGAAACGTTGGGCAAGTTTCCTTACTCCCCACACACACAGACAGACACACACAGACATACCACACACACACAGACAGACACACACACAGACAGACACACACACACACAGACAGACACACACACACACACACACACACAGACACACACCACACACAGACAAACTCACACAGACACACACACATATTTACTCCTGTTTACCCACCAGTCAGTAGGAACCCGGTTGTTAGCCAGTTGGTGGATCGCTTTTCCTGGGGTAATAATCCCTCAAAAAAAATGTGGCGGCTCAGTCCACGGCTGTTTGTGGGGACGCTGCCGTGCGCAGTTGTCAGTTTGCTCTACGGTATATCCTGTGAAGCGCTTTGCGACGCCTGGCAGACGTGATGAGGCGCTGTATCAAATTATTATTATATGATGCTGTGGTAGTTCCTCTCTCTCTCTCTCTCTCGTGTTCAGGTATATTCAGGCGGCCACTTCACCTAAAGATGTGGTGATTTTAGTGGACGTCAGCGGCAGCATGAAAGGCCTGCGCATGACAATAGCCAAGCAAACCGTCTCCTCCATCCTCGACACGCTGGGAGATGACGACTTTTTCAATATTATCGCAGTAAGTATTGGTGTCTGGAAGTTGATGCCCTGCAGACTGTACCACGCAATGCTGGTCAAAGAGATTTGAAGAGAGATGAGTACTGATGGTGTGTGTGTGATGACGAGAGACTCTCCTTGTTCTCTAGGTTTATTTACTTCAGCAAAATACACGGATAAACTTCCCAAACGTTAACTACCCTGCCGGGTCTTTGAGAGAGTGTACTTAGGGAGAGGTTACTCTCGCTGGGTGGTACATTTTGTGTTAAATAAAGCTTAATAAATTCCAATAATCTTTTCTTCCCTTAGTACAGCGAGGAGCTTCGCTACGTGGAACCGTGTTTAAACGGCACAATGGTACAAGCAGACCGAAATAATAAAGAGGTAAGATAGTGACCCTGGGGTAGTTATAGTTATGAAATATAATAATAATAATCATCCTTGCATTTGATACAGCATCTTATCACGTCTTTGAGACTCTCAAAGCGCTTCACAGAATATACTGTAAAGTAATTGACTGGATATTTTTTATAGATTATCAACACAAATTACAGTAAGCATCACTTACTTACAGAATGTCGTCGTCTTTGAAATGTTGGTTGATTTGGAAAGCACCAGATAAAGGAATTATCTAATTGTCTTAGATGATACAGGACTGCGGAATACATGGGAAATTAGTGTGTGTCACAGCAATGAAAATCAGAGCATAATTCAAACCTAATCTTCGTGAAGCAAAATATTAATTTAATTCAGCCAAATGTTCCAGATGGACACCCGTGAGATGCTCTGCTTCAAACTTGTTTCTGATTCGTCAGAATCCACAGTGGAATAAAATTCCTCTGGTTAGACATACTTGTTGTTTTTAACCATCTACGACACAAGGTACAGGTGTGATAGACTGTCTGTCAATGACTTTGCTGACGGTAATTGATTAGTTATAAACTATGAAGAATGGGGGAGCGTCTGTGAGAACAGATTAACCAGACTGTGTATGTGTGTCACTTTCAACTAAGTTCTTTAAGTGCCTGCCTTACCTGGCTGGGTCACGCGGTTTTTACTATCGATCATATTATTTAGTTAGTTATTATCAAATATACAAAGGCCTTGTGCTTTCCTGGTTAAACTGGTGACTTCGAAGCCACACAGTTGTGTTGAAACAGCAATAAATTAGCTGGGAACAAAGTCTTCAAATTACAGCACATTCACTCTCTCCTTTATTGATGTTCTTTATATTCTAACCTGGTGCACAGAAAATTAGATTTTCTCCCACAGTCGATATCCATCCCACAAAGCTAGTCAAGTCATCAACTGACTGATAAGATGTGAAAGGTCCCACTTGCTGCCTCAATGGCTCTTTAATGGTTCATGATTTCTTATTTATTATCTTTGCCGAGCTTTCCCTAATGCCACTATTTTGATATATATTTAGTCCAAAACAGTTAAGAGTAAGACTGCAATGTATAATGCATCAGTTGCATTGCTGCTTTCAGGCTGAATGCATGAAAGAGAATGTGATAGACATACAGAACAAGTTATCAAGGGGAATAAAAGCCAAACACTTTTGCTTTTGCCCTTAATGTTAGCTTAATGTTGACGACTGTTTGTGGGGGCGCTGCTGTGCGCAATTGGCTGCCGGGTTTCACCCACAAAATACACAGTCACTACACATTACAGTATATCCTGTGAAGCGCTTTGAGACGTCTCCAAGACATGCTAAGGCGCTGTATCAATTGCAAGGATTATTAGCATTTGAGATCTTTTACATGAAAAGTAAAATGTTTGTTGTTGGTACGAATGTTGACATAGTGAGATGAAAACAGCCACTGAATTAAAATCTCCTCGGCTACAAGCTTTTACTTAGCTTTTTGTCTTGTCCAGTATTGGTGACATCAAAGCTGAAGTAAGAGGCAATCTACTAATCAGCGTGCAAAATGTGATGGGAGCTACGGGCTCAGATCTGCTCCCTCATCGCTGCCTCATACACTGAGAGACAGCCTTTAACTGGAGCTCCCCTTTGCTGCTGTAATTATGTCGGCTGTTCAGCTATCTGGAGCAGCAATGTGAAGCTCATTTCATTTCTAATCTGCTTAGAAGTTGTTTGAACTGTTGCATTTTAACTTATGTGTTTAGTTCGAAACACACGAGTGCTATCATGTCAGATCTGTTTACCGGCAATAACTAGAAACCCGGCTGTTAGTCAATTGGTGGATCGCTTTTCCGGGGGTAATAATCCCTTTTTAAAATAATAATAATAATAATAACGCGGTCACTCAATCCACGACTGCTTATGGGACGCTGCTGTGTGTGTTTGGCTGCCGTCTTTTGTCCACAAAGCATACAACCACTAGACTTTACAGCCTATCCTGTGAAGCGCTTTGAGACGCCTCGATTAGACGTGATAAGGAGCTACATCAAATGCCAGGATTATTATATTATACGGTATCTGTAGAAGCGTAAGCGAACTCATTCTGTTACTGCCATAAGACGTGCAGCAGTTATCGCTGAATGAAACCTGGGGACTTTTGAAAAGTAAATTGGAGTGATTTTTGCTTATTGTTAGGAAATGCGAGGATCGGAAAGGTTCCCAAACCCTAACATAAAGCTGCCTTGACAAATCGGATGCCCAGTACATTGTAACCAGGGTTTAAGCACTTTTATTAGGTCATGATCTACAGACAAACGTCTGTCATCGGTTTCTCCAAAGAAATTTAATTCCACTTTTCCAAGGCCGACGTATTAAAAATGAATTAGTCTCAGAAAAGTTCCTATATTGGCGCCCGATGTATTACAATATTATCGAAATTGTTTTGAGGCCCAGGTTTCCTTCAGTCGTACAGATGGCTCCAGTCTCCACTCTTACCCATGTTTGCCTCAGGTGTAGCCTCCAACAACAGTACTGTCAGCTGTCAGAGCATCTGCTCCTGTGACTCATAGATATAAGACAATCGTTAGATCAAAAGGCACTGTGCACTACAGCTGCACCGGTTTCAATGGACAATTATAATAATCATAATAACAACAATAATAATCCTTGCATTTGATCTCAAAGCGCTTCACAGGATACACCGTAAAGCATAGTGACTGTGTACTCTGTGGGTCTTTTTCTAAAGGTGAACCAGTCTCGTAAACTATATTTCTAATGATTTACATATTTTGTCTCATCCTATTTTGCATTGTCGCTCTGCGTGCTTTCCAGTGGCTTTATCTCCGATTTATTTTCATAGTTTGATGTCACGTAGCAGTAGAGGCGTGTTCAAAATATAACATGAAGAGAAAATAACTGCGGGGAGAGATTTACAATGAGGTTGTCAGGTTCAGAGTTAAACTACTGAAGAGTTAATAGCTATAATTTGCGCAGCATCTGCTTACAGATGAATGTGTGTTTATGAACTGAACTGTGTATTAATCATGATTCTGTGAAATGTTCAGTCTATCCAAAGATAGCGTCTTTCCTTTCAAATCGAAACAATAGCACAAGAATAGTCAGAACATCGGGTTAAAATGCTGTTTATAATTTTTAACAGTTTTGGAAAATAAAGTATATAATTTCACCCAAAGTTGCAAGTTATTAATAAGTACAATAACTATTAGCATTGCACAGTGCCACGATGCATTTCACTTTTTATGCCGTCAGGAAAACCTCATTAGGATTCTGTGATGATTCAAAGGGGGAACTTTACCTTTATCTGAAATGCTTTTAATATAATTTCGTCTGAATAAGTGTCCTCTTTAGAATCGGATGGTAATTTTGTAAAGTAGCATTGACTGACATATAAGAAGTCACTTTCTTTCTTCGAAAACATGGTAGGACTCTATTGTGATGTGCGAAGACATACTTAATGACTTTTTTTTTATATAGCTCACTGCCTTTGATTCCATTAATTCCGTAGCAGTTTGCAAGTCACACAGTGATTATCATTGGAAGCCACTGGAAACTCAAGTCTCTTCACATGATATTTATGCTTTGATTTTGGACGACTGAGGCTCCTCAAAAGTCTAAACAATTCAGACTAAGGATGCGAATGCTGAGCTGTGTGATTACACGACTGAATGTCAGGCTTTGACCCTCCTGTAGAAAACAGGCTCATCTCAACAAGTGGGGTCTGAGGGTAGATGTTGAACGTACCATGGGTCACGTTGGCTGCAAATGCTCTTTAGATTCCTAAGTGAGATGCATCCGAGCACAAGTTACAGTGCATTAAAGGGCTTCTCTAAATATAGATTTCCCCCAGGCATGCTGCCTCTTGATGATGGCTGTCCAGTTACTGATTCCCCATTAAATATTTAATGCAAGAAAGGAACTCACCTCAGCACCAAGTGATGTGAAGTAATTCACCCTTACAGGATTGCTGATGCTGTTCTCCCTCCTACAGCATAGCTCAACCCATTGAAGTGCAAGACCTTGTCACGTCTTACCTTCCTGTGACTCCTAACCGACCACGGTGTGCCAATAGCTGCAGCGCATCCATTTCCTGAGGGGACATCTCAAAACTCCCGGTATCAATAACGCTGCTCGCAAACCTCCCGACCCCTCGCCCTCTTCCATCCACAGACTGCGAGGAAGGACGGCTTCAGCAAATGTGCTGAGACAATAAAAGTCCATCTCTTCGATAATCCTTCTCAAATTGAGAGCCGAGTTTCTTTTTTTTTCTGTCTCGGCCTTGACAAGCCACGGTTCTTGCAGAGAGTGAACTCGTTCTTCAGAACTAGGAATCAAGGTAGCTCTTCACCGTCACGCATAATCTGAAATAGAAAACAGAAGTCGCTGGGAACACGCAGCAGATCAGGTCAGGCAGCATCTATGGAGAGAGCGAGAGAGAGAGAGGAACATGGGTTACTTTCAGGTTGATGACTGGACGAAAGGTCGTCGATCTGAAACGTGAACTCACTTTCCTCTCGGCTTAGCTGCTGCCTGACCTGACCGGCTCAGTGTTCCCAGCCACTTCTGTTTTTATTTCAGATTTCCAGTCTCGACAGTATTTTGCCTTTTGATCACAGATACTCTGGTCTCTTGTATCTAAACGTTAGAACTTAAGTTTTGATTCCAGATCAACACGTTTAATCTCCTCTGTAGCTCTTTAACCTCTACCTTAGCCAACTTTACGTTCTTCTTGTGATCATCCAGTGGGTTAAATAAGCTTCTCACTATCTACTTTTCTTAGATACTCAAAGATACTTAAGGAGGAATGGGGTGAAAGTAGATAACTGCAGTGTAGGAACGATATGCAGGCTAATCCACGATGAGCCAAATGGCTTCTTGTGCTGTGAACATTGTACCATGTAAAATGAAGAATGCAGATTTTGAAGCGATATGAAGCCTAAAATAGTTTCCCAATAGTACATCAGGAAAGACAAAACACTCCTGTTTGGAAAAGCATTTGCAAGATGATCCCAACCATCAGATCACGGTCCAGATTTCCCTCCACACCAACCTCCTGCTGCTGTCGGAGCAGTTACTGTGGAGCTATTTTCAGATGTTTGGATGTTTTGTCTTTAGACATTATTTCCTGCTGTTCTCCCCGAGTCCATCATGTCCCATGTTTAACTACATAAGCTGGATTTCTGCCTGTGGAGATTTAAAGCATCCAATCAAATGGGGATTGACTTTAATCTTCATGTGCAATTGTCACCTGAAGACATGAGCTACACAAACCGCAGACAGTGATGGTATGTGCATATGTACACAAGCCCATTGTGGTGTGGAGTTGTATATTACATGTATATATGTATGTATATATGTATATGTATATACACTGGGGACTCAATACAGAAATGGGAAGAAACACTTCTGGACGGCAAAGCCACTTTATCACTTTGGTGATGATCACTGGGTCACACACCTAAATACTCAGCCATTTTCGCTGAAACAACCCCAAATTAGAGAACCTAAAGCAGCCGCAAGTCACGCATTGAATTTAACTGTAAGATCACACGCAAGATTTATTCTTCTTATTTTTTGTATCAGGCGGAAAAGGATTCTTAAGTAGCCATGGAATTGTAACTAATGTTTACTCAGAACAACTAATAATAATAATCCTTGCATTTGATGCAGTGCCTGATAACACCTGCGAGACGCCTCAAAGCGCGTGGAATGTAATGCCAGTTCACATTATGTTGGGGAGGTGGCACTGGTCTTGTTACCGCTACAGAGTATGTTTGGGTGAACACTCATCACATTCAGAATCACAAATCATTAATTCACTCGCGCTGCAAACTGACACAGCAGCATCTGCTCTGGGAAACACCCACAGGCTCCAAGAACGGCCTCATGGCCACAATTCAAAGTGCCCGAGTTTTATTTTCTAAATATTTTACAGCGCGCCCGTGTTTGTCAAGAGTATCAAACGCTATCAGACGTGTCCTCGCTGAAGCAAAACATTCCAGCGTGTGCTTTTCTGTTCATATTGAGGAAAAAAACACGCCTTGTCTTCCTATTTCGACTGGTTTGATGCGGACTGAATAGACTCGCTATCTGCTATCTCCTCTGCTGTCCATTATTTAAGCATGAAAGCTTTCATCCAGGAGCTCAGCCGCGCTGGAGAACACGATGTACACGGAAGCTGATTTTAAAAAAAAAACTTTGAAAAATTATTTTTTTTATTAACCATGTCAGCTTTTCCTGACTTCCACGCCTCAATCTCCCAACCGTTCCTTTGTGAATTAAAATGCCATGTATGTAAACGCGCACGGATGCAATTAATATCTCCCCTTGCTTACGATGAGCCTGTGTGAATAACAGGGCGGAACTTGTTGGTTTATTAATTACCATTTAAAGTTTGGGCACAATCGAGACGTCTCAAAGCGCTTCGCAGGATATACCTGTGCTGTAAAGTGAACTTACTTTGTGGGCGAATATGTAAATGTGTGTGCACGAAGATTAGAGAATTGTACAGGGCTACTTTTGGCCGTTGTGTGGCACTTTGCTTTGAAGAATGTTCGGGAAGAAACTGTTGGCTGATCAGTGCTTTTGTGCATTCTGTTGCTTTGAGTGCCCCATGTACGCAGCACTCACATGCAGTCTGTCATTACAGTATAATTATCATGTGGCCCATAGTGGTGGTTGTCATAGCAGCGAGGTAAGTGCCTCAAAAGGTTGCTATTTATTGAGAAGCCCACGATTCACGGTGTATACTCGCATTCCAAACGTTGCAGCATAAAATAATAATAACTGGTACTCTCTCGCGCGCTCTCCCTCTCTCTGTCTCTCCCTCCACCAAAAAAAAAAGGCTGTGGTTTATGGCTGGATCCATTCACGCTGTCCAGACTGAGATGGACAGATATTTGTGAGGTCAGGGGATCGAGGGATATGGGGCAAAGAGCGGGCAATTGGAGTTGAGGTACAGATCAGCTAAGATCTTACAGACAGGCTCGAGGGGCTGAATGGCCTCCTTACCCTAATCACGTCTCCTGCCTCTTCCAATGGGATGCCAATTCTCAGCTATTTGCTCATTTTTATGAACTTACTCATAATTTTTTTTAAAAAAAGTTTACATATCAAAAAAAACCGAGCAGAATAAAGGGTGTCTTGGCGAATCACTTTTGCCTACGGAACACACAGTCACTACACGTCACGGTAAAATCTGTGGAGTCCTGTAGCTCAGTGGTTGGAGCACTCGCCTTGCAAGCGGGACACCTGGGTTCAGTTCCAGACAGGGCGAAACCTCGGGCAAGTTTCCTTACTCCACACAGAGCCTAATAATGATCCCTCCAAAACAAAACAATAATAAATCCACTTTACAGTCTATTCTGTGAAGCGCTTTGAGGCGTCGAGAAGACATGAAAAGCGCGATATCAAATCCAAGGATTATTATTATTTTTATTATCTTGGGAGACATCCTTTATTCTTATTTGAGTGAGTGTATAAATGTCTCATTCGCTGTAGTAGGGTTTTGTCATCAGATTTGAGCGAAGATTCCACAACCTGCGTGCCAAGCTTTCCAGCTGATTCAGGGAACGTGCAATAAAATTCTAGTTGAATGACATTATAATAATAATCACCAGTCTGCTTGGAATCCCCCGTATTCCCTCTAGTGGTAAATTTAGGTCAGGTCACTATAAACAAAAGAGTTATGATTTTTACATAAATTTCCTGCAGATATTGAGCTTGATCAGCAAATCCTATCTGTAAATTTACAGTATTTTGGGAGGGGGTGAGAAAATAATCGGGAAAATTCCTTAATAGTCGGGTGGGACTGATGGTGGGAAACTTGCCTGGCTTATTACTGTAAAATGGTTGCTTTTTTAGGGAAAAAATCTTATTTCAACTGGTGTGGTGGCTAATCAAATACCCTCCTGTTTGGTTTTCCCAACAACTATGATAATGTCAGTGAGATCGGGGAAATAGATAAAGAACTCTGTGACTCCCATTGTTCGCCAATGGATAAAACGCATCTTGTTATAATAATCATTTGGTCACTTCAGCCTTCAGCTCCCCTCTCGACTCTCTACCCCCTCCTCGCTCCCTCCCTTCCCTCCCCTCACCCTGACCATTTCCCCCCTCCTCGCTCCCTCCCTTCCCTCCCCTCACCCTGACCATTTCCCCCTCCTCGCTCCCTCCCTTCCCTCCCCTCACCCTGACCATTTCCCCCCTCCTCGATCCCTCCCTTCCCTCCCCTCACCCTGACCATTTCCCCACTGCTCGGGTCCCGACCCAACTGTCCAGCGCCTTGGGACGTCCTCCCGACGTGAAAGGCGCTCTATAAATGCAATCATGTTGTTGTTGTCTTATTGTTGCATCAAATGCAAGGATTATTATTGATATTATTATAATTCCAAGGTTGCATGATCCGATTACATTCTTCTGATGTGGACAAGATCTTGGGTCTTGCGTGACACCACAAAAATGACCCTGTTTGAGGTTCTAACAGTGAGCAAGAAAAGGAGATGTCACGAAAGAAAGATAAAAGGAGAGATTGATCAGGGCAGACATCACAGAGAGGAATGATTCATCAAGATGCCTGAGAGAGAGAGTTGTAGAACAGCGAACAGAAAGAGCCAAGGTCAGTTGAAAAAGAGAGAGCAAGCTAGCAAGCAAACCCACCCAGGATCTAGATCAGAAAGGAAGACAATGGAGATAGGCAGATGGGTTTAATGTGGTGAATATTGTCGGAGGAAACATCAAACACCTGCATCATGACGGAATTTCTCTTACCAAAGGTTTTTTTTTATATTTAAAAAAAAGCTTTGGCTTTGATTTATTGATCATGCGTTGAGCATTTCCAGTCAATCTGAAACTTGTGTCAATGAAGCTAATAAATTATTCTTCTGCATATTCTCGTTTCCCAATTGGCTGCCACGGTTCTCTCATAAAATATACAGTCAAATTCACTTTGCAGTCTATTCTGTGAAGCACTCAAAGACGTGATAAGGTACTATATCAAATGCAATGATTATTATTATCATTATTATTATTATTAATGTGTTATAGACAATAGATGTTTTTCCTTGAGAAACAAGCTGATTGTTTGAAAGGCACTGTGTATACGTGATGAAAGGTGTGTCAGTCCAGGGGAGATGCAACGGTCGCTGATCTGGAAAAACGACTTTCAGAGAGCAGATATTGCAATTAATTCAACTGGACTTCTCCAGCTGCTTCCTAATTCTGTACATCTCTCAACGGGCTGTGGGAATATTCCCTCTGTTACTGGGGCTGAGTGCGATGGTGCTGTTGGGAGATATGAACAAATCTCGGCTGGAGTATACCTGGTAACCTTAAAAGCTCAGTGTAACATGTCTGGTCACAGGAAGGGATTATAGTGCAGGAACTCCCAGCCAAGGCCCTGATGATGGATAGTCAGTTGCTGGAAGTAAATGATGGCACTTAGAAAGGCATAGTACAAATTGTCTAGTGTTGGCTTTCCTGCTTACACATTAAGATAAACTTAAACTGGACGGTTTTTGCCTTCGGGCAGATCTCAGCAATGGGTGGCGTTAATTGAGTTTACCAGCTTACCGTAAACATTTAAAAGGCATTCCGTCCACAATGTCAGGCTCTCGGCTGTAACATTATCTCAGCTCGGAGCTACAGGACCTCAGTACAAGCCGTTTCTGAGCTGCACTAGACATTCTTTTATGTTATCGGCATTTGGTGCAGCAGGTACCCCATTATAACAAGAACTACATGGCTTCTGAGACTCACCTTATAATAACAACAATGCTAATAAAAATAATAATAAGCCTTACATTTCATACAGCGCCTTATCACATCGCCAAGACGTCTCAAAGCGCTTCACAGAATACACTGTACCGCAAAGCGAGTTGACTGTATTTTTTTTATCTGGGCGAAAAAGGAATTAACGCTATGTCAATTTTTTTTTCTGCCTCCAACAGCATTTCAGACAACATCTCGACAGTCTGAATGCAAAGGGAATCGGAATGCTAGGCTTGGCTTTGACCGAGGCCTTCAACCTTCTAAATGAGGTAAGTGGCCTATTCGTATTTGGTGAATGTTAATGCTTAGGTTTAAGTCAAATAACAGTGGAGCAGCCTGGCCCTGAAAGGCAGCAGTGAAGACGGTACAGTTTGTCCCAGGTTGCATGGCATTGAGTCATCTCTCAGGTGGGTGAGTTTCATCATCTCTTAATAATAATAATAATAATAATCTTGCACTGTTACCACCCACTGCCCGATACAGGAGCAGCCTTGAAAGCAAGGGGAGGTCCGATTGCAAATACATTTACTGGAGTATCTGAGATGGTGAGTGGTTACTGAGTCAGGTAAAACGAGATGAATAGCAATCAATTTAGGAACATAAGAACAGGAGGAGGCCATTCAATCCCCTCAAGCCTGTTCCACCATTCTGTTATATCGTGTCTAATCGGTACCTCGACTCCCAATTAATTTGAAGACTGGGTATTGGTGGACATTGCAGTGATCATAACAGAGAATGACAGGGAAGCCTTCTGTTGGCATTTCCAGGCAGGTCTACGCGCGTTTCTATTGAGAAAGTACAAAAGTGAATTGCAGGTCTTCTGGGCAGCAGGAATATCAAATTCCATTGCATTTTATTATACGAGAGATGAAGTACCATTAGAAGCTCACGTGTTCAGCTTACTGAGACAAGAATATTCTTTATTAACAGAGCTTGGCTCATTTTATGTTATAAATAGAATCGTACACCAGGATGTGCTGTAAAAGCATTACTTTACGGTTTTCCAGGCTGCATCACATTGCAAATGTTGTTATATTTCGTCTACTTCCAGCTGCCAAATATAGAAACTATCTATAGTCTCAAAACATGCTTGAGACGTAATTAATATTGCATTGTGTGTTATCAATTATTCATTGTTGTACAATTTTAATATCAATGACCAGTTAGTCTCTCCATTTCGCTTGTTTATGGCAATGACTAGGCAAATTACGCGAGCTAATGTAGTACAAAATAGCTTACGGTTAGTGTTAGAGTTAACAACAACAACAGCAACTTGTATTGCTGTCCTGTAGCTCAGTGGTTAGAGCACTCGCTTCGCAAGCGAGAGGACCCGGGTTCTATTCCCAGGCAGGACAGGGCGAAACGCTGGGCAAGTTTCCTCACTCCACACACACGCCTCTGTTTATCAGCAGTGAGTAGGAACCCGGTTGTTAGTTGATTGGACGATCGCTTTTCTGGGGATAATAACCCCCTTCAAAAAAAATAATAATAATTAGGCCACTAGATCCATGAATGTTTGTGGGGACGCTGCTGTGTGCAACTGACTGCCACGTTTCACCCACACAATACACAGTCAGCTCACTTTGCAGTGTATCCTGTGAAGCGCTTTGAGACGTCTGGAAGACGTGATAAGGCTCTGTGTAAAATGCCGGGAGTATTATTATTATTATAAAAGCATTGAAGCCAATGATTCCCTTTCACCGCTGTGACTGAGATCAGCTTGCTCAGAGCAGAACAGGGATGGGACCAATCTGGCTGTACAGTGCAACTCAGTATTGTGTCAAGTGTTGCATTTAACCCACTGAACCACAAGGGGAAGCCCTGACAACTTAAATGAGGAATATCTCGACACAAGCAGCGAGCACTAATGCTTTTCCATCGGCACCATCACATCGCGTTGTATAAATAGAACAAAAAGGTTACAATAAATATTTAATATCAAGCGATGCATAATCCATGAATCATGCACCTAAAAATACACTCCCTGCTGATCGGCCGCTTTCTGCTTTGTAACTTTGGTTTTTCAAGTTGCGTTATTAAAAAAAAGCAGTAAATAATGCATTACACAGTTCGCATCATGGACTTCTCTCACAGGCTTAAGATAGAGACTGAACACTCTGATGAGGGCGAAATCTTAAGGCAAGTTTCCTCTCGTTTACCAGCAGTCAGTAAGAACCTGGTTGTTAGTCGATTGGCGGATCCCATTTCCGGGGATAATAATCCCTTCAAACCAAAATAATAAATTTTTAAAAATTTGGTCGCTCAACCCACGTCTGTTTGTGGGGACGCTGCTGTGCGCCATTGGCTGCCGCGTTTCACCCACAAAATATACAGTCAATTCACTTTACAGTCTATTCTGTGAAGCGCTTTGAGACGTCTCGAAGACGTGATAAGGCGCTGCATCAAATGCAACTATTATTATTATTATTAAGGGTGCAGTAATATCAGGGCATTCGGTTTAGTAAACAGCAGAGTGAGTTCACTTTTGGGGTTACATTGCAGCTTCGTGGTTTGGAATCAGCTGAGGAACCATGAGAAGGGAAATCAAGGCTGTTTGTGTTGGTGTAAATCATAAAGTACCTACTAATTCCTCCAGAAAAGACAGGGGTTCAAGCACGCTGGAGCCTTACTGCACCCAGCGACAACTGCAATTATCTTCTCGCAAATGAATTGAGTCTCACCAGTGATTAAGCCATTTTTTCCAGTTCTTAAAGCAAATTAAATCAAATTCTTTGACATTTGAATGACTGGTAATCACAATAAAGACTTTAAATGTCAGAACGCATTGAAATCTTGGTGCCAAAATGATAAATCATTAGGAGCTAATTATAGTTCATCACTAAAACGCTTGTCGTTTGGCATTTATATTGTAAACACGTTCAGTCTCCTCGAGCGATTGAAAGACGATTGGAGATACAGACATACACACTTACACGCACACACTCACACGCATACACACACTACACACACACACACACACACACATATATATATATATAGGAGAAATCTCAGCCATTGGAGGCGGCATTTTATTTATAATATTTATAATATTTTCAAACACAAGTTAGATTTTGTTTTGGATTAGATTAAAAATAACTTATTATTAATAATAATAACACTTGATATGCATTTGATATAGCGACTTATCACGTCTGGGAGACATCTCAAAGTGCTTCACAGGATAAACTGTACAGTGAATTGCTTGTGTAGCTTGTGGGCGAAACAATTGCAGCCAATTGCGCACAGAAGCGTCCCACAAACAATCTGAGCCGATGGTTAAAACAATTCAAATCGTTGTTTTTTATTCCCCTTCTTTAAAATATATTTTTTTAAAATCTGCTCTGGAACGTGCTATTGTAGGCAAACCTGTGACACTGCATTACTGCCACCTGGAGGGTTAGCTACAGACCACACCAAACCCAATCCAACCGTCATTCCCTGCAGGAGCATTATCATGGAATCCTACAGCACAGGAGGAGGCCATTCAGCCCATCAAGCCTGTACAGTCTCTTTGATAGAGCTACCAACTAGTCCCCACACTCCTCCCCCGCTCTTACCCCACGTAGTCCCCATTCCCCCCGCTCTTACCCCAACTAGTCCCCACTCCCCCGCTCTTACCCCAAGTAGTCCCCAATCCCCCCACCCCCGCTCTTACCCCAACTAGCCCCCACTTCTCCGCTCTTACCCCAACTAGCCCGCACTCCCCTGCTCTTACCCCAACTAGCCCCCACTTCCCCGCTCTTACCCCAACTAGCCCGCACTCCCCTGCTCTTACCCCAACTAGCCCCCACTCCCCCCACCCCTTACCCCAACTTGTCCACACTCCCCCGTTTTTACTCCGAACAGTCCCACTCCCCAGCCCTGCTCTTACCCCAAGTCCTGCAAAATCTTCCTTTCTGTGTCCCTATCTAATTCCCTTTGGAAATGGCTTTGAGACGTCTCGAAGACGTGATAAGGCGCTACATCAAATGCAAGGATTATTATTATAATTATTATGGTGTTATTATTAGTATAGTGTTGATATTATTATAATAGTTATTATTATAATTATTGGAGAAACGTTGTCACTGTGACTTTTCTCTGCTTTGCCCAGATTAACCGCACAGCACACGGCAGTACATGTAGCCAAGCCATCATGCTGGTGACTGATGGAGCGGTGGACACTTACGACACGATATTTGCAAAATACAACTGGCCAGACAGGAAGGTAAGATATAATCCTTTCACTTCAGAGTTTACCATCGACGTTCCTCCTGACTGCGCCGAGTTTGTTCTTTATTGAGAATGTGAAGAACGTCTTCTAGTTGTACTTCAAAGAGCAAGTTGTGGTCAGACCTTAATAATAATGATAATAATAATCCCTGCATTTGATATAGCGCCTTATCACATCTTCGGGGACATCCCAAAGCGCTTCACAGAACATACTGTTTAGTGTAGTGTCTGTGTGTTTTGCGGGCAAAACGCGACAGCCAACTGCGCCCAGCGACATCCCACAAACACTCGTGGATTGAGTTAAGGCCACAACTCTATGGGCTTCATTTCAAAATGTTCTACGTCTGCCTGCTCGCTCTCACCGTTCGTCAATAGAGCGAACACTGGCCTTTGACGGCTGAAAACCTGCAGTCAAGGTCAAATGGTGAAGATTAACACGCTCGTGTCATAGTTGACCAGATTCATCTTTGATGCAAAAATTCCCGTCAAATCCCGGCAGTGCTTTTTGCTGACAAGTGTTTCCATCAGCAATCCCTGTAACTCAATTGTGCCGGTTGAGTGGACACGTCAGCAAGTCTTGGAGAGTTGATGGGACTATTTTACTGTAGGATTAAAGCAACCTCTACCAATATATATGAGGTTTGCTCCTGTCGACCACATCATTGTAAAAAAAAGGTCAACACTGCAGTGCAGAGAAGCCTAAAGGACGGGATGTTAGTTTGCATTTATTTTACAACCGTCAACCCATTGTTCAGACGCTAATACAATACAAGGCTCCGCTCAGCATTTAAAATATAGTTTAACGCGCAAGTTAAACCCTGTGCTGAAACCAACTGCGGTCATTGTTGCAGCTATTGTGCGTGTGCTCAAGTGTTTGTGATCGAGTTGAAAGAGTGGCAAGGTGCCATGTCCTTAAATCCATTGTAAGGAACGGAATAAGCGGAGTTGATTTGTTTCTCTGCCTTTTTTCAGGGACTTTTGTAAAAGGGTCATTTAGTGAGGGTCGAGCAGATTTGAGGATAAGAGTGAAAAATTGTGCATGGACACTTTTCACTGCTTTGTAATTGGGGTTTGAAAGATTGCAATGGGGAGGACGCTGAGACAACCAGTTTTATCAGGTACTGAAGCTGCTCCTCATTCTAATTATAGATTAATTGCCCAACTTTAACTTAAGGTAATGAATGCTTTGATTTCTCCGACACAAACATTCTTTGGAGGGTATTAATGTGTGCATTCACCAGTCAAGGAGATTTAAGAAACATTTGTGTTGGTTTTTTGGGCAAATTATCACAGGAATAATGAGCTTAAATTAACCGGGGAAATGATTGTTTGTTGGGTCGTGCTTTTCATTAAGTTAGGTGATTTAGCAGCGACTATCTTTTCCAGAGTAAAAGAGTTTACTGCTCATAAATATTCACATTTCTAAGGGATTTCTGTTTTTATTTCCGAGAAGGAAATTATGCATTAATGTACCCACAATTCACTTTACAGTGTATCCTGTGAAGCGCTTTGGGACGTCTCGACGACATGATAAGGCGCTGCATCAAATGCAAAGATTTTTATTATTATTTAAAAATGTTGACTTGAACATATGTAGGTGGTTACAGGTCAATAGGTTGACTGGAATACTGGGAGAGCAGTGTCATGGGTTCTTTAACGTCAACGTGAAATGGCAGATGGGATCTCAGCTTAATGTCTCGACCACTTCTGACAATGCAACACTCCCCCAGCAAAGCACTGAAGTGTCAGCCCACACAGAACCTCAAGCCACAACCAGCCCAGAGTGCTGCCAACCGAGCCAGGCCGACACACATAATCATAGGAGAGAAATTAAGCACAAAAAAGATAGGAAGAGAGAAAGAGGGAGTAGGGAGAGCGTGAGGGAGGGAGTAAAATGTTCAAAGGATTTATGCAGAACGGATTAACAGAAATGCCCAGAGATATTATCCTGCGTAGAAATGTAATGAGAGCATCCTGCAAAAAGGAATAAAGTATTGCTTTTGATCATCTCAAAAGTCTGGGAGAGGATGTGGTGATCAGACAGTCGGTCGTTCATTCAAACCTGTACGTCAGGGAATAATATATATCCTCAAAGAAATGCACAGGAAGGAAATGATCATAAAGTGTTTGGAGTTGACTGACTGACTGACTGACAGTGCAGGAGTGTTTACTGTCACTGTGTGTCTGTAAATCGAGTATGATGTACCCACTCAAGCAAGGCTGGAGCAATGTTCTGACCCAGTACGTTTAAAAGCAGGGTTTGAAATCATGGCAGCACATTGAAAACTTACATCTCCAAGTCATGGAGTCCTGGAGCTCAGTGGTTAGAGCACTCGCCTCGCAAGTGAGGTTCGATTCCCGGGCAGGATTGGGCAAGTTTCCTCACTCCACACGCACGCCTCTGTTACCCAGCTGTAAGCAAGAACCAATTATTAGCCGACTGGAGGATCGCTTTCCCGGGGGTAATAATCCCTTACAATTTTTAAAAAAAATAAAAATAAATTTGGTCACTCAACAGTGATTTGTGTGAAGCGCTTTCAGACGTCTCGAAGATGTGATAAGGCGCCGTATCTAATGCAAGGATTATTATCATTAAAATGAGGAATTTTAGGGGGAGGTAAGTAGCGATGCAGGTTTACACCCCCAATGGATTTGCACTGCACAAGGGGAGGGGAGGCTGTTAAAATACTAAATAAAGCCAGTTTCGGTTTCAGTCTCTTTCCCTCGGCCATTTGTAATGATCTTGCGACTGACTGAGTTTGAACGTGGGTTTCAGATGATGTTTGAACATGCTTTTCCTCATCGATCAGGGTTCATGGCTTCTTGGTCAGACTGCTGTGCAGCACAACGGTGTCAATGTCAGAGGGGAGGGCGAGCTATTGTGTTCAGCACCAATCCCTCCACCACACTCTCTCATTCACACTCACACTCTCACACACTCACTCACGCACTCTCACTCTCACACACACTCACACACTCACTCTCACACATACTCACACACAATCACACACTCTCACTCACACACACTCTCACCCACTCACGCACACACAGACTCACTCACTCACTCACTCACACACACTCTCACTCACACACACTCACAATCTCACTCACACTCTCACTCACACACACTCACACACACTCACACACACACACTCACAATCTCACTCACACTCTCACTCACACACACTCTCACCCACTCACGCACTCACACACTCACTCTCGCACACTCTCACACACTCACGCGCACACAAACTCACTCACACACTCACTCACACACACACACACACGCTCTCACTCACACACACTCTCACACACACACGCACACACACACTCACTCACACACACTCTCACACAAACACACACACACACTCTCACACTCACACAGTCACAAACTCTCACACACACACTCTCACACACTCACTCACATGCACACTCACAAACTCACACTGACATACTCACACACACTCACACACGTATATATATACACACACACATATATATACACACATACACTCACACCCGCACCAAAGAGCACTATTTACTAGCCCAGCACAACACTGACAACGGAAAGGCCCACTTTTTTCTGCTCCCTCAGCAATAAGTTGGCACTGCAGTTTTACTTAGATCTGATATCTCAATCGATTGATGCCACATTGATTAAAAAACAAGCTCAGCAAGTATCTTGGTAAGACTATAGAGACAGGTGCTGACAGAGAGGGGCAAAACAGCTCGCTTCCCCTTTCCAGTATTGTCATGAGATCCTTAAAATGCTCCGGATTGTTCGTCAAAATCTTGGCTTTAATATTTCACGCGAGAGGCAATGGCTCTGCCGGTGGCTGTGCTTCCAGCCGCTATACCCTGAAACTCTGGAACTCTCTCTCTCTATCTGTCCCTCCGCCTTGCCTCTTCCTTTCCCCATCTTCAGCAGAGGGCGAAACCTTGGGCAAGTTTCCTTACTCCACACAGAGCCTAATAATAATCCCTCCAAAACCAAAAACAATAACAAATTGGTCATTTTCAATCCACGACGGTTTGTGGGACATTGCTGTGCGCGATTGGCTGCCGCGTTCGCCCACAAATATACAGTCAATTCACTTTACAGTGTGTTCTGTGAAGCGCTTTGGGACGTCCTCTCGACGTGAAAAGCGCTATATCAAATGCAAGGATTATTATTATTATTATTCAGATCGCGCCTGATGTACCAACAGGTTAGAGATCCTCGTGTATTACAGTAAACATGAAAGGGCCTTAAAGCCATAGGCTGAATTTTTGTTTGGCAAGATATTTAGCCATCGTTCAAACCATCAGGAAAATGGTACACAGTCATTTATGTCACATAAAAAACAGGCCATCGCACATCTTTATAGCTGGGTATCGATCTTAACCTTCATAAATCCTAATGTCTTACAGTCTGAGATTTGAGGAGTTTATTAATCTACATCCTCCCTACCATCATGTTCATTAAATATGGATTTTCTTCCTGTATCTATTGTAATGAACCTATTAGGATTGAAGACCGATAGCCTTCGCTGCGAGTGATTATTTCCTCATGAACTTCGAGGACCTTACAGGCTGCTTATGTCTCATAATAGTCTCTACAGCAGTTTACACCCTAATAAATCAGGCGAGCGTTGCTGAGGCTCTCCCAGTAGTAATGAATCCTTCTGTTGCCTTTTCCAGTTCAGAGACACAAATAATGAAGCCAAACTGCCCCATCTGGCCATTCAATAGGATTGTGTTCCTCTGTGAGCAAAATCAAGGCACTGCAGGGAGCAGCTTATTCAAGCGTGACAGAGGTCACTCCATAGCAGGAGTGAATGATCGCAGTGAGAGATGTGACTGGCAGTAACAAATGAAGCTGTTTATAGGCTTTTATCATTGAAATTGCTTTTATTAGTTGTGCTGTCAGTTTTTTTTTAGTTTTCAAGGTGTCTGTCGCCTTCATTTCTCTCTCAGTCCCTTTATATTGCAATGTAACTCCTGGCGAATGTCTTTTTGCATTAGCTTTTATGATTCATTTGCTGTTTATTCTCGTTCGAGTTCTGTTTATTTAAGCCTCCTTTCCCACCTTTCCTGACATGTAAACAAAAATTGCCAAATATCTCCGCACAATTTTAAAAGTTGGTCAAAACAATTGTTTCAGTCAGGAACTTGCTTTGCCCTAAAGCCATCGGCTGAATCTTTGTTTGGCAAGATATTTAGCCATCGTTCAATTTGCCAAATTTTATGAAGCTAGATCTATGATAATAATAATAATAATAATAATCCTGGCATTTGACACAGCGCCTCATCACATCATCGAGACGTCTCAAAGCGCTTCACGGGATACACTGTAAAGTGAGTCGACTGTGTATGTGTTGTGGGCGAATCGCGGCAGCCAATTGTGCACAGGCTTGAAAAATGTTGTCTCCATTCTGCTGCTGCTATCGCACACATTCCTTCCTGACACATTCTCCCCTCCTCCCCCCACCCTCCCCCCTCACTGCACACATCACGAAAGATGAAGCGCGCGTGTGTGTGACAAGCACAATCTAACATTTACACTGCAGGAAGCATGGGCTGGCTCTATTCTCACCTGCTCGCTGGTGTGTGTGATACATTGTCATCTCTTAGGCGATTGCACAGGGCTTTGAAGACTGGATGTCAGTTGTGTGTGTGTGTGTGCGCGAGTGTGTGTGTGTGTGTGTGTCTGTCTGTACTGTACACGATAGCTGATAGAGAACGCAACTCTTATTTTGGATTTTCTAAACCACAAACGTGCTATGTCAGTGACGCCTCCCACCACGTCCGTAACCGCTCAGAGCAAGGAATTGACTGGAGACCAGTGGCAACTGGAACTCAGGCTGACATTGTCCTCCTTAACCTCAACGTTGAGGCCAATTTAACCTCCCCTCCCTCCCTCCCTCCCTCCTTCACTCACTCACTCCCCCCATCCCCTCAGCTCCCCACCCCCCCACCCCTATCGTTGACCCAGCAATGATCAACTGACGAGGCAGAGACATGAAATCGAAGCTTGAATTAAACCAGGAACATAACGAGAGCAATAAATAATATTTCAGCGCATGCTCAGTACACAAGCTCAGTTCAGCTCAGTCACAAAAGTTCAGTGTGTGTGTGTGTGTATGTGTGTGCGTGTGTATGAGTGTGCGTGTGTGTGTGTGTGCGTGCATGTGTGTGCGTGTGTGCCAGTTCGACAGAAACCGATTTTGGATCTGCCTGCCTAAAGAATTTCAGTTCCAAGGTAAATAAGGAAGCGATTATCCTATTGTCAATTGTGAGGGACATTTGTGTGTGTGCGCGGGTATTCGAATAAATCTAAATAGAAACGGGAACAGCTGTATCCCCTGAAACCATTCTGTACCGAGCAGCTGTGAATCCATCTCTGGATGCATTCGCGTGTTCTCTCTGCCAACGCAAAGCCGATCCCAGCTGGAATATTTCAAGCACGTATTAATTGGCGGAAAAATCTGAGGTAAAACAGACCAGGTCTCTTCTGAGTTCTATTCCACACGGCTGATCCGAACAGCCCACAACAATCGCTGTGGTTTCAAGGGGGCCGTAATATTTTAATAATCCAAAGTATGTAAATTCTATTTATTTATGGGCAATTTGGGAACAGCTTAATTCAAAACAATTCGGTTTTTTTTTCTCTCTCTCTCGTACGAGGGCCGATGATGAAGATTAATGCAAGATCTCGGGAGACTTCTCTCCAGTGATTTGTAGGTGGAATGGAGTTAACTGTTCACTTCGGGGTTAATTATAAACCCGGCGTTTAGGCAATAGTCACGTCTTTCTACCATTGAGCATTAATCGGGCTTGAGGACAAGACGGAGATTTCTTTCACTTCTGTCACATACATAAAGTGTTATTAAAGCTCTTGTGTTACTGTTGCCGGAGAATGCCTTGGGTCCTTTACGTTTCTGGAGGACAGGTTTTTGTTTAGGACGTACAGGACGTATATAACGTATAACGATGATTATTTCCACTTGTCAATTGTCAGTTCTTGAGGTCCTTTTTTTTTTCCTGCTGTGGATTAGAGCTACGCACAGTTCACTGTATATTTTTCGCTGCCTGTACCTGTGAAACGAGCATTGACATAAGTAAAAGGACAGTTAACGAGGATGTCTGTGAAGCGCTGTGAGACGTCTCGAAGACGTGATAAGGCGCTGTATCAAATGCAAGGATTAATATTATTATTATATATATATAAAGGAAAGCTCCCAAATGCTGATGGTAACTCTGAGTTAATGGAGACAGTGTCTGGTGCTATAGTGGTGCAGGAGAATGATTCACGTTTTGCTCTGAAACAGCAACAATTCCAAATGTTTCTGAGTTGCAACAAAACCGAATGAATTAAATGAATTTGCAGCGGTGAAACATTTGGTAGGAATAACTCTGCCAATTCCCCCCCCGATGTCACACCTTCAAGCGCTCTGGGACACTACCCTGTGGGAGGGATGCTATACAAATGTAGAGTTGTTCTTTTAGTAGTAGTAGTTGTTGTGAGCCGATGCCCTCAGGATTGCCTCTGCCACTGGTATTCCTTTACCCAAGAACATTAGTTACTTTTTAACAGGGCAATTGGATCCAGTTCTGTTCACACACTCACACACACACATACACACTCACACACATACTCATACACACACACATTCACACACACTCACATATACACACTCACACACATACACATACTCACATACATACACACTCTCACACACACACACACATTCACACACTCACATATACACACTCATACACATACACATACTCACACACATACTGACACTCTCACATACACACACACATTCACATACTCACATACTCACACACATACACACATACACTCACATACACACACTCACACACACGCACTTACACACACACACACTCACTCACTCACCCACATACACAGAGCCTTCAAGTAATAAAGTCCATTCGCAGCCCTTTGAGTTTTGATATGTATTACACAAGCCCCAGTTTCCTTTGATCCGTTCTAAGTATTTTGTTTTAAGTATTTTTTAAACAAAGGGCTGTTTCTTCCGACCAGATGTCTATTTACGTTTTTAGATCATTTAGTTTGTGCCAAATGTTTACCAAAATATTATAATGAACTTAAGGTTTGTAAATCCACAATCATTGATGGTTTCCGGGCCCCAGTCCTCTGTAGTGGTGCAGCCCTCCTCAATGGTCTTATAGTCACCACCCATCCCCACCCCACCCCCACCCCCAGGCTCCGCTACTGTTAAGTGCTCTGAGACGCTACCCTGGTGGAGGGCGTTATATAAGGGCAAGTTGTCGTCGTCGTTGTTTGCACACAGTCACGCTGCTGCGCACAGTATGTTTGCAGTTGCTGTCGTATCTATTGATAAAAACACGTTGAATGTTTCGCAACAACAACAAATGACAGTTGTATTGAACGTTTCTCACCAGGAGCTCGCCCCAAAGCCCTGGACAGTCAGGGATCCAGGAAATCAGACCTCGACTGAATGATGAAAGAGTCGTGTTTAAGTCCTGTAAATAATGTGGACCATATTTCTCATAATCCTTCGGGAACAAAGATCCCTTTTACTGAATTACCGTTGCAGAATAGCGCTGCAGAAATAATTTTTATAGGATTCTTTTCAACTGAAGTTTACTCAAGCAAAGGCTGGAACCACTGGAACTCATTCAGACACAGATACACCCACAATACACACACACACACACAATACACACACAATAGACACACATACGCAATACACACACACCACATATCCACACACAATACACACACACACACACCACACATACAATACACACATACACACACACACCACACATACAATACACCACATACACACACGCACACACACAAACACAGAGGACATTTGAGTTGATATCAGAATGAAAGACATTACTGCTGGGAGATGGAGTTAGGGTGGAGTTGTTTTCTAGTCAGATTCCAAGTTGCCAGAGAGGACCAACACTGCATTAAGTATGATTGTTTTTCCCATTTCCTACCCTTAACCATCCTCCATTACTTACTGAAGATTAGCAATTTGTGCGCACGTCAGCGCACACAGGGATCTTGGTTTGTGAGCGTAAACCCATTGTGTGTAAGACCTTTATAATCAGGAGAGAGAGGAGAGAGTTTGACTGTGTCAGCCTCGTTCGTTCATTGATTCAACTCACGTCTAAAACACAGTTAGGTCCAACCTGTAAATCTGCCTTCAAATGCCAGCCTCTTTGTGGAGGCGCGAGGCACAGAGAAACTACAGGAACCAAAGTAGGGAAGAAAATACATTTCGCCCACAACACATACAGTCACAGAACCAGAATTATACAGCAAAGAAGGAGGCCGGTTGGCCCATCGTATCTGTGCCGGTCAATTCACTTTACAGTGTCTCCTGTGAAGGGCTTTGAAACGTCTGGAAGACGTGATAAGGCGCTGTATCAAATGCACGGATTATTATTATTATTATTAACAGATGTAAAAGGCTAAAAGGTGTGTTTGTGCTTCTGTCCAGGTGCGTATCTTCACTTACCTAATTGGACGAGAGGCTGCATTCGCGGACAACCTCAAGTGGATGGCCTGTGTGAACAAAGGTTTGTCTCTGATTGTCACACGGAGAATAAATAACAAGTGACTTGTTCAGCGACAATGCAGAAACTCTTCTACTTTCACCGTGAAAGTCACACATGTTAGTAACCAGAGCGTTACCAATGATTCTCTTCCTGTATGAGAGTTTCACCTGCAGTGTGCAATCTGGCATGATTGTGCTGTATGTAGAGTCCTGTAGCTCAGTGGTTAGAGCTCTCGCCTCGCAAGCGAGAGGTCCTGGGTTCGATTCCCGGGCAGAGCGAAACGTTGGGCAAGTTTCCTTACACACACGCCTGTTTACCAGCAGTAAGTAGCAACCTGCTTCTTAGTCAATTGGTGGATGGCTTTTCTGGGGGGTAATAATCCCTTGAAAGATATAATAATACTAATTTGGTCTCTTCAATCCACGACTGTTTTTGGGGACGCTGCTGTGTGCAATTGGCTGCCGCGTTTCGCCCACAAAATATACAGTCAACTCACTTTACAGTGTATCCTGGAAAGCGTTTTGAGACGTCTCGAAGCCGTGATGAGGCACTGTGTCAAATGCAAAGATTATTCTTATTCTTATTATGTCGGCTATCACATAGAACAGCCACACGTTGTCTGCTTTGTATCAGTGCGAGCAGGACTACAGCAAATCCAAGCTGGGCGGAATATCTTTACTTCCCTAGTTATTTCACTCTTACCTAGGGCTGAGGAGAGCTTATGGATCAGCGTCTAAGCACATGGGCTAACGAACGAGAGGTTTTAATATTTGGATCTTAAACAAAGAATCTAAGAGACAATTTGAGTAACTGAAAGCAAATCATTTGAAAAGTGACGCGTCGTATGATATGTCGCGTCAGTGGACAATGATTTGAATTTCCACTCTTATGAATTTCCCAAACGCAAACTGTATAACTCAACATAAAAGTCTCAGAAAAATTGATGACGGGTATTTTGATGCAAAATTTCCATTGACATTATACAGATGTTTAATTGTAGGCTTAATAGCAACGATGATTGCTTCTGAGCTGCTTGGACTGTGAATGCGTTATGCCAAGGAAGTCAATCGGCCTGGAATGTATAATATGTGCCTGTGAGATTAGATATGCATTCTGAAATGTTGCTTTATTCGCCTTTAGGGGAGGCAGAAAGAAACTTTTAAGTACTCACTTAAATGGGTGTTTGGCTTGAGTCCCTGAGAAAGTGGCTTGCAGGTAACCAGCGGAAGCAACTGGCTCAATGGGCTGAACGGTCTATTGTTTTCTCGCGCATTTTCTTATGTAGAATTTCGCAGTGAATCACACAGCCACCAAGCAGGGAATAAAGAGTCAGAAACTTAGCCTTTAAATAGTTCTTAAACAACTCCACCACAATAATAATAACAGTAGTAGTAATAATCCTTGCATATTATACAGCGCCTTAGGACATCTTCGAGACGTCTCAAAGCGCTTCACAGAATCTCCTGTAAAGTGAATTGATTGTATATTTTGTGGGCGAAACGTGGCAGCCAATTGCGCACAACAGCGTCCGACAAACAGCCGTGGGTTGAGTGACCAAATTATAATGATTATTTTTTACATAGTCAAAGTAGCAGTTTAAATGTACAAAGCTGAGTGAATTACTCCAGGGCACAATTGTCATTTTACTGCTGATCAGACAGACAGACAGACAGATAGTCAAACAAATCTGCCATGGTTTTCTATGTACACCTTTTAAAGGGTTTACTTTTCCAGTCCCTGTCCTGAGACCAGGTATCTTGATTTTGATTTGACATCAAACACATGTGTTGGTATGAAGTTTGTGACTGTGGTGATTCAGAGACACCAATTGGGTGGTTTTGTGGTTGTAGCAGTTTCCCTCCAATGAGTTTCATTTGGGGGAGAATTGCACCTTGTCTGTACAGAGTGACCGAACAGTCGTGATACCACTATAATGTCCAATGAGTCGGAACGAAAGATGATTTTTTTTTAGATAATACGGTAGATATCAATTGGCTGCCACGTTTTGCCCATAAAACACACAGTCACTACACTTTACAGTATATCCTGTGAAGCGTTTTGAGACGTTTCAAAGAAGTGATGAGGCGCTATTTCAAATGCAAGGATTATTATTATTATTATTATTAATATCACGGCTTTTGGGTGACCCTGTATTTAGCTGCTGTTGTTGTACACTGAACAACATTGTGTTAAAGCTCACGGTGTAACATTGAAAACACATTCTAAGCTGATCTGGGTCTCGGCTCAATGATTACACTGTGGCTTAGGCGAGCGCTGCAGAGTGTAAAGCACATAACTGTCAAAGAGGTCACCAGCCCTAACATCAATTTTCTCTGCCACGATTTTCTCCCTGAATAGGCACCGATGATTGCGGTTTTTAAGTTATTTCCAGCTGCTTTTCATGGCTTTTTTTTAGTGTTTCCAGGACCAGAAAAGATCAACAAGACTTTTTTTTAAAAAAATCCTCAATGATAAAAAGAATAAATGGTCTTTCTGTGTTTTTAGGATCAATGGCAATATACCTTTAACATAATAGCGTTTCTGAAGAGAAGTATAAATAATATTTACTAAAATTCTGTGTTATCGCTAGGGTGTGGGGACCCGGCAGGTAAGTGTTGCTGAGAGGATTGCTCTTGAGGGAACCTGCACAGTTCACGATGGCCGAATGAATGACCTTCTTCTTTGCCGTGAATTTTTATGGTGGAGTCCTGTAGCTCGGTGGTTAGAGCTCTCGCCTCGCAAGTGAGAGGACCTGGGTTCGATTCCCGGGCAGGACAGGGCGAAACGTTGGGCAAGTTTCCTTACTCCACACCCACACCTCTGTTTATCAGCAGTGAGTAGGAACCCGGTTGTTAAATAATGCGGTCACTCAACCCACGACTTTTTGTGGGGACCTGCTGTGCGCAATTGGCTGCCGTGTTTCGCCCACAAAATACACAGTCAATTCATTTTACAGTGTATTCTATGAAACACTTGGAGACGTCTCGAAGACGTGATAAGGCGCTGTATCAAATGCCAGGATTATTATTATCATTATTATCATCATCATCATCACTGAAGTTTCTTTTCACAGTTTTCTCCTCTCTCTCTCTCTCTCTCCCTCTCTCTCTCCCTCTCTCCCCCTCTCTCTCTTTCTCTCTCTGTGTGTCCCTGTGGTAGGTTACTTCACTCAGATTTGTACTCTGGCCGATGTGCAAGAAAATGTCATGGAATATCTGCACGTTCTCAGCCGGCCAAAGGTGATCGATCAGGAACACGACATTATATGGACAGAAGCTTACATTGACAGCATTGTAAGTTGACTCGATTCCCTGAATTCCCCCGGGAAACGCTTCAATCATTTGTCCTTCATTCAGCTTTTAAACGACACCCGAAAACTATTCGGGTGAAGCATTTGCAGTACAAACGTACGTTGGGGTAAATGCCTTTCACATCGGGAGTATGTCCCACAGTGCTGGACGATCAAATGGGGAGACGCATTGTATTGGATTTTTTAAAAAAATATCCTTTGGTCATAAGTCTTTGTTCACTGCTTTGTTTTCCCTTTGGCCAGCATGTGGATGTGTCTTCGAACAACTTCGCAAGAGCTGGTGGGGGGAATGGGAGGGGGGGAGGAGAGGCAAAGAGGATAAAGAATTTATACAAACCTGATCAAACGTAGTATCGAGAGGATGAAGCATCGCAGGAAACAAAAGCAGGAAAGCGAGCGAGCGAGCGAGTGGAGCAGCCAGAATTCATGGAGAATGAATGTGAAGTTTGGCAAAGGAAGGGGCTGGAGTAAAGAGCACAAGTGTTGCCATCTGTACATGTGGTGTTGTGAAAATGCATTAGCATTTGGTAATCCATCGCCTACCAGATGGTTCCATTACATTTAATGGTCTCCTGAATAGCCGTGTTAGCCATAAGCCAAACTTTCATGGCCCATCCTCAACCTCCATTAACAATCACTGGCATAGGTTGTTAATGTCGATGTTAATGGTCAAAAGCACTGTTTTATCACAACAAAGAAACACAGTGAGTATCTGCCACTGGGAATATCAAAGCACGGTTCATTTTGTTTGAATGAGTTACTCGGAGTCCCTGTAGCTCAGTGGTTAGAGCACTCGCGAGCCACACACCTGGGTTTGATTCCCGGCAGGGAGAAACCTTGGGCAAGTTTCCTTACTCCACACACACGCCTGATAATAATCCCTCAAGAAAAAAAATACTAAAATGGGTCAATTCAATCCACGACTGGTTGTGGGGTACCGCTGTGCACAAATGGCTGCCGCGTTTCGCCCACAAAATTCACTTTACAGTATATCCTGTGAAGCCTTTGAGACGTCTCGACGACATGATAAGGCGCTGTAACAAATGCAAGGATTATTATTATTATTGTTTTGATGCTGTAACAAAGGTGACTGATGGAGGCTGTGTGATGCTGTATTGCTGTGTACGTTTATGGGGCTGTGATTGTGATACTCCTCCTCTACACATCAATATAAATAAATACTGCAGTGTTGCATCTGTTGATGGCATATACATACCCTACTGTTTTAACAGGTGCAATCAGACATTAACGCTCCATTCTGTTAATGGATTTAGCAGTCACATTTCATCGAGCGGTTATCAATGGATGATGGATAATGTCCTTAATGAAATACTTATCTGTTTTTCCGTGAAAACGTCAGCAAGTATTCCCGCCCCCCCCTCCAAGACCTGGGATAATACAGTAAAGTGTTTTGTTCCTATTCTTTGATCTTGCTATCAAGGATTTACATTGATGTAAAGCACATAAACTGCAATCTGTGTTTTCAAAAGAGTTATTTTTCACTTGCCTTTTGTCGACTGCTGGAATAGAGCTATATTTGGAGTATGACAGTGTGTCTGTGTTCTAAGTGGAAATTAAAAAGAGCAATTTAGTGTGAAGCATTCTAGTCAAATGTTTCAACCCCTTAGTGTGTCATTAAAGCTGTCATTAAGGCTGGCAAAGTGCATTTGTAAAATAGCTTATTGAAAATATAAATAATTCAGAAGGTAAGATTTAATCTTATTTTAAAGCTTTGTTATTATGTTTTTTTGAGGTCGTCTTAAAGTTTAAAATCAAGAGGCATGTTACCAGACAGCTATTCAATTTACTATGCGCAGAATAGTTTCTCCCACAAAGTATAGTCAATTCACTTTAAAGCATATTTTGTGAAGGGCTTTGAGACGTCTCAAAGACATGATAAGGCGCTGTATCAAATGCAAGGATTATTATTATTACTACTATTATTATTCAGTGTTGTGCTATCCTGCGGTTTGGCAGCTCAGAATATTATTTATTGGCTTTCAGGCAGTTTCAAGACTCCAGCTCCTATTGAGTCAGTGGAGCCCCATTGAGCTGCTAAAAGACATCCTCTCCATCACTCAAACAGCCTGGTACTGGAAGTGATTGATTAATTACATTTTAATCATGATAAATCTGTTAATAGCTATAGGGAGGCCGAGCATCTCCTCCCCTTTAACTGTAGGCAAGCGTCAAAGTGTCATTTCTTTGAACCATTCCCTTCAAGCTGAAGTTGTGGAGCTGTGTGTACATTCCGTGTCATGTTCATTTCAAATTCATCCAGATTTTTAAAAAGAAATCGAAAAAAAATAAGTGTTTTTTTTTACACGCAAAACAACTCTCGTTCAAGTGTCGAGTCACTCGGGCCACTGTGAAAACTGTGTTTCGCCCACAAAATACACAGTCACTGCACTTTACAGTATATTCTATGAAGCGCTTTGAGACGTCTCAATGATGTGATAAGGCGCTGTGTCAAACGCAGCGATTATTAATTGTCAAGTCACGAACAGCGGCATTGGCTGGAGAAGGCAGAGGGCAATCAGCCGAGGGCAACTACAACACAGCGGTGTCCTGTCTGATTGAGGTCACACTAGCGGGATTGCCATTGATATCCAACCCCCAGCCCAAACTCCCTGAAAGGTTCCTGTTCTCCCTTCAGCCCCAACTCAGACTCTCATCCCAAAGACAGCTCTTCAGCATGTAGTCACATTATCACCAACCAACAAAACCTCATCCCAGTGGAGCACTTAACACCCCATACAATCCATGTCTCTCACACTCATCAATTTGTTGAACGAGTCCAGGGCAGTAACAATTTAAATGCTATTATTTTTCAGTGTGAAGCACCTAATTCTTCACAAGGCAATAGGTTCTATCTTACACTGATGATGAGCTGTTCAAGGCATCTTTACGACTTTATAAGTGCTTAATGCAAAGATTTCTACTCTTAATAATCAGCCTAAAATGATTAAATCTTACACCGTGAGCCAGATTATCACTCAATGCATCGAATATGATAAAAAATAATCCCACTGTCCATTTTGATGACAGATTGATATTTCGCTTGAATGTGGACTAAAGGATGAGGTTCGAAAAATATAAATTATCCAGTTGCTGCTCATTTACTATTCTAGCTGCTCATTTCTGCTATTAATTCAAACCAGAAGTGTGTTTGGCAAAATTCTCACGAGCGACTCACTGAATATCCAACTCAAGGATTGTGTCCAGATGGTGAACAGTACGAACCCCGGCCATTAATTGTTCAGTTGTTCTTTGTTTCTTCTTCTTCTCCTTCTTGTTGCAATCAGTTCCCTCGGGCTCGGAAGGTAAACTCTTGATCCAGATTCTTGATCCCCTCATGCATCCATTTATAGCCCAAACGCCACATCAACCAAATAACTATTCAGTCTTCATCTCAATGTGAAAATGTTGCCCGCCCGTTTTGTTTCGTCTGAATGTAATTCTAACCTCCTTCGTGTCATTTTTTTTTCGCGCCTCGTAAATATGAAGAGATTTTGCAAGAATGCTGGCGATTTTGTGTATGAAAGAGCTAGATTTGAATCAACTTTAATTTGGAGATGATAATAATATAATAATAATCCTTGCATTTAATACAGCGCCTTATCACATCATCGAGACGTCTCAAAGAGCTTCACAGGATACACTGTAAAGTGAATTGACTGTATATTTTGTGGGCGAAACGATGGTTCTGTAGTTTAGCGAGGGTTGATCTTTGAGCGTCTAAGATTGGAATGTGATGGCAGGCAACCAGACACAAAGGTGAAAAGATTTTAATCAAATTTAATCTTTTTTTTTAAAAAAAGTTCCAAATAATCAAGAAGCTACCCTACGGCATCGGTGGACTGTAGCTTCCCTCATCAATTAGGCTCTTGGCTCGGGTAAGGTGGTCCTAGCTGGACAAGCAGTGCGAAAGCTTGGCCAGACAGCGACATCAGTGGCCAAGTTATGTGGCTTTAGCTGGTTAGACTCCAGCAGTTACCCCCAACGTACACTCTGGGCTCCCCCCCAATCCTTGGCTCTCGCCAATCTGCGCCTAATACTTTCTGGAATTAGATGCGTCCCTCCGGAGAGAGAGAGAGAGAGAGAGACGGAGAGAGCATTCCACTCCGACAATCTATCTCTGGGATTTCCATATTTTGGTGAGGAGGCACGGAAATCTCGGCTTGGCTTGGAAACCCGGCGCTGGGTTTCCGTGTGTGCCAGACAGCCGGCTGGGCAAAATAATAGAGAGACAGCACAGATCAATTTTTTTCTCCTTCCTGCCTTGGCCCCAAGCCTTGCTTTTTGTACAGGATTCCTGTTGACAGAGGAATCTGGTCATCTCTGTTTGCAGTGTTTCATCCGAGTGTCTGTGATCTACACTAGGTGGCAGTCTGTCCCACAAATTAACACTTAACAATTCTAAAACCTTGCTGTTAAAGGTAGAAATAACCCTTGCTTATTATCAGCACGTATTCAAATCCTTGTTCAGTCCATAATAATAATAATGATGACAATCCTTGCATCTGATACAGCTGCTCAGCACGTCTTCGAGACGTTCTCAAAGCGCTTCGCAGACTATACTGTAAAGTGGAGTGACTGCATTTTGTGGGCGAAACGCAGAAGCCAATCAACACAGCAGTGTCCCACAAACAGTTGTGGATTGAATGACCAAATTAGTATTTTGTTTGTTTGTTTATTTATATTTTAAGGGATTATTACCCCCGGAAAAGCGATCCGCCAATCGACTAACTCCTCTCGCTTGTGAGGCGAGTGCTCTAACCACTGAGCTACAGGACTCCACCAGTTTTACTGGTTTGGAACAAAAATGTTCTCTCTGTCCACTCCGATGATTTATCATATAAAGTCATGGTTTTTATCCAGTAAGTACAGATACTTGGATGTGTTGCTCTTGCTGTGGGTGCCCCAACTCTTTTTTTCCCACCACTGACAAAGATTTACTGCCCTCCTGGTCACTCCCAGCTTTTATTGATTTAAGGTTTGGTGTCTTCCTGACGCTCTTAAAATAATATACAATATTTTGTCAACTAACACACACAATGTTTCTCCTGCAACATATACATTGGGTAAGCAAATTTGCTGTTTATAACTACTAAAATGTATGTTTTATGTTACTTGTCTGCTCGGTTGAGAAGTATTTCTCTCTTTGAGAAACAGCCGTCCCCACAGAACTTTCCAAGTAACAATGTCACCCACAGATTTCAACGTTTTCTGCTTCAAGTCCTTTTTATTGGGTCATTTAATGAACATGAACAGCAGGTCCCAGGGAGCCAATCCGTCAGACCCTGTGCTGATCAGAACTGCTTACAGTGTCGGTATTGCCATTGACAGTTACCCTCTGTCGGTCATCACCTTGATGGTGTGTTGCAAGTCATTGCTCACTTGTTGAATCTGTTTTTCAAGCCTCCAGTTCACCCGGATTTATTTCCGTTCATGTTTTTTATTGTCCCTGGGCTGTTTCAACCCTGTTACTAGCCTCCAGCCTCTGTTTCTCTGTGCTCTGTAGAAGTGCTGTGAATGATTTCAGCGATATGATTACCATCTTTAAGATCCTGAAGGGCCTAATAATGTAGACCGTGGTAAGCTGTTTTATCTTGTACTGAACAGTAGAAAACCAGGCGATTGAGGTGGGGGTTAAATTCAGAACAAATTTGCGGAAACCTACTTCAGTGAGCGAGTAGAAAACTTATAGAGCAGGCTCCCCAGGGAGACAGACGGTGGAAGCAGAAAGTGTTGTTTCAAGAACAAATTAGATGGATTTCCACTAGAAAATAGTATCCGGGGGATACAGTGTATAGTTTGGGGACGCGACATGTCAGGAGAGTGGAAGGCGAACGAGATGGACCTTGGTCTTGGCCGAGCAAATTCTTATGTTAACTTCGATGCTTTTAAAATAAGGTACTTGGAGGCAATGCACCATTTTTCTCCCATTTATTTGTTTTACACTTTCTACCAAAGTATTTTGTCATTTGTGTATCTGCTGTGAATCCTGAGTGCTAGGGTGTGAACATGATGAATGGGGTATATGTTGGTGCGAAGAACGTCACCAGAAGAAAGTACAAAATTGCTAACTGATGTCAGTAATTGTATCCCATTTGGATGCCTCAACACCAGTGTAATTTAAACTAAATTATTTTCCCATCTGCCAACGTACATACAAAAGTATCAGCAGAGTATGCTATTAAACTCTGAAACTCTCTCCCTCAATCCTTTCGCCTCACTCCCCACTTTCAAATTCACCAAATAAACAGTCGCTGAACATTACAGTGAATTCTTTGAGGTGTCCTCCACGTATGAAAGGCTCTGCATCAAACGTAAGGATCAGTGGTAATCCTTTCCTCTGCCTCGTGAAGCTTTAGACTGGTTTAAATACAGGAGAGGTTTTGGAGTTCTCTTCCTGTTCTCACCGTCGTTTCAGAAACACCTTGACTGGTTGCACTTTTCTTTTATTTTTTTTAAAAAAAAGAATGCCCCCCAGCCTATCATTAGCATGTTTCCTACAGTACTCTCACTGAATACTCCCTACATTTGTCACACATGAATGTGGCTCACATTCCCTCACTCTAAGGTATATGACTCTCTATTCAGATGGGGTTAGAGATAACAGGCGGTTTCTAATTAATATGTAGAGGAGAGGATACTCGAGATTCCTAGCTCCATGTTCGGTCTGTAATCAATAAGGAAAGACCTGGGAATTTGAGAATTCCCCAACAGATTAAACGGAATTAGGGAATGAGTAATGGCTTAGAGTGGACCCTTTGGCTCGATTACAATAATTGCACTGTTTGGCAGCCGGGTTTGTCTGAAGAACATCCAAAGCTGTTGAAGCTATTTGGGAAATTCTGAGTACTTACATATTCTCTCTCTCACACACACACATACAAACACACACACATACAAACACACATACATACATACACACACACATACAAATACACACATACAAACACACACATACAAACACACACACACATACACACTCGCACTCACATGTACCTGTTAACTGGATTGTATATTTGACAATCCCCAGCTAGAACACTTCCTTTGTGTTTCCCGCCTTACAATTGTTAGATGACCGTTTGTGTTAAGAATTCCCCAACAGATGAGTGGATGGAGTGAGGAATAATTGTCTCGCTCTCGGCAAGGAATGAGATCACCTCGCTGGTTATCGATAATTACTTTGCTCTCAGGAACCGCTGATTTACTGGAAATTGTGAAGAAATTCTTGTTGAGTTGAACGTATCAATTGTAGTATCACGTCCTTGAGACATTACAGAGCACTTCACAGGATATACTGTAAAGTGTATTGACTGTATATATTTTGTGGGCGAAACGCGGCAGCCAATTGTGCACAGCAGTGTTCCCACAAACAGCCGTGGGTTGAGTGACCAAATTATTATTATTACCCCAGGAAAAGCAAATCCGCTAATCGACTAACAACTGGGTTACTACTTACAGCTGGTAAACAGAGGCGTGTGCGTGGAGTAAGGAAACTTGCCTAAGGTATCGCCCTGCCCAGGAATCGAACCCAGGTCCTCTCGCTTGCGAGGCGAGTGCTCTAACCACTGAGATACAGGACTCCACAATATATTGAAGTCAAGTGGTGCGATTCGAAAGCAAATGGAGTTTGTTATTGAAACTCTCTGCGGAGGTGGTTTTGGCTTCACATCAACTCACTGTAAACACAGATGGTGTAGATTGGGTTGGGTTCTGGGCAGGGATGATGCCTTAATTGTTTTTTTTGGCATTCCCAATGGATCACACCTAAAGGAGAACTTTTTAGGCATAATTTTTTCCCCCACATTATTTGAGGAACCAGTGAGTGCACTGAGCAGACAATCCTCCTGTTGTGGTTGGGAGCAGGAAATGTAGGTCACGGCGGTGCGCAGAGCTCCACTAATCACTCTTCAGCCTTTTTAATGTTATTAATGTGATGTTGCTTCACTTCCAGCAGCACCAACACATCACAGGACGGTGCTTAGACATGGTTAACATTGCTGCTTTTTCTATTTATGAACCGCCACTTCCGGCTGCACCAGAAATCTATCTCGCAGTCTGTTTTCGTCAAGATTAGCAATTGCCCAAATCCTGTCAGATTAAGAGCCTATAGACAGAACGCCTGAGATGTGGGCAGCTGAAGATTGATTGTTGCTTCAACCTCAGTGACTGAAGCTTCCCAATTGCAAAGCTCCACAGTCTTAAAATTGCCCGGTGCTCGCTGATCAGATAGATCGCAGCATGTGGCCCATAGCAAGCTAAAATGTGAAATGATTGAATATTTGATTCAAGTAGGTTTAAGAGTTGTGCATTTTCCATGCAGCTTGGTGCTGTGATTTACAAGTGACGCAACACAGTAGAGTAACCTGGAGCTATGATATTAAAGAGACACTTGACATGAATAAGTAAGAACGTGAAATAAATAGGATGAGAAGGGACAGAGGCAGAGCCACCGCTATGGAAATGTGGAAACATGAGAGGAAATGGGGCTAACACACACGGATAAGAAAGTGTTAAAGGATTAGCTCAAAGATCAGAGCTAATGCATTCACTGATCTGTTCGTTGGGCTGTTCATAAGATGGATCGCAGTGTCATTCACACAAAACCAACGCATGAAAGAGATTGTGGATGCTCTAGTCAACTTTAGGTCAAATGCAGTTAACAGATTTATTATGACATGAAACAGGATAAATGATGTATATCTGATAAGTGGTTGCTGAAATATAATGATTATGACAATGCTGATTTTTCACTATTCTCGCACAGCGATCAGAATTAGTGTGACATACATCTGTACCAATATATAAGGCCGCGTTCCGTTTGTGAATCTTTTTTTTCAAAGAATATATAATTTGCAGTCGAGCAAGATGCAAATACATAGCGCTTATTTTACCAATTTATTCCTCTCAATAATAATAATCTTTGCATTTGATACAGCGACTGATCACGTCTTCGAGACGTCTCAAAGCTCTTCACAGGATACACTGTCAAGTGAATTGACTGTATGTTTTGTGGGCGAAACCTTGGCAACCAATTGCGCACAGCGGAGTCCCACAAACAGCCGTGGATTATTATTTTTATTTATTTTTGAAGGGATTATACCCCCGGAAAAGTGATCTGTCGACCGACTGACAACCAGGTTCCTAGTTACTCTGGTAAACAGAGGCGTGTGTGTGTGGAGTAAGGAAACTTGCCCAACGTTTCGTCCTGCCCGGGAATCGAACCCAGGTCCTCTCGCTTGCGAGGCGAGTGCTCTAACCACTGAGCTACAGGACTCCACAAGACTCTTCAATCGAAACCCTGTTTGAAAATTGTTTTATCAAACGTGGTGCGACACTGAACATTCCAGCCCCAAACAGCGTTTTCTCTTCAAGGCTACATTTTAATTTTCCAGCCTTTATTAAACATAGGAATGACTTCCTAAACTTACATCAGAAAAAACAAATGCGCTCTGTGACTCCCACGGCCTGTTAAGTTATGCCATTAAGTTACGTGTCGCTCTCAATGGTTTTATTGACGAATTTCTGCGTCGTTAAATTGTTTCTTAACATTACGAGCAACAGCAGGCAACGAGAAGCCAGAACACAAGAAGCGTCATTACTTTGTGAGGTTTTTTTTTTCCCCCTCAAAATAACAATCAATAACGATACAAGTATTCAGAAGCAAAGGACGTACAGGCCATTAAGCTTTTGCTTGACTGCTGGTAAAATGATAGAAGTTAAACGTGACTATACGGGAAGCGATGAGATTTGTGAGGTGTTCTGGTCTGATGGAAGAAAAAGAAAATAATCTTCAAAGCTGCTGCTGTGAGGGTCTGACGAGTCTGTGTTGCAGGTTATGAGTGGAGGTAATGTAGCGTATAATCCATGGCAACACAATCATTTTTCCTTCCGTCCCTGTGCTTTATCCCCCAGTTTGCTGGTCAGGATCTGATGACCACTGTTGCCATGCCAGTATTTAGCAAGAAAAATGAAACTGTGAGTAACGTCTTTGTTATGTGAAATACGATCATTCATTTCCAGCCACAAACAGCGTTTTCTCTTCAAGACTACATTTTTATTTCCCAGCCTTTATTTAACATATGAATGATAGAAGTTCACCTTGACTATATGGGAAGCGATGATATTTGTGAGGTGTTCTGGTCTAGTTGGACATTCAGGAGAGAAATTATTAATATTAATAAGAATAATAATCCTTGCGTTTCATACAGTGCCTTATCACATCTTTGAGACGTCTCAAAGCTCTTCACAGGATACACTGTGAAGTGAATTGGCTGTATATTTTGTGGGCAAAATTCCGTAGAATTGTTTGAACCTTACGGCACGGAAACGGCCATTCAGCCCAACTAGTCCATCCCGCTGTTTATACTCCACACAAACCTCCACCACTCCTCGTCCCCTCTGCATTACCCCTCTATTCCCTTCTCTCTTGTGCAGGCATCAGGTTTTCTCTTAATTACTTTGCTATAAAATTGATTCTTCAGCCGTGATCTTTCATCTTTTATACAGTCAGATTAAACATGGAGGGGTGTGGTGTAGAGCTTTGTGTGACAGAATGGTGGGATAATAATAATAAGAGTAATAATGTTGATAATAGTAATAGTAATAATAATAATAATCCTTGCATTTGATCCTTGCTGGAGGGAGGGGGAGGGTAGAATGTCAAACAGGAGCTAAAGTCCCCGATGAGATCAAAAGGGAGAAAAATAAGATGCAAATTGAAGGTGAATTAATAATTGAAGGGTTTATATTCCAGGAATAAAACCGTTCTTTTTTCCCTGTGGTTTCCATATTTTATCAGCGCACATTAGGTATCCTTCTGGGTGTGGTGGGCACTGATGTTCCAGTCAAAGAGCTTCTGAAGATTATTCCAAAGTACAAGGTAAGCAACAGTCAAGTCAAGCCAGGTATGTTTGTGGGTGATGTTTTGCGCTGACAGCCTGTGTGGGTTATGAACGCATATCTCTAATGTTCTCAAGTCCTCGGGCAGGAGGTCAATGTAAGGAAAGTAATCTTCATTCGAACGCGATAGAACTGAAGTCCGATCATCGTGTTATTAACCGTGAAGGAAAGAGCGAAGCCAGGAAAGGAAATGGTGTTGTAATTATCAATCATAGGAACATAGGAAAACAGGACCAGGGGGAGGCCATTTAGCCCATCGAGCCTGTTCCACCGGTTTATTAGGTTTGGGCTGTTCATCTAATCCCAGTGCCTGCCCCTCACACAGGCCAACATCCCAGAGCACTAATAGCTCTACTCCCCAAGTATCTTGTCTCTCTCTCCCTGTTGATTCACAACTACAGCTTTCTATGCAGGAGTGACCCACAACTTCACAACCCTCTGTGTGAGGAAACACTTGCTGACCTGTCATTCACTGACAATTCCCAATCAATAGGAAGCCGGTGGGAACCCAGTTTCCAAGAACAGGAAATTTATATTTACGGTGCAAATCTCAAGACATGTACAGATCAATGGCGAAACCACATTTGGATTGTCTGCCTGGACTTTCACCTTCGAGAGGTTATTAGTGGGTTGGTGGGGGTTCAAAGAATGATGCGGATGATTGTGGTGAGTTAGAAGCCAGATCCTTTGCTTTTATGGGGAAAAAAGATTGAGATGAACAGAATATGATTCAAATACCCCATCAGAGCAACGTACTGAAGATCAATAATAATAGTAATCCTTGCATTTGATATAGCGCCTTATCATGTCTTTGAGCCGCCTAACAGTGCTTCACAGAATATATTGTAAAGTGTAGTGACCGTATATTTTATCGAGTACAATAATGGCCAGAGATACGCCAAAAGACCCCTTTCTGTGCAGAAAATTGCACCCACAAAATATACAATCAATCCACTGTACAGTAAATCCTGTGAAGCGCTTTGAGACTTCTTGAAAACGTGATAAGGCTCTGTATCAAATGCCAGGATTATTTATTATTATTAAAATACCTGTATCCAGTGTGAGGTCCCAAAGCCACACGTTTCTGAAAACATGAATACGATGAGAATCATCAGAAATAGAAAGTCCAGTTGTTTAATTTATTAACAGATGGTTTGATATGCGCTAACGTATTTTTGATGACTGCATAACAAGCTGTTTGAATTGGCTGAAATTATTTAAACGGAATTTCCACTGTGCTCGCTACATTATAGTGGATTAGGGAAGATGTCAGTGACAATTATAGACTAGTATGTGTGTCTAACTGAGTAAATTGTAGGTAAGTCAGCTGGACATTTTCGAGACTGCAATTAGTTTCCCTTCCGCAGAGCAGAGCATTTGTGGTAAACAAGAACCGTCTTAAAACAACTGGGGTTTTTTTTTAAGTTTTTTAAAAAAAGTTATTTCTTGGGTAAAGACCTGAAGAATAAAATGAGCGGATGGTAGTATTTCTACTGCCACTCTGTGAGAGAAATGATTTTGTTTTGCCTTCCACGGTCATAGTGTAAATCCAGCACTGTACATGTCGTGGTGTTATAGTGTTTCGTTGAGGGGGGTGTCTCTGAAACTCCCTCTATCCCTCCACCTCGCTCCTTCCTTCCTTCCTTCCTTCCTTCCTTCCTTCCTTCCTTCCTTCCTTCCTTCCTTCCTTCCTTCCTTCCTTCCTTCCTTCCTTCCTTCCTTCCTTCCTTCCTTCCTTCCTTCCTTCCTTCCTTCCTCCCTTCCTCCCTCCCTCCCTCCCTCCCTCTCCATCTTCAGATGAGGGGCGCTGTGTAAATGCAAGTTGTCGTTGTTGTGAAAACTCAGTGGTCTCTTCCACAGCATCCAAACCAGAGATCTCTGAATCTCCCTCCTCCCACCACTGCTCAAAAATATTGTAAAATAGCCATTGGGACAGTCACCGTAAAGGTTCAATCTGCCACCTAAACCCAACATAAAAACAGTTTAGCGTTGCCAAAAGAAATTAAATGGCGTGAGGTGATTCTGGTGCGTACCTCTTCCACCCCTGGCCGTGCAAGATGCAAGATCCTATTCTTGTGACCTTTAACTATTTCTCTGACATTGAGGTCCAGTGTCTAAATCGTCCGATTGATTTGTTGTCCCCCTGACCAGACAGGAGGCTTGCAATGAAAATGAAGTCAGGCTAACCTACTAATTATCACCGGACTTATTTATAATTTCAAACGAAGGTTAAAAACATCTGCGAAGGGGAATGTTGTATCTTCTTCAATCACGTTGGGTTAAATACGAACTGCATTTTTTGTGCTGCAATAAAAATAAAATGGGACGTTGCAAATAGTAAATAAGTGGTTGTTGAGGGATGTCCACACAAATATAGGTCAGGATATTTCAGCTCAAACGTCTTATCCCAGAAAAGATCCCCCACAGGTGTCAGGCTTATAATAGCCTTTGATTCAAAAGCCATTGATTTTGTTGCACTGTTATTACTGACAATTGGAAACCATCAGTATCTTAATATTAGTAATAATAATCTTTGCCTTTGACACAGCGCCTTATCACGTCTTCGAGACATCTCAAAGCGCTTCACAGGATACACTCTAAAGTGAATTGACTGTATATTTCCGGGAGAAACGCGGCAGCCAATTGTGCACAGCAGCGTCCCCACAAACAGCCGCGGGTTGAAGTGACCAAATTATTATTATTCATTTTTATTTTGAAGGGATTATACCCTACATAGCTGTAAGCACTGGTTTTATGAAATTAAAATAAGATATCACGTTTCACAATTGTCAGTCGCTGAATGGGACGGAATTTTGTTTAGAATGAGAATAAAAATGTAGGTTGGGGCAGGGTGACAGGTGCAAAGTGCAGGGAAGGAATCCTTGTGTGAATCATTTCACATTAATCATAAACTATTTGGTTGCGAGTCGTGATTGAAGATGTTTTTCACGTTTACAGCTGGGGATTCATGGATATGCGTTTGCGATCACCAACAATGGCTACATCCTGTCACATCCAGATCTCAGGCCACTGGTAAGAAACAGTTTGACAATATCCTGATTCTAACATGGCAACGTACAGCGGAAACCTCCCTCGAATAGCGCCTTGGGACGTCCTCCTGACGTGAAAGGCTCTTTACAAATGTAATATTGTATTGTACAGTGCGGTGTTTGGGATCCATACAATTCCGCAGGGTTAGCTTTCACCTTATAATACATCTCGCTTCACTTGATTATAATAACAATAATAATCCCGGCATTTGACGCAGCGCCTCGTCACGTCTTCGAGACGTCTCAAAGCGCTTCACAGGATACACTGTAAAGTGAATTGTCTGTATATATGATTTTGTGGTCGAAACGTGGCAGCCGACTGCGCACAGCAGCGTCCCCACAAACAGCCGTGGAGCGAGTGACCAAATTATTATCGTCACTTTTTTATCTTCACTTCAATGTTAAAACTAAACTATCATCGTTAACTGTTACCAATTGAGTCCAATGCAAGAATTTTGCGAGTCCAGCACACAGCTGGAAAACAAGCAGCATTAAGCTTTGCTATGATAGCACTATAAACTTCACCCCCTCCCAGATAAAATTGGTCGTTCACTTCATAGCTGTTTGTGGGACATTGCTCTGCTCAAATTGGCTAGAAATACCCCAGAAAGAGAATTTGTTTTTAACAGCAATCACTCGTTCATTCAACGTTTCTGAATATGGATAGGCTGCCACCTTGTGGCATTCTGCCTCCTTCTGTTTCTAAGTGCTTACAAAGAAATAATTTGCCAATTCCCGTAAAAGAAAGGAGCTAAACTTAGACGGCCAACATAAAATTCCCTGCTTGTGAAAATAGAACCAGAATATGATGCATGAATACACATTATTTTGAGAAAAAAGAAGCCATGGCAATGATTTGAAAGCTGCCCTCTAATCTCACAATCCAGTGATACTTATAAAGCACTCAATCTTCGCGCGCAATTCTAAAGTTGAGTGCTTTTGGAATAATATTTAATCACTTAATAACTTATAATATTAGGAAAATCTGTGGGTGGAGAGGGGGGAGGAATTGGGTTGCATTTGAGAGACACTGTAACCAAACTAAGTTGGTGACCAAAGTTCGCACCTTTTTTTCCTTAAATCAACTTCAAACTAGTACAAAGAAGGAAAGAAGAGAAGAAAACCCAATTACAGCAGCGTTGACCTGTCTGAGGTGGAATGGGAAGACAATGATGACACTGTGAGTCTATTATTCCATGTTCTGTTGAGGTTACAAGAACGCATTTAGAGCTTAACACATAATGTGAGTGTATTTCCAAGGCCTTGCTCCTCCCTTCCTCTCCTCTGTCACCCGTTAACCCCACAGCAACCTGTCCGCTCCCTCCGCTCAGCGGGCTCCGGCCTGCTCCACGTTCCCCCACCATCGGCGATCAGGCCTTCAGCCTCTCTGCCCCCACCCTTTGGAACTCCATCCCACAGTCTCTTCGCCTCGCTCCCTCCCTTTCGACCGTGCCTTCGACTGGGGGCGATAGCAGTTTTGTGTTTAATGTGATAATGGTTGGTGTGGTTTGGGCTGATCTGGAGCTTGGAGGATGGTGCGAAGCGGATTTGGAAAGTCAAGTCTGGAGGCAATGAGGGTTTTGGCCGCGTTGGGCATGAGATGTAAGAAAGAGGCAGAAAAGTTTCCCTGATTCTGTAACTTATTGTTTATTTTATAGCTTCGCAATGCTATGGTAAATCGAAAAACGGGGAAATTTTCCATGGAAGTTAAGAAGACGGTGGAGAAAGGGGTAAGGCCTCTGAGGTTACTGGAAAATAAACCTTCTGACCAAAGTTTGTTGCTATTTTTTTTAAGAATGTAAATAAGGATGTGAGTCCTCAATAGTTATTCATGAAAGCTGAGTTTGGGATGTTTGGCTCAGAAATGTCCACTTATCTGATTTTAATGAACAAATGTCCCACTTAACGCTCCCCACTTAGCTCAAATTAAGCTGATTTGTCCTCACAGTATTGATCCGCTTGTCTTATTGTGACAGAAAAAATACTTCGAAAAACAGGTTTTTAACCCTGTGAATGAAAACTTACTTTAATTGTCTTTGGTTACAAGAGAAAGCCTTGCTTGCTCTTTGGATGAAATGGGAAAGATTGCTAAAGAGAGCTATCAAATGGAATCTAAGGTAGATTTCTCTGACATGGATTTAACACTGATTTAACACAGGTAACATGGAACATTTCCAAGCACTTAAGGGGGAGAAATTCCAATGGGAACTAAATTTACTTCTCTTTATGTAGCATTTCAGAGCAAAGCTAAATTTGGCAAATTGTTAAATTCAGTCTCGACTTTGAAGGCTGTTTTGTGTAGTTTCTTGAAAGGACCTTAAAGAAAACCAGCTTCGAAATCAAAGCTGTATTTAAGAATTTGCCAAATTCTGGAGACTCTGAAAATGCTCTGTAAATAGAGGAAACCAAAGACAGGGTGGAATTCCTCCTCTCATCGAGTCCGCAAACATTTTGTGTCCACTCCATTACCATTCTCATTAAAAGAACAATACTCTGACTTGTTCTTACAAGGAGAGAGAGAGAGAAAAAGTGTGGTTGTTTGCATTTATACACTTCAGTTCAGTGAAGCCCCTTTGAACTTCCTGAAGTGGGCAAACACAGTCCTGATATTAGTTATGCTGGTTGAATTTAATCCGCAGAACTCGAAGCAGTTTTCCCTTTATATTTTTAGTTTGTTTATGGGTTCCATCTGTCAGAGCAACATTTTGATTAATACCACCATTGACAACACTTTCTACATCAAATGTCATTCCTAAAAAAAAATAAAATAAAAATAGACCGTGAAGGAAAAGAAATGCATTGATTTCAGTTTTATCTTGCCATTGTAAACGCTCGTCTTAATGTAATATGAAACAGAAGACATCACAGAAGTTGTATCTCAATTGCCTGCTTACTGCCACTCCCAGGCTCTCTCTCTCTCTCTCTCTCTCTCTCAGTCAGAAATTCCTTACAGCTGGTCTCCGACTCTGAAACAGAGTTAAAACATTTCTCTGAAGTGCATACAATGAGGTCTGTGAAGCATTAATAGTACATTGTAGCAATGGAGGGGGATGTTTTAGTGTAAGTCAGCATATTTTTTGGGGTCAAGGCGGGTGCCTGACAAGTACAGAAATCCATTGCGGTGCTTGTTGAGTATCCAAACCAGACAGAATCCCACATATGCATGGCGTCTACCCACGGGAATGTCCCCATGTCTGGAATGGAAGCCCTCTGGGCCACACCATGTGACGGGCGCTATATAATTGCAAGTTGTTGTGGCTGTTGTTGGTGTTGTTGTTGGTGTTGTTGTTGTTGTTGGTGTTGTTGGTGTTGTTGCTGTTGGTGGTGTTGGTGGTGTTGTGTTGTTGGTGTTGTTGCTGTTGGTGGTGTTGGTGTTGCTGTTTTTGGTGTTGCTGTTGGTGGTATTGGTGTTGTCGCTGTTGGTGTTGGTGTTACTGTTGTTGGTGTTGGTGTTGCTGTTGTTGTTGGTGATGGTGTTGCTGTTGTTGGTGTTGGTGGTGGTGTTACTGTTGTTGGTGATGGTGTTGCTGTTGTTGTTGGTGATGGTGTTGCTGTTGTTGGTGTTGGTGGTGTTGTGCTGTTGGTGTTGTTGCTGTTGGTGGTGTTGGTGTTGCTGTTTTTGGTGTTGCTGTTGTTGTTGGTGGTGGTGTTGCTGTTGTTGGTGTTGGTGGTAGTGTTACTGTTGTTGGTGTTGGTGTTGGTGATGGTGTTGCTGTTGGTGTTGTTGTTGTTGATGTTGGTGTTGTTGTTGTTGGTGTTGCTGTTGGTGGTGTTGCTGTTGGTGGTGTTGCTGTTGTTGGTGTTGGCGTTGTTGTTGTTGATGTTGTTGTTGTTGTTGTTGGTGTTGCTGTTGGTGGTGTTGCTGTTGTTGGTGTTGTTGGTGTTGGTGATGGTGTTGTTGGTGTTGTTGGTGTTGCTGTTGATGTTGGTGTTGGTGTTGTTGTCGTTGGTGTTGCTGTTGGTGGTGTTGGTGTTGTTGGTGTTGCTGTTGGTGGTGTTGGTGTTGTTGTTGGTGTTGCTGTTGGTGGTGTTGGTGTTGTTGGTGTTGGTGGTGCTGTTGTTGGTGGTGGTGTTGGTGGTGTTGCTGTTGCTGTTGGTGTTGGTGTTGGTGTTGTTGGTGTTGCTGTTGGTGTTGTTGGTGTTGGTGTTGGTGGTGTTGTTGGTGGTGTTGGTGTTGTTGTTGTTGGTGGTGTTGGTGTTGGTGGTGTTGGTGTTGGTGGTGTTGTTGTTGGTGGTGTTGCTGTTGGTGGTGTTGGTGTTGGTGGTGTTGCTGTTGGTGGTGTTGGTGTTGTTGGTGTTGTTGGTGTTGGTGTTGTTGGTGTTGGTGTTGTTGGTGTTGGTGTTGTTGGTGTTGTTGGTGGTGTTGCTGTTGTTGGTGTTGGTGTTGTTGGTGTTGGTGGTGTTGGTGTTGTTGGTGTTGGTGTTGTTGGTGTTGATGTTGGTGTTGGTGTTGGTGTTGTTGGTGTTGGTGGTGTTGCTGTTGGTGGTGTTGGTGTTGTTGGTGTTGGTGGTGTTGGTGGTGTTGGTGTTGGTGGTGTTGGTGTTGGTGGTGTTGCTGTTGGTGGTGTTGGTGTTGGTGGTGTTGGTGTTGTTGGTGGTGTTGGTGTTGTTGGTGTTGGTGTTGCTGTTGTTGGTGTTGGTGTTGTTGTTGTTGTTGTTGTTGTTGATGTTGATGTTGTTATTTTCGTGTGGACACTCCGGGTGGCATTAGGTGCAGGTTGATGGAACCCCCCGAGTGTGTGTTGGAATAGTGTTAGCGTTTCACCAGCGAAAACTACACAGCTTAGCATTGTGTAACCTGTCTGATAACCTCACTGCTAGTCCAGCGAGGGCCACCCTAACAGTTAGGGCTTTGGCTTTCAGGGTTAACAGGAGCTGTGGAGGAAGGAATCTCCCGGCCCAGTGACGGTTGGCTTCTCCAAGTTCTGCCGACAGACACTAGGCGTAGTCGCCTGGAATACCGCAATTATTACAGAGGATCATGTCAGTTCCAATATTCCACTGTCAGGGCCTATCACGTTGGAGCAGTTCAGCCCCAGTTGAGTTGTGTGGTACATTGGAGGCCTATCTTTATAGATCACGGAAGGAATAGTTTAGATATCAACCATCAGGTTTACTGAAACCCACAAAGTAATCGAATAATTACTGTATCTACTTAGACAAACTCTTTGTCGGGGTTAAGCAACTCACTGATGTTTGTGTCGGACGGTTTTCATAAAGCTCCAACCACTTATAAAATACCCAAACACGACCAAAAGACTTTTGTTTCCTCTTAGAAACGAGTTCTTGTGATGACGAGCGATTACTATTACACAAACATCAAGGGCACTCCTTTCAGGTGAGCTTTGACTATTTTGCTCTATTCTGTCTGTCCTGATGGAGTTCAGCGCCTTGGGACGTCCTCCTGACGTGAAAGGCACTTTACAAATCTAAGTTTTGTTGTTTTGTTGATACTGCAAGTTAATGGCTGTAAACGTTTCTGTGTGCAGTCTTGGCGTGGTTTTATCAAGAGGACATGGCAAGTACTTGTTCCAGGGAAATGTCACAGTGGAAGAAGGTAAGGTTGTTTCTCTGATTTGGTGCACTGAATATCAGACATCATAATAATAACTCATAATAATCCCGGCATTTGATACAGCGCCTCATCACGTCTTCGAGACGTCTCAAAGCGCTTCACGGAATATACTGTAAAGTGAATTGACTGTGTATTTTGTGGGCGAAACGTGGCAGCCGATTGCGCACAGCAGGGTCACTAGAATTGTAGAATATTAGCAGCGAGTGCAGAAACACGAGCAAAGGCTGACTCCTGGCAGCACAACGGGAAGGTTTTATCAGTATAGGATAATGTGTAACTATTCCTCCAGTTTTTGCTCTCTGTGCTCTCTCTCATTAACTTCCCTGTTTAACTCTAAGACCCTGTCACATCTCCCGGTTTGATCGTTATGCCTTTCTCCTTCTCCGGACGATCCGTTTTGTGTCTTGCTCGGTATTTTCTGATTGTTTACTTTTTTTGGAGCCTCTCCAGGGCCTCTAGGCCTGTGTCTCTCTCACTCTGTCTCAGTCTCATCTGTGTCCAACTACTACTCCCTGCTTATACTTCCCTCTGTGGCCTCTCTCCCTTTTCTGGTTCTGTGAAGCAGTCTGCTGTTGTGCTCAGTGTCTGTATCTGATATTTGAAGTCTTTCTGTCTGTCTGTCTGTCTGTCTGGCCTACTGGCTGGCTGTATGATTGTCTATCTGTCTGTCTGTCTGTCTGGCTGGCTAGTGAGCATGTTTGACCAGATACACCATAACTGCTTCACAGGTCAAGTGTAGATTTTTTTTTTCTGCAACAAAATGTATTATATTTATTATTATATTCATTATATTATATTATATTATATAAATGTATTATATGTATTATATATATATATTATATATATATATTATATATATATATTATATATTATATAACAACATGTATTATATATATTATATATTATATATTATATAAACCCCTCACGCGGCTGAAACTCTGGTCCACGCCTTTATCACCTCAAGGCTGGACTATGGGAACTCTCTCCTCGCCGGCCTTCCCGGCACCTCCCTCCACACTGCAGGTCATCCAGAACTCTGCAGCTCGTGTACTGTCCCGCACCAGACACCGCGACCACATCACTCCCACCCTCGCCCTCGCTCGCCTCCACTGGCTCCCCATCCCTCAGAGGATCGATTTCAAGATCCTCATCCTCACCTACAAGGCCATTCACGGCCTCGCTCCCTCCTACCTCTCTGACCTACTATCCCCCTACCTACCTGCCCGTACCCTCCGTTCCTCTGGCTCCGGTCTGCTCCACGTCCCCCGCCCCAATCGCCCTACCATCGGTGGCCGGGCCTTCAGCCTCTCAGCCCCGAGGCTCTGGAACTCCATCCCCCGGTGCCTTCGCCGCTTCCTCCCTTTCCTCCTTCAAGGCCGGTCTCAAAACCTTTCTCTTTGACCTTCAGCCTTCAGTTCCCCTCTCAACTCTCTTCCCCCTCCTCGCTCCCTCCCTTCCCTCCCCTCACCCTGACCATTCCCCCACTGCTTGGGTCCTGACCCAACTGTACAGCGCCTTGGGACGTCCTCCCGACGTGAAAGGCGCTCTATAAATGGAATCTTGTTGTTGTTGTATTAATGCCATCTGAAGTTGACAGGACAGAGAAAGATACCTAGATTAAAACACTACCATCTTCCCTAGCAGCTATCATTAACCTGAGGACACATGTACACATGTACACTTTTGCATGTACAAGCTAATGTAGTAAAAAGCTAACAAGGTACAGGGAAGCAAATACACATCAAAAGGGGCAATGTGTGTACTGTTATAAGGCATTGGTTAGAATCCATCTGGAATACTCGTTAATGTAAAGCATAAGAGGATTTTTCTCATCCACAAAGACGTAGCAAAAATATAGGTGTTTCCATTGATCAGGTTTAAATAATCCTCAAGAGATTCATCACCGAATCTCGCCCCTACATTGTAATAAAACCATTCTTTAATATCAAACATTCCATTGGATATTAGTGGTGAGAGCTGTGTACCATCATGACTTTCATTTCCAGTCTGCGGGGAGAGATGAGTAATGGGAGTCATCAAGCGAGGGTTTCGAGCCATATTGACTGTTCCTCTTAGGAATGCACAGGAACACATTAGCAACATCACAGACATATAATGACATGATCTCCAGACAAGAGCCTTCATTTGAAGTGCACAATGGTGCCAAATCGTATTCCCTTATAAGATATCTGAAATGAGCTCGGGGGCAGAGAAGTCGTTATTGATGTGGCTTTTGCGTGTACATGTTGCGCAGGGTTTGTGATATGGCGGCACTTCAAAACGATCTTGAGCTGATCACAGATGTGCAACATTGGCTGCTTATTGGAGCGCTATTTACTGATCACTTGAGGACCCATCTGGTCTGTACAAGATAACCTGGCGTTCACAAAGATAATACAATATGCTCTTTCTGTTGGCCTTGTGATCCCATAAGAACAAAACTATGCTAAGAGCCAAGTTGTCAACGATTTAGCCAGTGGCAATTCATTGTGGATTTTATAGTGATTATGGGTGTTTAATGGTCACAGGATTAATTCACCAACATTTTTTGTAAATTGCCCTCAGTGGTTTACAGATGTTGTCAGCATGTTAATGTGTGCTTGCTCTTCCCCTCTCCTGTGTGCGTGCACACTCACACACGTGTGTGATCCTGAAATAGACCAAAATATGCCGAATGTTTGGATTAAAGTTAATTCATGCATAATCCCACTTCTATGAACGTTTTGCGCTTGGGGGTAAAAACACACCACCCATCAGCATTTGCCACCACCGTCAGTGAATACACTTATATAATAATAATCATTTGGTCACTTCAATCCGCAACTGTTTGTGGGGACGCTGCTGTATGCAATCGGCTGCTGAGGTTCGTCAACAAAATATACAGTCAGTTCACTTTACAGTAAATTCTGTGAAGCGCTTTCAGATGTTGCTAAGATGCGATAAGGCGCTGTATCAAATGCAAGGATTATTATAGTGTAGCACAGTCAGTTTTACTAAGAGGGGACTTAATGGAGAGCTTCAAAAATTCTGAGGGATTTTTGAGAAGGTAAATAGTGAATAGTTATTCTCACTGTCTGGTGTATCAGCAACAAGGCAGTGTCAGCTTTGTCAAGTTTGTCAAGTCAGGGTATCAAGGGATACGGGGCAAAGGCAGGTAATTAGAGTTGAGGTACAGATCAACCATGATCTTATAGAATGGTGGAACAGGCTCGAGGGGCTGAATGGCCTCCTCCTGTTCCTATGTAATAATATGGAACCTCTTACCTTTTGAAGCTTAGATAATGACATCCGTTAAAAGCAAATTTGATAAATATTTTGAAAGGGCAGAGGAGAAAAACGCAATAAATTGGAATGAAAGTCCATGTATATAACTCCAACTGAGGTACAGTGTTGGCAAATGGCCTCTTATGTGGTATAAGGTATAACACTGCACTCAATTATGTTAATCATTACCGTTTCAAACTTTTTTCAAGAAATCTAAATGTCAAGTTGACCTTTTGTTAAGCATACGGAAACTTAAAGTCACGATCATCAAATAAAGCGTATTAATAAGGACTAATTAATTTTGAGTGCAGTTTAGTTACACTGAGTGAGTCATTAATAACGTCTAGAGAACAGAATACGGAAAGGTAATAGCAAATTCTCTCTGGCTTTTCGGGTGCCAGTCATATATCATTGTGATCTGTACAACTACTTTAAATTGCGGCTTGTCAAATGGATACAGGGTTAGGGATTTAGAGGCTTTGCTTTTAGATACAGCAGATAAACCGTAATGCTCTATGTAAACCTTGTTGAGTTCTGGCAGCTGTGTTTCCCCCCACCCCCCACCCCACCACCCCCACTCCCAACTCCCTCACCCTTTTAATCTAATCACCGATTTATTCTTTATTAAGGTTTACATGACCTGGATCATCCAGATTTATCATTGGCAGAGGAATGGTAAGAAAGGTTTTTTGGTTGCAAATTCTGACTGGACAAACACATCAATCGTCGCCTTGCGCAAAAAGAATAGTAATAAAAAGCAAAGAACCCCACCGGTCATTGAGAACATTTACCTGCTCCAATTTGTTGTTTTTTTTTGGTCAGCCACACGCGGAAACCCATCACCGTTGCTTAAGAGTCTCCAAACCAAGCTGAGATTTGCATGGATCTCCCACCTACACATGGAAATCCCTGAGAGAGATTGTTGGAGTGGAATGCACTCTCTCTCTCTCTCTCTCCCTCCCTGGAGGGACACATCCTGATTACCTAATTCCGGAGAGTATTAGGCCATAGCCCTGTGCCCCGTACCTGCTTGATCGAGAGGTATGGGAGAGGGGGTTAGGAAGCACAGAAGCTCGTGTGGAGTATGAACACTGGCATTCGTTCAGTCAAATGGCCTGTTTTCATCCTGTAACATTAAGAATAATATTCCTTTCATTTGATGCAGCTTTTTTTTTAATGTCGAGAGGCACGTATCAAAGCGCTTCACAGGAGTTATTGTAAAGTGTAGTGACTGTATTTCGTAGGCGACCTGATTCAGAGGTGGATCCCCGAAACAACCATGGAGCGAATGACCAACGTTATCTGGGGGATTGTTGGGCAGAAGCAAATAACTTCTATTTTCAAATTGTGCCTTGAGCTCTGTAATGCCCACCTGAACAGCCAGATGTTTAGAGCTTAGCATCAGCTCATCCCAAGGACAGCATCTCTGATAACATGTTTGGAAACTCTTATGTTCTGATATTCCCAGACCCGCATATAACAGAGAATATTTACAGCTCCCTCACTAAATAATGAATCCACCGTTTTATGAGGAATGTTTTATTGGCTGCTAAGGTCAGCACCGTAAAGTATATGTGTCTGCTGTATTTTAACCCAAAGCTACAAGCAGATGTTTGATTATGAAGCACTTAACATAAAGACAGAAAACAAAAATTCCTAGCTTGATGGCTGATGCTGTGGATGGAACCAATGCATAAAATCTATTGGAAATGAAGAACTGCATTGATTTTGAACAGTAATTTATAAACAGTCATGATGTCTCATTGATTTGAAGAGGTTTCAAGGGTAACTGAAAGATTTAATGTTCAATCATCTCCTTTCTTGCCTTGAGATGACTTCCCCTGAGCAAACACCCGATAATACCTGACAAAATAGGAACTTTCAACATTTAAAATAATAAAACATTCCCTTGAACCAGCTGAGGAGCTACAAGCCCAGGTTAGAGAGAGAGAGGGTTCCTGGCACCTATCTAGCAAGCCTTGCTATGGGTTTGCCCGCTTGAGGACATCAAGTGAAGACAGAACAGGTTCAGTAGATTGTAGACACTTGGCGTCAAAGCTCATCAGTGAACATTACCCTCTTGGACAATGTGTTAGCAGCGCCTGTGAAACTGCGCCCCAGTGGAACGAGGAAAGGAGTCAAACAGGTTCAGGAGAGGAGAGCGTAGACAGAGAGCCTTTCACGTCTGGCTTCCCTGCCCTTAACGTAACAGGTACATTTTTCATCTGATTTCAGGAACTACTGCAATAATGATGTGAATCCGCTGTATCGCGACCTCTTTCAACTTGAATCTGTCAAACTCTTCCTGGCAGGAAAGGAGCCGGGATTAAAGTGTAAGTGCCATCGACTTTTACATCTCAGGAGGAGTGTTACTCTTTAACAGACCGTGAACTGACCTTGCCACACTCCCCTGGCTCCCCTTCGCTTGAACGGATCAACTCAAGATCCTCACACTCGTTTTCAAATCCCTTTGAGCCCTGGAGCCCTGGCACCTCCTTACCTCCCTCTCCGACCACTTACCCACCTAACACACTCCCCGCTGCCTCCGCTCGACTGGCTCCAGCCTCCTGCGTGCCCCTGGTGCCCTCCGACCCACCATCAGTGGCCTCACATTTAAGCCACTGTGCCCCAGAACACACTTCCCCTATCCTTCCGCCCACCTTGTCCCTTCCCTTCCCCATCTTCAGATCGCACCTAAATTCCTTCCTCTTTGACCACTTCTACAGTCACCTCCCCCCTCCACCCCGCACCGCCGCCCCGGCTCAGTGTCGTGCTCCGCCACGGTCAGGCTCTCTGCGTGAGGGGTGCTGTGTAAATACAAGTTGTTGTTGTTGAGATGGAAACATATTTGTCTAATCTTTACACACAGGTGACAAAGAGTTAATTCAGGAGGTGCTGTTTGATGCTGTGGTAACAGCACCACTGGAGGCGTACTGGACCAGCTTAGCTCTGAACCGATCTGAGTAAGCGTATCACACTGCCTCGTGTTGAGAATAACTATATAACTATGTAACTAGCAGCAACTAGCTTTTCACTTGCTTTGGGTTTTTTTTCCAACCTTTTTATCATATGTTGTTTTTTTTCCTCCCCAATTTTTCCCTCTTTGTTTCTCGTGACTCACGTCACAATTCATTTCCAGTCAATAATCCTCCATTACACTGAGCTTCTCACCAATGAGACAGTCAAGAACCAGCACATTTTTTTACCCACAAAATACACAGTCACTCCACTTTAGGTTCGATTCCCAGCAGGTCAGGGCGAAACCTTGGGCAAGTTTCCTAACTCCACACGCCTGATAATAATCCCTCAAAAACAAAACAATAATAAATTGGTCATTTCATTCCACGACTGTCTGTGGGACACTGCTGTGCGCAATTGGCTGCCGCGTTTCGCCCAAAAATATACAGTCAATTCACTTTACAGTCTATTCTGTGAAGCGCTTTGAGACGTCGAGAAGACGTGAAAAGCGTTATATCAAATGCAAGGATTATTATTATTATTATTATCATCTCATCTTGAGAGAAGAGCTGAGTGATTCAAACACAGAGATTCAGAAACGGGGCAGCAAACATCCTACACTGATGCTCTCACGCAGTTTTGCACATATACAACTTACCCTCCCCGGCTTTTCCATTTGTGCCATGAACCATATGCTGCGATTTTCCTTTGTAGTTGTACCTTTGCCAATCTGTGCGTTGGTTAAAGATGAACTTGGTCTGCATTGTGGATGGGTCAGATCTCCAGTTACAATACGGATCTTGTTTAGGATTGGGTTGTGTGTGTGTGGTTATGTACTTATCCTGTCAGAAATATTGTTTTAGAAACGCTGACAAAGGAGTTGAAGTTGCATTCCTTGGAACTCGCACAGGCCTAAGTCGGATTAACTTATTTGTTGGGCCAGAACAACTGACAAACCAGTAAGTTTTTATATATGAAAAGAAATTGGGTTGTATTGATTTGAAGGGTTGGCAACAAAGGCAGCTTTGCCTGCCATAGTTTTTGAGAGTGAAATATTCAGAAGGAAACCCCTGAAACCTAGCAAGCGGGCTGGCGAGCTGGAGAGAGAGAGTGAGAGATAGATAGATAGATAGATAGATAGATAGATAGATAGATAGATAGATAGATAGATAGATAGATAGATAGATAGATAGATAGATAGATAGATAGATAGATAGATAGATAGATAGATAGATAGATAGATAGATAGATAGATAGATAGATAGATAGATAGATAGATAGATAGATAGATAGATAGATAGATAGATAGATAGATAGATAGATCGATCGATCCAAATTTGGGGAAATCTTGTGGTATTAAGCAAATTAAAGTTGTGTAAAACCGTCCTCGGGAATGTTCTGAGTAATAATGACCTTCTCTCACAGTTAAGTTGATTAAAAGACAATACTTGTCGACAACTTTACAATTGCAACTTGGCCCTAGATTCTGAAAGGCATGTGCGATTATCTTTCTTTGTAATTACTCAAATTGCTTGTAATGTTATTTTTTGACTTTACTCCGAAAACAGTTCTTTAACTTTCTCGTTCCTAATATGGCAGTTTATTTATTTGCCACATTGCTCGACCATTTACTGTTATTAACAATACTGAGGTTTTTAAAATACCTTTGATTATCATCGTAAATATAATTCACGATTGAATTATTAGATGCATTATGAAAACTATTACATTAGGTCATTGTAACTTTTTCAGCTTAGTTTAGAAATAACATAGGTAACTGACTGGAATAGGGCAGGACCCCAAAACGGTGTCGTTAGCTGATCATTATAAGTTGAGCACTTGAAATCAACTTAAAATGCTAAATAAATAGAAATATTTAACCAAAACAGCTAACTCTCAGACAGGCAGAAAGTACAGGAAGGATTCTGTCCCTTGAACTTGCTTCGTGTTTCAGCTTGTGCCTCGTGACACTGAATCAGGCACTAATATTACCATTCCCTAACCCATATCATCCATATTGAACTCTCACCGGCTCCCAACTGGATTTAGAAGCAGGTTCTCCAGTCAATTCAGACTCTTTATGAATGACGACGACAACTGGCCCTTCACGCAGACTAGCGTCCCAGAGAGCTTAATAGGGTCCCACGATGGATATCTGCATCATCAATGTGACCAGGGTAATCTATCCGATGTTAAAAAGTGTAAGTACAACCTAACTAAGGCCATATTTTACTCTGGATTAAAGGCAGTCTAGGGATATTCATGGTTCCGTGCCACTGACTGCCTTTGTTCACAGTATCAAGACATTGAGAAGTCAGGAATAAACTTGATGTCACCTTCAACAACCAGCAAATCAGCCACAAGGCTTGCGGATCAAACACCACAGGCTACGAGGAGGAATATTATTTTAACATGGTTATGTCGTGCACTATCTGGGCTGACCAGGATATTTATTTCCCGGCATTGAACTCAATTTGCCGGTCAATCTGCACAGGGTGTCCTTTGCTGCCTCTGCTGAATCCACACTTTCCTTCAAGCTTGGTGTCATCAGCAAATGGACCTCCCCCCCCCCCACACACACCACCACCCCCCACACTGAGTCCGTGACTCCAGGTCATTATATCTAGTCTAGGGAAACGACCCACTTCCACACCTCCCATAATCTGGACTTCTTTGCAAAATGGACAGTTTTGCAAAGAATATTTCTTTATTATCAAAAGATGGAGAGAATTAAAAACACGCCACAGTCTTGAGTTTCCGGTAAAGGTGTTGCTCTTGTACAAATAAATCATCAGAGTAATAAAGGTTTTAAAATATTTCCCCCCGCCCCCCAAAAAAAAACCTTCACCACAAGCAGCTCCTGTGTGGGAAACACACGGTGGCTTTAAATCATTTGTTCATGTAAACGACTATTTTCTTTCACTCCAGTAAGTCCCCCAATGGCTGAGAAGCTCTGAGGAATGTAGGAGTGGCGGCCAAAACCACGTCAAGTCTGGCAATGCCTTGCTTTAGCTTTCAGCAACTGCTAAAACCATCCTCCAATGGAAAGGGGGGCAATTTCCAAATCAGCAGGGCTGGTATTGAGCTGGAGTGAAGTCCTCCCTGAAGTGCTTCTGTCGTCTAGAATGCTTCTCAACTACAATCAGACAGATCTTCTTATGTCACCAATTGAAATCTAAAGGCAAGGCTTGCCCGCAGATAGCTGCTGTTTAACCTTGGTCAAGTTAACAAGATGCCTAATTAAGTTGCCGAGGGACTGTGGGAAACCTTTTGCCTCTGTTTCAACAAGCAAATTGGAAGTGTAGTTTTTACATGCTTTTTAAATAGTGCAGCCCTTTCAAACACCTCAAACACCACAACATACAGTCCCAGAAGTGACTCCGCAGGTCAGGCAGCATCTGTGGAAAAAGAAAAGTGAGTCAGCGTTTTGGGTCCACGACCCTTGGTCAGATTTTTTTTATTTGAAAAAATGATTCCAATAGAATAGACCAATACTGTTACTTTCAAAAAAAATAAGTACGCCTAATGATTTTAATGATTAGGATTAAGTCATTTTGATGATCATAATTATCTTTCAGAATCTGGTCCTTGAAGCGTTAGCGGTGACCTGTGTCCTGAGCGAGGTGTTCAATCTCACATCAAGTGTTGTATTGGTTCCGTTAAACGTGTACGATGAGCGATTTTGAAGGCCACAAACCGGTTGAACATGGTTTTGGTTTCCAGCTTAATGGTGTTCATAATGTTTCTCCTCCTCTGCTTCTAGAGACTTCTTGAGTGTAAAGGACGGAGAAAGTATTTTCACAGCTGATCACTTTCCCCTGTGGTACAGGAAATCAGCAGAGCAACTGCCAGGAACCTTTGTCTACTCCATTCCGTTTAGCACAGGTCAGTCTGATTTTCTTTTTTTACCTTCTTCAAAAGACCGGAACACGGCACTAAAATGTTCCATTTTTTTTTACATTCCCGCACGGTTTCATATTTAATGTCAAAAAGTTTATTTTGGTATATTTTGAAAGCTTCTCTTTCACGGCATGACTCAATCATTTGAGCGTTACATCACCAGGAATATATTACAGGTAGGTCCCAGTTGACAGATAGGTAAATGGATCTTTTTTTTCACAACAACAACTTGCCATCATGTCGTACCCTTCCTGGAGGGTAATATTTCGGGGCACTTCATAGGGACGGTGCCAGACTTCGAGGAAGGGGAGTGGGGGAGAGAGGAGATGTCTGTTTGGGTGGACACTAAAGTTCCCACTGCACTCCTCGAAAAGAGAAGGGATTTTCTCCTCGTATCCAGGCCAACAAGCCTCCAAATGAAATTGGTCGCTCACTTCTTGGCTGTTTGTGGGACGTTGCTGAGAGCAAATTGGTTCACCTTACAAAATAAACAGTCATTACGGTTTGCAGTATATCCACTTTGAAAATGGCATCCCAGTATGAAAGACGTTCTATCAAACGTAAGGATTATTATTATTATTATTTAAGAAACTGCCCCCATCCCTATGTCTAGGACTTGGCAAGCACTAAAGTGGAAGAATGTGGGTCTCTATAAATAAGAGCGAAAAGAATCAGCTATAAATATTTTTCATGAACATTTATATCCAGAGATTTAGAAGCCAGGCGACGACAGCATTGTGATTCCATCGGGTCATCACGTTAGCATTCAGTGTTTCCTGGAAGTGCAGAGCGAAGATCAAAGGCAAATAGTGGCCTCGCTCCAACACCAATAAATGTCTCCTGTGGTATTGCCATTGTCATCAATATCAAACCAAGGCCAGAGGAGTAGAATTTATATAACAATAATAATCCTTGCATTTGATATAGCGCCTTATCAACAACAACAACGTGTACTTACATAGCGCCCTCTACCAGGGTAGCGTCTCAGAGCTTATCACGCCTTCGAGCACCTAAAGCGCTTTACAGAATATACTGTCAAATTAATTGGTTGTATATTTTTGGGGCGAAACGCGTCAGCCAATTGCGCACAGCAGCGTCCCACAAACAGTCGTGAATTGAGTGACCAATTTTTTTTATATCTAATGTTTGTTTTGAATGAAACCCTCCAATATTATACTGTAATATTATTATTATATTGTAATAATATGCGCATTCGATCTCCCTGCTTCCGCCCCTGCCCTCCCCCACCCCAACCCTCAGCTCGGGTCCATAACTCGGTCTGTCCAGCGTCTTGGAATGTCCTCCTGACGTGAAAGGCGCTATACAAATGCAATTTTGTTGTTGTTGTAATGTTTAGTTACTGTTACTATAACACACTGACAAACACTGAAAGTTACCGTGAAAGCAATCAACTTATGTTGGATTTAAATCATCTGAATCCAAAACAAACTGGTCTCAAAATGTTGATTGTTTTTCATTTTCATTTATATTGTACAATTAAAATTCAGAGCCATCACACAACAAGGATGTTCTCTTGAATTATGAAATGCTTTGAGACGTCTCGAAGACGTAATAAGGCGCTTTATCAAATGCAAGGATTGTTATTGTGAAACTGTGCTGTCATACACAAAACATGGAAAGGCTCTAGACATTGAACAAACTATTTATGAATCAATGGAAACTAGAACACAACAGTTGACTTTAATGGACCTACATCACAACATCTTTATACAGAGCCTCTACCTGCTCCGCCAAGTCTCTTCGTCTTGTGATCCTCACTGTAACGTAAAGATCAAATACAGTCATTGCACTTTGCACTAAATCCTGTGAAGTCTTTGGATGCCTCCTGGCTGTATCAATTACCAAGGTTACTTATTAATATATTACTAATCCTATCACACCATTGCTCTTCCATACCTCTGTGATCTTCTCCAGCCTCACTCTCCTGCTCGCTCCCTTCTGCTTGGTCAAGTCAAGCCTGTTGCTTATTCCTGGGTGGTCCACCCCACTATCATCAGCCGAGCCTCAGTCACTATGTCCTCTCCCACTGGAACTCCATCTCTCATTCCTCCCATTTTACCTTCTCTATTTGTCTTAAAAGCCCCCTAAATCCTACCTCTCTAACTGTTCCAATAGTCCCGTCTTCACCCTCTACCCTCTCACCCCTCCCCAGTGATGGGCGCCATAAAAATGCACGTTGTTGCTGTCAATCTTTCTCCTCAGTTTCTCTTTCACTCACTTGCCCCAGGGGGTGCAGATGGAAAGGCAACAGAATTTCATCGGCTGGGAATATAATCTGTAGATTGTAGCACAAAGGGAAGTCTGATGGTTAAGAAGAGTTCCTTTGTTATGGTGACTTGCTTGACACACCCCTTTTGGCCATCTATTGACCGTGGGTGCACATGTGGTTTGAACACAAGCCACAGCACAATTCTTTAGCGTTGATGCTAACACAATGCAATCTATTTTATCTTGAACAGACACGGAAAATATAAGCAGTGTTGTGACTGCAAGCACAACAGTACAGCTTTCAGACAACAGGAAATCCCCAGTGGTCGCTGGTAAGAACCATATTCATTCTCACTGACACTGTTTGTAACTTGTCTACACAGCAGATGTATTATTTCCCATCAATGCATCACACTTGTTTCATATATGGAAGTATTATTGTTCATAGTTTCCCCGGCACAATACAGTCACACCGTCACGCACCACTTTACAGTACAAAATATCCTGTGAAATACTTTGAGGCGCCTCGACGACGTAAAGCTGCTATAGATGCTTCAAAAAAATAAATAATTTGGTCACTCAATCCACGTGTGTTTGTGGGACACTGCTGTGCACAATTGGCTGCTGTGTTTCACCCACAGAATATACAGTCAATTCACTTTATGGTATATTTACATTTTACATTCAGGTGAGTGAGCAAAAGACCTTAATCTATTTATTATTGCCTCTGTTTCCAGGTAAGTTAGTTGATTCGCGCAGTGCTTCCCGGGGGTAATAATAATCCCTTCAAAAAAAATTGGGTGACTCACTCCATGACGGTCTGTGGGACACTGATGTGCGCAAGAAGGCACTATATCAAATGCAAGGATTATTATTATTTCTTCTAAGGAGTCAAAAACGGGCTTTGTTTCACCACCAGCTGGGGCAGTAAAGTCCTTGGCTTTAAACGTTTTAATTTTTTTTGAACTACGATGAGATTCATCTGCTTTTTAAATGCTGCAAAAAACACAGAGCTATGGAAGAGCAATGGTGTGGTAGGATTAGTAATTGGACAGGGATCTCGCTGCAGCTCAGAGTTACAGCAACGAGCCAGAGGCACTTTGTGATAAGTCTCAGACATCCTCATGTTTCCTGGATTTGACATGGTTACTGCTCTGCTCTGTGTTGGACAAGATTCCAACCATCCAACCATTTACTACGTTTTGGTTTTAACTCAATATAACAACAACTTGTACTTACACAGCGCCCCTCACGTGGGATAGTGTCCCCGAGCGTTTGACAGTGGCGGAGTCTGACACCGAGCCGTGGGGGTGGGGGGGTCGGGAGGTGACCGTAAGCACCATCAAGAAGGAAGGTCTTTAGGTGGAATTTGAAGGAGGGAGGGAGGGGGCAATTAGTTTAGAGGTTTAGTTGTAATAACTAAACTGCCAAAGTAGTGTTGAAAGCATCTCTGGATTAGCTGTAAGTACAGTGCAGTGGGAGTGGGTGTTGATTACCGTTCAACTGCCACCAAATTGCGTAAAATGTCCATAAAGGAACAGTCAGTAATCCTTGTTTCAGGGGCACATATTGGAAAGTGACCTATTTACTGGGGGTTTAGCTCCCCTACAACCATCTGAAAATGGAGTTGGTGCACTGACTGGCCATCCCTCTCAGTGTCCGCCAAGAGGGACCTTGAACCTATTACATTGATTAGGCTTTTTGGCATTTTAATTCAAAATGCTTTGAATTTCCAGATGTTATTTATAGACTAAAACAACGTCTGCACTTTGTCTAAAGCTTTGTGTGTCTATAAGAGGAGTCTTGTGCCTTTATTCTGCAAACGACACAAGTGCTGTGAAGGTCAAAATATCTCCAGGCTACTACCTTACGCAACCCTGAGCACTTGTACCCTGGGACCCTGCCTATGGGATTGTTTTCCACTGGGCAGTGAGCCTCATCAGGGACGGTTTGTGAAGAAGCAAAGTGAAAGGGACTATTCTAATCTTTATGAGGCTTCTCAGCCATGTTTGTACTTTATGATGTGGGATTTTGACGACACTGAATATTGCTATTCACCTCTACGCACCAAAAGTCAGGGCTGGCAATAACAGGGCTGCTTCTTCACTGAGTCTTATTCCACTGTTGTACGTTGATCCTGGCCAACCCACATCCCCCAAATAAAATAGGTCATTCACGTCTCCCGCCCGTCCCACCCCACCATCAGCGGTCCAGCCTTCAGCCTCTTTGCCCCCACCCTCTGGAACTCCATCCCACAGTCCCTCTGCCTCGCTCCCTCCCTCGCCTCCTTCAAGACCAGTCTCAAGACCCTCCTCTTGGTCTGCACCTTCAGCCACCCTCCTACCACCCCCTTCCCCCCCCCATCCACCCCCGCAGCCCTCCATCCCCCGCCTCTCCTCCCGATCCAAACCCCAGCTCGGGTCCAAATCCCTGACTGTCCAGGGCATTCTCCCAACACGAAACGTGTTGTGTAAATATCAGTTGTTGTTGTTAGCAGATCAGTTCAGTGTTTGTGCACGGTTGGGTCCTAGTGTTCCTTTGAGGAGTTTCTGAAGGAAATCCCTCTTTGACAGATCGTCGAATGCAATTTTACCTGCTTTTGACAGGGATGGAGCTTCCCCTGCAGTGAAGTCATTTAGTTCTTTTCTCTTGTCTCTATCCCATTTACTGTGACCATTTCTCAGCTGTTTGTTATTCCACTGGTCAGAGTTCTCATTCTGTGATCTTCGAAGCAGGCCAGCTGGATTGGCACTTGTTTCTCTGCTAACAATTATGGTAAATGATGTAATTGAGAGCTTATGGTGACTATGTACAGTGTAGTCCCATGACATCAGTTTAATTACTTAAATCAGAACGATGTGATATGTAGCAGGTTTTAAAAGTTGGCTCTAATGGCAGATTTGCAAAAAAAAAGTACCTACAAAAGTGCACCCTGATTTCCTTCTGATACGTCTTTATTTCACGGTGATTACAAAGTGTTTTTCACTTGTGTGGAGCTACATTTTTGCATTTTTTTTTCTTAAATGTACAATGGTATTCTGACAGTAATTGTTTGAATGCATTACCGAGATTCCTCAGTGAGTTAATTGTACCCTGCTGAGCAGGCAGTGAATTAACCGCAATCGTTTTGCCAGATATATCAGGTAATTAGAATCTTTGGGGGGGGGGGGCGCGGGGGGTTAGCTGGGGGATGCATATATAATATATATTACACTCTCTGCTGTTAACAGCAGCTCTTTCTTCCAGCCGTTAGATCACTTGAATCTAATCAGCCACATGTGCCATGTTTTCATCTAAATGCACATTGGGCTCAGACACTGTACAAAGACAAATTGTTTTGCATTGTTGCCGCCATCAATAAAATCAAAGTCCTGAATGCTGCCAAAAGAGAAAAAATAGGTTTAGCTTTGACTTCCCATTTTTAACTCCAAATATTTATAGTAAACTATCAGAATAAACTATAACTGTGTTCGTTAAGATTCAGTTAGAGCTGTTTTCACTGTGTGATATATTTGGCCTGGACCTGGTAAAGAATTGAGAGGTCTATTAAGCATAAAAGGAAAGTCCTGTTTTTCAGTCTACTCGTAGAAGGTAAGAAGCTGTTAAATAATGAAACCTAGGATTGATGTTGTACGGACAATCGAGAAACCTTTATTGACTTTGAACCTGTGAAAAATAAGTGTGCATGTATAACATCAACGTCCCCAGCACTGTGCTGGAGTGTTGGCCAACTTCTAATTAACTTGTGGAACAGGCTCGTGGGGTTGAATAGATTCCTCGTGTTCTCCTATGAATACGATGCTCTGGGACTTTATAATTGAGCGATTTGAGAAACTTTAATAATTTTCCCACCGTTACATTGCGGTCTCCTAACCAGATGGCTGTTCGCTTGAGTCCTTGGGTTTTCTGCTTGAGATCACCTCCCATACTGAAGACAAGCTTTGTCACTAGAGCCAGCTCTTTGACCTTGCCAGAAGATTTAATCTTGAGGCATGATGTGGGCGGAGTGGGGGAGGGGGGGGTTGGGGGGGGAGGAGGGATGGGGGGGTACAGGGAATAAATAAACCTGTTTCTATTCAGTAACATATTCTGCTTTCCCACAAACATATTATACATCACTGAAACTTAGCCTTGCCGACGATAAGGCTAATTATTACAATTTAAAACATTGTTCAAATTCTGCAGATTCACTAACATACTGAAAGCAGAATATGATTGAATAACCTACTAAAGGGTCACAGGTGCACCAGGACTATCTGCCAATGAACCAGTCAGTGGGTGGGTGCTCGTGGAATGATAGATCCCCAAGTAAAAAGAAAATGCAATTTATCGTGTTTAGGAGGGTTGGGATTTATGTAGTTGGAACAATCTTGTTATTAATTATTTCTAATAGTTATACATCTGAAATTGTGTTTCGACCGAACGTTGGCCACGCCGGTTTAGTTCCGCATGTGCCACTTTTCACATCGTTGAGAGTTTGTTCCATACCCAGTATATATTCAGGTATCCACACACTCACCTAAAGACGCTGCTGTGTAAAGGCAGCTTGTTGTTGCCGATGCCTTTCGAAACTAGCGTTGTGATGTGTTTTCAGTACTGGCTCTCCAGTCGAGGAGGATTCCAGTCAGTTTACGTGAGGTGACATATATGCACAAGTTCCCTTATGAACTGTAACTGAGATTGTGACCGCTGGTGATTGTTGGGCGGGTGGGTTGGTAATGCTTCTCCCAGTCACATTATGACCTTTTGGTTGAGTTACTGCATAAATTCCTCCGACTAATTATACCTAGACTGTTGTCAGCTTCCAACTTGTGCTTGTTTCTTGGATTAAAAATTAATCATTTGATTCAACTGATACAAAATTTGGGAACTCAAATTCCATGGCTTGTGTTCAAGGAGGAAACAATTCCAAATCCCATTAGCAGTTTGAAGCCAACCACAGCATGATCACAAGAAGCCCCATGTCTCAGGATTCTGAACTCAAATAGTCCAGGTTTACAAGACACGTCGCAAGACCCTCCTCTTCGACCACACCTTCAGCCTCTCTCTACCCCTCCCTTCCCCGCCCTCCACCTCCTCTTGATCCCAATCCCCAGCCCGGGTCCAAATCCCTGACTGTCCAGCACCTTGGGACGTCCTCCTGACCTGAAATCCGTTGTTTAAATGCCATTTGTTGTTGTTGCTGTTCACTCCAACACAGTACTGGGGAAATGTTGCATTGTTGGAGATACCGTGCTTTGGATTAAATAACAAAGTCCGGTCTGCCTGCTCCAGATGAATGTTAAACGTCCCCGGTACTATCCACATTCATCGACAAATAGACAAGTCACTGCACTTTACAGTTTAAAGTAAATCCTTTGAAGTGCTTTGAGATACATTGACAATGTGATAAGGCGATAGATTTTTATGAGAAGCTTGGACGCATGAGCAATAAAGGGCAAAAAGAAATGGGCGAAAGGTTATTGAAGGGGAGAAGGAGGGAGGGAAAGAACAGGCAGTGACTATCTAATTACCAGGCATCTTTCACCATGGCTATGGCCAATATCTGCTCTGTCAAACAAATTAAAGTTAAGGATATACAAGTAATCCACGATTGTTTGCGGGACGCTGCTGTGCACAATTGGCTGCTGGGTTTCGCCCAATAAAATGCAGTCAATTCACTTTACAGTATATTCTGTGAAGTGCTTTGAGACATCTCATTGAGCTGATAAGGTGTTATCCCACTTACTCCCATGAAGGCAGTAAAGAGAACTAGTGTGGTAGTGAAAACAATACTCTACCAGCAGAGAATTGGGTAACATGGCATAACATGGCCTTCACATATTATTGTAATATAACCTAGCCCCGCTACCAGAATAAATTGAGATCCAAAGAAAACTGAGCTAATTTGGGACATGTCAATTGGTAAGTATCCAAACCTTGCCCAACATAGACATTTTGGGACCTAGATGGGTACATTGCACACGGAGAAAACACTTTGCAATCTGTGCCAGTCTGGCAAGGAGGGCGTAAGCGACCTTTTAGTCTGCAGTTCCTAGCTTACTCTCTACTTGTCTAATCTGTCAACCTTTAGTGGTGCGGGCTTATCAACAAGTGGCTGCTAAGATGTGCAGAGTACTGATGTCGGTAAGCTTACTGACATGTGAGAATCAGACCCATTGTGTGTGCGTCCGGGCTATTGGCTATGCTTCTTGATGTTCCAGGTTCCTCAAGACCTCAAACGACCACTGCACGTGGACAGACAGATGGAAGTGCTTTAGCCCCGGGGCTGGGCTCAATATGCCGTGCATTTGCCCCTGTCATCTGATTGCATAAAGTCTCGGTCAAGTCACATATACAGATTATGCCTAAAGCTGCTGCATTCTGTATAGGTGCTTGACTTGAGCTGTGATGATTATTGGCTCTCAGTCACTCCCTTCGTAAGATAAAGACTAGCGCTCAGTCTCAGTCACAGAGAGCGAGCAGTGCACAATTTATGAATGGAGGGACATTCCTCAGTGACATCTGGGGACCTTCTCTAAGCGAGTGTTTGATGAATGTGTTGGACAGATGTTCTTCTGGTTCACAGGCATTCTTTTGTTTATGAACCATTCTTGGCGTAAGGCAAAACCCGATGGGGATTGTATTTACTGTAAACATAGGAAAGTACGATTTTCTCCTACAAAGCAAACTCGAGTAATTTAGAAAGCTTTTTATAAATTCAGTTCTATGTCTTGGGGCACGGCAGCATATTGATGCAATTGGAGAAACTGAAACAGATGTTCATCACTTTGTCAAACTCTTTATTTTCAGATCGTATCTGCGAGGCTTATTGATGACACAGGATATTTTTCCATCAAGGATACATTTTACATATTTTGCTCCTACATTTTGGTAGTCTGTTAATTAACAACTGCAAATGCATGCTAAAATATGTACATTTAAGCACTTAGACACCAAATATTCAATAAACGCGGAGATCTCAAATCATTTTAGTGTAAGCTTTAGAAAATGGAAAAAAGTTGCACAGTTACAGGTGATATACACATAACACAATGCACATGAGAATTTATTTATTCTGATGTTATCAGCTACGAATTCTTTAGTGAATTAATTCATTTATTTTACAGCAAACACTTAATACAAAATGAGGAGTTAAAGTCTATCTTAAAGATGCCCAGTTGCTTACCGCTGATTGCGATTGGTAATGGAACCAGCAGTAATGTGGTTAGGAGCAGGAAGTCTGGCTTTAGACTTCCAGCTCCAAGCTTGCATTGGCTGAGGAGGAACAATGGTTGAGGAGACGTTCGGTGGAAGCAGAAATGTCGTTTGTTTCAAGGACACATGAGATCGATTTCTGCTAGAAAATAAAATGTCGAATACAGTATATAGTTGGGGACATGACATGTCAAATGACTGCCGGGATGGTAGAAGGTGAACTAGATGGACCTTGGTCTTCCTTCACCTGCAAATGCTTATGTAGATGAAGATGGGAAAGGAGGGGGCAAGGTGGAGGGATAGAGGAAGAGTGTTCCAGGGTTTTGGGGCGTACTGGCTGAAACCTCAGCCACATTTGTGCCCTTGTCTTGTCCTCATTGATCTTCTTATTTTTCTTTTAGGAAATAACATTATGGGATACAGTACATAGTTAGTTTAGGACATGTGTGCGAGCAAACTCCAGGAAGGTGGAAGGCGAACTAGATGGACCTCTTTTCTTGTCTAGCATTTCTTATGGTCTTATGTTATGATCATGTCTTCAGCTTCTCTGGTGCTTAATTGTGTTGAGATAAATGTCTTGAGAGTCAATGCAACAATCTTTGATTGCAAAAAAGCGTCTTTGAGAAGAAAATTGTTGGCTGGTTGTGGTCGCTAACATTTCTGATAAATTTGAACTTGCCCATTCTCCTGATGTGAAGGGTGCTGCACAAATGTATATTGTATTAACATTGGGTCTTGTTGCTCAGAAACCAAGACAGAAAATGGCAAATCATGGTGGGGATTTACCGAGTGGCTCCTTCTCTTTGGTGCTTTCACCCAAACATTCCACTTTCTTTAGCTCACGGTGATATTTGGCCATAATTGCCGCGTAGCCACAGCCATAAATTGCCGCTGCCAACATCATCAGACAGACAATGCCACAGATAATTCCAGTTATTATAACCGTGGCAATGGCATAGCGTAGGTTGACGGGTTGTGGCTTGGGTTTGGGGGCACAGTCTGAATTGTCATCGCCGTCCTCCTCGACAGGCAGCGTGTTGTGTGCAGGAGAACTTCTGTGGTCAGAGATGGTCTGAGTGTTAGCACGAGATGACTTGTTCTTAGCAGAGGAACACAGCCGGTACATCTCATGAGGGATCTTCATAAGGTCCTGGCTCCTCAGATCTTCTGGTTCCGCACATAGGATTTCATCAATCTGGCCCCCTGCGACCAAAAAAANCCAGAATGCATCACAGCATTGCATTTTTTTTGGGGGGGATCGCTTAAGGCTTTTATAAAAGAACCCGAAAAGTAAAGGCACTTTCCTAGGAGCTTCACAATTTTTACATCTGGGATACTTAAATGTCTGCAGATACTTAAAAGGCAATTATATAAAATCGACGGATTTCAAGTCTTGTTGAGTTATTCTGCGATGCTTCTGACTGACTTTATAAATCATTATGTGGCCACCAGCCAATCAGATTATGTGACTCACTGCAGAAGTATAAGTACCCTGAGCTGGGCTGGAAACGGCTGATTTTTCAGCTGGTACCAGGTGGAGAATCTTGTGTAATTCGCTTGTTTGTTCTAAAATCACACAATGACTAACAACCAGGTTCTTAACTCTTAATTTTTTTCCATAGGTCGAGAGAATCTCTGGGCCAAGTACGTTTTTTTTACTGTACGTTGACGGTCAGAGGAATATTCCAGTAACATCAGGCACTGCTTTCCTTAACACAGTAATAACTCTAAATACAATTGATATGAAAATAAAACATGCAAACAATTTACCTGTTTTTTGGCCCAATTTCTAATTTTTTCCAAATTTTCTATGATTTTTCACTGGATATTTACACTCTCATTTGATTCAGTGCTTATAAGGTTGAACGTCTCAAAGTGCTTCACAGAGTTTTCTGTAGAGGTTTCATGGACAATTGAATGACTGACCAAATGTATCTGGGGGATTCTCAACCAGGACACTGGGAGGAACTCCCGTTGTTTTCTTGAATAGTGCCATGGGACCTTTAACAACCACCTGAATGGGTAGATGGACCATTTAAGAAGGCTGCAGCATTGGCACTGCAGCATTGGAGCACTGCATTGGAGAGTCAGCCTAGACTAGCAACTCAAAATCCCAACATGGTACTTATGAAGAATTAAATAAATTAGAAGGTTCCTCCATTCAACCAAACGGATTGAAAAGCTCCTGATGTCAATTCCTGGCAGCTGGATCAGCACTTGGGCATCACCATTGGTCTCAACACCCTAAACAAACCCATCCCTCCAATAATCCCTCCAAAACCCAAAACAATAATAAATTGGTCATTTTCAATCTACGACTGTTTGTGGGACATTGCTGTGCGCAATTGGCTGCCGCGTTCGCCCACAGATATGCAGTCAATTCACTTTACAGTGTGTTCTGTGAAGCGCTTTGGGACGTCCTCCCGACGTGAAAAGCGCTATATCAAATGCAAGGATTATTATTATTATTATTATCCATTAATCAGAGAATTATTTACCCGAGAAGAATCGGTCTCAGACCCTCGGGATGGCCTCCCGGTGCGAAAGGCACTATGTTATAGTAATTTGTTGTTGTTGTTGTAGTAATATTTTTTGCTTCTCTTGCTTTTATTAGCCATTGTTGTAATGTGGTTTATTTGATATCACTCAGGATGGTTGACTTCCTGTAACTATTTATTGACGAGAGATCAGCAATATTTTCTTTTCAACAAAAAAAAAGTAACAGATTTTTGACTGCTGCCTTTCATTAGTCCCCTCTTTCTCTGTTTGCGGATTTCCACCTGGGTTTAGGTTTACTCTGTTAAGCTGACATTCCAGAGTTCCATTCAGAACTTGGCAAATTATTGAATTCAGCCTTGACTTTGAAGCTTTTTTTTTAGTAGTTCTTAAAAGAAAATTAAGGCTGCGTTTCAGGATTGGCCAAATTCTGTACGCTCTGAAACATTACGTTAATAGAGTAAATCTGAACCCAGGTGGAATTTTGCCGCTGTAATATAGTGTTGTAAAGGTACAAGCGTTACTGTTGTAAACTGATCTCCGTCCCCATTTTAATAGTAATCAGATAAAACATTTCAGCGATGTGTTTTTTTTTGTCAATTCATTGTAAGCAATAATATGATTGCACACCACACAAGTGTGCCTTAATGTTCACCCATAAAAAAAGGGCCAAATTTTCTGAAGGATTATCATATATCATCAAATATAAGTTAATATGATCATAATGCAGCCTTTTCACCTATTGCATTCATGTTTTAGACTAGGATTTTTAAAATGTAATGTATATCTTCATTCATTACAGGCAAACCTGCTGAAATCAGATTGTGACCCAAGTCTTGTGAGATCGGGGTGAAATTCTAATTTAAAGCGACCTTATCTGTTTCATCTTTTATTGCAATGAAATCACCTGATGTGAACACATCGGGTCTTGATGGTCTTTTTCAGCACAAAACAGAGCATCCTTAACTTATGATTAATGATTGGAATAGTGATTAATGATTGCTTCTAAAGCTGCTTTATAGGGATTTGTCACCCACAAAATACACAGTCAATTCACTTGACAGTATATTCTGTGAAGCTTTTTGAGACGTCTCAATGCAAGGATTATTATTATTGTTATTGATACCTGTCTGTATGATTGATCTATGATGATTCTGAATAGCTAAAATCATATTTGTCTACTAACCTTTGTACAGAAAGCGTTCTAGCCAGAGTTTGAGTCCGTTCACTTTACAGTCACATAGCCAATGGTTTTGCTGCAGTAACAATACCTGCAGGTTTGATAGAGAATCCAGAATGGACCTGTCTATTTGCTGTAGTTGATTTTGATGGACAGCCAGCCAGGTTAGATTCCTCAAGTTCTTGAACAAGCCTTCAGGCAAACTGGTCAGATTATTAAAGGACAAGTCCAGTTTCTTGAGGCTTTGGATTGGATGGAGAGTCCTGTTGTCCATGGAGTGGATGGAGTTGTTGGCGAGATTCAAATTCTGAAGATTTGACAGTCTGTTGAAGGCGTCTGAGGGTAACCTTTCAATCATGTTGTTTGACAAATCTAAAATCTGCAGCTGAGCCATATCAGCAAATGCGGTGTTTAAGATTGCCTGAATGTGATTGTTCTGTAAGTACAGGGTCTCTGTGTCAGAAGGTACATCTTTGGGGACATCTCGCAGTCCATTATCTGTACAGTTCACCTCCTTCAGAGTAATGTTGCACAGACATTCTTCTGGGCACCCAGTGACTGATTGCACTAATACAAAGAGAAGAATTCCAAAGGTGATTTCACCTGCATTTGGTGGAAACAGATGTGCAGCAATTAGGATTACATTATGAGAAATCAATCAAGAGAATGCATGGAGATTTATTTCAATGTTTTTAGGGATGTGTGAATACAGCTATCAAGAACAAATCGACAGGTTAGTGATTTATGCTCTGAGATGACACATTTGAGAGGGGACCTGCTGGAGACTCTTAGAATTATGAAAGGATTCAATAAGATGGACATAAATAGGCTGTTTCTACTTATCGGTGAATCCAAAGCAAGGGGGGGGGGCGGCCTACCTATAATCTATCCGCAAGAAGATCTGAAAGGGAGTTTAGGAGGGTTGTCTTTATCAGACGTTGGTATACACTGCCGGAAGCTGTGGCTGAAGCAGAAAGCATCATCGTTTTTAAGAGCAAATTCAATAATAATAATAATCCTTGCATTTGATATCATGCCTTTGAGACTCACAGGATACACTGTAAAGTGAATCGACTGTAATATTTTGTGGGCGAAATTCGCGGCAGCCAATTGCACGCAGTAGCGTGCCCGCAAACAGTCGTATTCATTGCGTACAGAGAAAGAAGTGAACAAGTGGGTATAGGAGTGGAGAATAATCACTGGATGGACTGGCTGGGCTGAATGGCCTGTTTCCGTGCTGTGTAGTCCGGGCTAGTTTATTGTAATACAAAAGCAGATTCCTCATCCAGCGGTTTATTGTGGAGGGGATGGCAGCCAGTGACATGACCACACTGCCTCAATGCCCTCTAGTGAGGATGAGCCACTGAATCATGTTAAACTAGGACTGACCCACTTCCTGGGCTTTCAACAACCCCCCCCCCCCCCCACCGCAGTTTCCTCTACAGCCTCAATCCCTGTGGACAAGAAATCATTAGCTCTGCATCTCCCTCGGTCTTGACATTCTGTAACAACCGCACTTTAGGGAAAATGTTGTGAGATCTCTGTGAGATTCTCTTGTCAAACCAAAGGGTCAGTCAGTCAGACTGTACTTAGAGCCTCTGTACATTGCTCTCTAGCAGACTGCTGAGGTGAATGAGTGCACATTGCGTTGATACACACACAACTGTTGGTTGCCTCCTCTGCATCAAATAGCTACTGGAATAGCTGTGAGGAGAGGCTTGGAGAAGTTTAGGACTCTTCCTGTTTGGAGCAGAGAAAGTCGAGGGCTGACATAATCGAGGCATTCAAGATAACGGAAGAGTTTGGGAGAATTAATTGGGGGGGAACAGCTCTTTCTGGCTGGTTGGGGATTCAAGGCCGATAGGGAATGAATTCAATGGATGTGCCTCCGGGAGCAAAGGGAAAGGGTCAAAAGAACTTCTTCTACCTAGAGGCAATGGTTGGCCAGGACTGTCTGTCAGTGCAGTGTCAATTGGGGCATTTAAAAATAATTAGTTAAGCACTCGCTGAAGAAGGCTATCAAAAGAGTTTAGGGAAAGAGCACGGAATTGGGATTAGGATGGATGGGTTCTCGGAGAAATAAATATTGACACGCAAAAAAAAGGGTCAAATGGCCTTCGACCGTTCTGTATATTTCTACGGTTCTGTGGTATATTATACATTTATACTGTCTGACAACTGAACTGTTAGATTGAACTGGTTAAGGCAAGTTCATTTTAGATTCTTCGCTCGCAAACACTGTACTGCAAACCGAAACAAAAGCTAAAATCAGAGCAGTCTTGCCCTGCTTAGGAACAAACACGAGCAAAGTTTACACAAATAGTACATTTGTAAAGAGTCCTGCAAATCAGAGGGAGACACTGACCGAAGGTGAGGCGCATTCTGACACAGGGCAGAGGCATAAGGTAGGGGAAGGCAACTTTCCCTGATTTAATAAAAAAAAGACAAATTATATTTCATCAGCTTCTGACCTGTTGTAATGCAAAAAAAAAACACAGGGTTCGAAGCACAGTGACACTGTGACAAGTGCTAAAAAATAAGTTGGTAGAATAGAATTTAACCATAATAACAATGCTTGCATTTGATACAACACCTTATCACGTCTTCGAGACGTCTCAAAGGGCTTCACCGGTTACACTGTGAAGTGAATTCACTGTGTATTTTGTGGGCAAAAACGCTGTGGTGCTGAAAGGGTTAAACGAGTCTGGAGATGGGTTGCATGAAATGTAAAGCACGGAGGGCGAGTGTTTTATGGTGTATTAGATATCAGACAGTATAATAATATCAGGGGCATTATTGACAATAACAGTACAAATGCAGCATTCATTTTCAATATTCCGAGCGAGTAATAAGTCGAGCTTTAAAAACGCATACACTTGCCTTTCATTGCTGGTATCCGGGATTCCTTCCTTCTGGGAAGAATTTAAATAAACCCAGAAATTATTGTAATTGTTGTTCTGTGTAGAAATGAATATCGATAGAGACTTGAGGGCTCGCACTCTGTCCCAATGTTTTCTTTTGAATAAGGCCTCAGTCTCCCTGGGGTTTAGTACGGTAGCTGTTGCTGAGATGATCTGGATGGAGAGGTGTAAGGTGTTTTTCTCTGGGTTTCTTGCTGTCCATGGGTTCTCCTGAGCACTGAAAGCGTTGTGAACAGCAGATTTCCCAGCTCGCGTCATTCAAAGTGCCACATGAGCGGAGACTATCAGCTTCCAGATGACAGCTGTGCCTCACAAATCAACACTGATCGCTCGCTCTAGTTTTTCTGTGTGTGTTTTTTTTGATCTGCCTGAAGTTCATCGGACAAAAATAAAACTGCCCGTACCTCGATTCCACTGCGGATGTTAAGCTCTTCTGAGCCGTGCTTGACCAAACCTGAAGTCAGAAGCAACAGATCACTTTTCCGGGGATAATAATCCCTTCAAAATTAAAAATAATAATAATAATAATTTCGTCACTGACTTTGAGACGTCTCGAAGACATGATAAGGCGCTATATCAAGTGCAAAGATTATTATTATATACAAGCAACCCAGCATTGGATGGCAGTGTTTTTGCATTGCACTTGCCATCTTTTCCTGGTCTTGGAAGCTGAAGCCTCAGCACAGTCAGCAGAATGCTGACATACATTAAACCACGACTTGGAATTGGGAGAATGGCATTGGCATTTTAATAGCCCCATTTTTATTGATTTTATTTTATTCCTGTCCGCTCTTCCCGCTCAGCAAGCTCCGACCTGCCCCACATCCTCCTGCCCGGCCCGGCCCAGCCCGCCATCAGCGGTCGGGTCTTCAGCCTCTCTGCCCCCACCCTTTGGAACTCCATCCCACAGTCCCTCCACCTCACCACCTCCCTCTCTCGCGTCCTTCAAGGCATGTCTCAAGACCCTCCTCTTCAGCCACCTGTTTTGCTGTGTTTAGCGTATGTTTTTAAAGCGCTCTGGGACACTACCCTGCCTGGAGAACACTGTATAAGTGCAAGTTGTTTTGCTAGATTCATGCAGTGGATGTAGTCAGAGACCTTTTGAGTGCAATAACATCCTTGTTTTTAACAGTATAAAGAAACTCCCAGCGTAAGCCCCCTGTGATCTTCATTAATTATCTCATTAATGAGTAATTAATTATCCATTAGTTCAGTGCCTCCTGGAACATTGACAACGACTGGGTCTGGGAAAGGGAATTTCTTCTGGTGCCCTGGCCAACAATCTTCCAAATAAAATTGGCCATTCATTTTGCGGCTGTTTGTGGGACAAATTGGCTGCCAAGTTTGCCTCCAAAATACATAGTCATTAGACTCTACAGTAAATCCTGGGAAGTACTTTGAAATGTTTTGATGAAGTTGAAAAATGCTATGTCAAATACCAGCATTATTATTATTATTATTAACATCTCTTGCGAGATACTTATCATTCTCCACCTGTAAAATATCCATGCGGGATGTGCAATGCTGAAGTATAATTAACGTATTCCTTACCTCATATTCAAGAGTTCATCATGAATCGCTGAAGTTTCTTAAGCTTGCTAGCGTCCTAAACAATTCTACAAAAACAAAATTGCCAGCTGTTATCCTTTGCAAATAAGATTTTGCACACCTCGAAAAAGGTTGTAGTAAGGAATCACTGTTGCCCTCGTGTCATTGATCAAGACCTTTTTTTATCTAACCTTGCCCTAGTTTGATAGCACAAGCATCTTGGAGACACTCTCACGCTTGAATATTCCCGTTGTTACACAATGTAATTTTGCACGTTGCACATTTTTACATCGGAGTATTCACGGAATAGCTACCAGATGTGTAGGTTATCCTAACTACCTTATGTTAATCTGATGTCGTGATCAGACTCGTTGCAATTGCCGTGCCAAGAGATAGCCTCCGAATAAATAAAGGCTTTACCGGGAAGATAACCCCTTATGTGAAATAGATATGGTCTGAAATTGTCTAGCAGTTCCTTGTGATTGTGCTAGATTTATTGCCAGCAATCTGAGAATGACTACTTTGTCTGGAAGCTACAGTCCCCATGTCCAATTCTACATCCATTAATGTAATCTTCGTAACCAGACTCTACCTTGGAAAGTCCTAATTAGCTCCCTAATTACAAAGCAGTTCCAGTAATCCATGCATTCTTCTCCAACTGTATCACTGGTGGAAAGGAAATCACCTGAGTTAGTGCAAATGTGTGCTTACCCTTCGAATGGTGTTTCATTACAATTCTAGAAATGTGCTAAAAGATTAAAAGGCACATCCAATCAGCATATGTTTGTCATAAAGTACTGGCTCTTGAACCTTACAGTTTAGCAGTCTGAGATCTCCAGACTAGACGAGCGAGCAGGATACAGAGGCTGATTGAAAGTCCACTTGTGTCTACACAGCTTCAGGCTGCCCCTCTTGTGCTATTTCTATGACTTGATCTAATTTTCCATCCGTACCATAGACAGAGCTGGGTCAATTCAATGCCTAATCAAATTACAATTTGGGTATCATAAGCCCTGAGTACGTTTGAAAATGACAAAGTTGGGATGCGAAGAACTCTGCAATTTGCTTAATATTTATTTGTGTGTGGTAACTGAGATGCTCACTACTTATTGCTTACCTGGGCTCTGCCCTGGCCACACAAAATCCCTTGCGAATCTTCCAGGAAATCTTTATCGTAAGCTCGGCCTGGGTTTCTCACGACAGTCATTAAGAACTTTCCTTTTATTTTGTTAATGATTCTTATTCATACCCAAACCAAAGCACAACCCAAAGGAACATTTTGCTTGTGTGTCCAGCGAGTACGTTTGCTTTGATGTGTAAAAGGAATAGCGATTTGATGCACAGTGACATTCTCTGTATTCTGAGTACCCACGTTTATAACATGTGGATCACATTTAGATTGCCCTTTCTTAAAATCCTCGTACCAGATGGTGCTGTGAATGCTACAGTACCTTAGCCTAGTGTGTAGTAATGGGTGAGCTAGTGTCTGTACTGTTGCTGGATCTTGTGGAATGAGTTGGCAGCAATTTATCTCAACTCACGATCACACGCCAAGATTCCTATTTGTGCTTGGCTCGCGATCAACTAGGGTTATGTTCCAATGGAAAAAAAAGTCCCACTTGCATTGCTCTGTCCATTTCTACCCTTGTAATCCCCGCGCATGCTAATGAGATGACCTCTACAAACATTTAAGAGCTCGATGCTGACAATTTCTCGGAATAGATAATTCGGTCTATCACACCCCAGTCACTAAAAATCCAGGAAGGTTTCCATGGTGACTATATTCCTGGGGTTGGGGGGAGGAGGATCAAACAGAATTGCAGGGATTTTTCCGTTGATGAGGGTGATTTGCCAGCCAGTAGCTTTCCATGCTCATCACTTATTTTGTAACAACTGTTTAATAGAAATTGTAGAATTCTCTCTCTCTCAAAAGAAAACAGTTTTTTGTATCTCTGACCCTGCTCCCTCCCCAGCCCACTACCCGCTGCCTCCCCTCGACTGGCTCCGGCCTCCTGCATGCCCCTCGTGCCCTGCGTTCCACCATCAGCCACTATGCCCCGAAACTCTGGAACGCTCTCCCTCTATCCCTCCCCCCTGCCTTGCTCCCTCCTTCCCCATCTTCGGGTCGCGCCTGAAGACCATCCTCTTCGACCAGTGCCTACGGTCTCCTTTCCCCCAGCTTAGTGTTGTGCTCCACCACTGCCAAGCGCTCTGGGACGCTGCCCTGGGTGAGGGGGTGCTGGGTAAATGCAAGTTGTCGCTGTTGTTTTATTTGTTTTCTGGAATACGAGTGGAAGATTATTCTAATTAGAGTTTCAGAAGGTTTGTTACCAAAATATAATAACAATAATCCTTACATTTGATACAGCGCCTCAACACGTCTTCACAGGACACACTGTAAAGTGTAGTGACTGTATATTTGTGGGCGAAACGTGGCAGCCAATCGCGCACAGCAGCGTCCCCACAAACAGTCATGGATTGAAGTGACCAAATTATTATTGTTTTTTTCTTGAGGGATTATGATCAGGCGTGTGTGTGGTGTAAGGAAACTGGCCCAACGTTTCGCCCTGCCAGGAATCGAACCCAGATCGCTGGCCTGCAAGGCGAGTGCTCTAACCACTGAGCTACAGGACTCTCATATGAATCACTTCCTAACCTGCGTTGCCGCTTTCCTACCTTTTATTACTCCCGCAATTACCGGCTGTATTGAATTGCAGGAAATGATGTCCTGACCCGTCTGTGAATGTGCACTTACTGTTGGGAGCGCTGACTTTCATCCTCACAAAAGGCTACAAGTCCCGTTTAGAATTTTAATGAAAATTGTGTCAAGACATTTGCTCTTGTTGTTGTCATTTAAAGCTTACTTTTGGGTCAAAATTAATATCAACAATCTGACCGTCAACGTGACTTCCAAAGTGTCCTATTTACCATTGTGCATGTCCAGCCTTAACAGAGGTGTTGTTATTTGGAGCTTTACTAAAATATATATATCATTAAAGTAAAGGTAGATCTTTAACGCTGTTAACCCTGTCATATTTTCTGTGTCTTAACAGCTGTAGGAATTCAGATGAAGTTGGAATTTTTTCAAAAGAAGTTCTGGACTGCCAGCCGACAGGTGAGCTAAGTTCCATCTCCGCGCTTCAACTTTTAATTTTAATTAAAATTGCTTGTGTGATCAGCTCTTTGATAGCATGCAGAATAAACTCAAGGTCACTGGACTGACTAACGATAGAACACATTTGCATCAGGTTTTAGCTAAGTTGTAGTTGACGATTTAACACCTATTATGTGTTCCAGTGTGCTTCAATTGATGGCAGGTGCTCTATAAGCTGTGATGATGATGTAGGTATTTTCTTGTTGGTTTTGCAACTTATATTTAACATCTATGTTATTTAGCTATTTTATATTTACTCGAATGCCATGCCATAAAAATATTATGTTGATAATACTTTAAATACTTTTATAATCTATTTATCAAGCCACATCTGTAGTAGACCTTTCTCTATCGCTCTTCTGCTTCTTCTTGTTTGTATATTTATTAATCTAATAATAATAATTCAATATTTTATATTTCCAGACAATAAACTGTTACCTAATAGATAACAATGGATTTATTTTGGTATCTGAAAATTATGACGAGGTGAGCACTTTCTTTTATTGTAATAAAACATCTATACTCAGAAAAAATAGGTACATTTTGATTAACGTTTTTACATTGATCAATACTGATCTGCCATTGAGATCGATTCTATATTGATCTGTCACAGATCAATAGTTTCAGCTACTGACCCTGAGTAAAGCCTTTTGCACAGACATAAACTGAAAGGCTCATCAGTTGACACAACTACTTACTGTTCATGTGTTTCTGGTAAAACTACTGACAGTGTTACTGCTCCATGTGGGCCAATAGCAGATGGGAACTACTGATCAGTCAGCATCAAATGATAGCAGATAAAGAAACAGTCACTGCTTTATTTTCAGCTGTGCTTGTTGAAATGACTGTCGTGACCCAAGTATAGCCTTAGGAACAGGAGCAGGTCATTCAGCCCCTCGAGCCTGTTTCCCCCGTAATGTAAGATCATGGCTGATCTCATCTGTACCTCAACTCCACCGTTGCAGTCCATAGGCCTTAGCTGTGACAGAAGTGCTCTTGTACTTAAATTCAAGTCAGTTGTGAGGCTAAAGTGCTCTGAGAGGCGAACCTGTGTGGAGGGCGTCATACAAGTGCAAGTTGTTGTAAGTTGTTGAAGATCCTCAAGCAACAACCAACGCCAAAATATTCACTAAATTTGATGACTCTCGACAGCAATGAATTACGAATAAGATCGCAAAAAGCATGACATTTGCACAATCAGTAAACGTTAGCCATTTCCTTTACTTGCGTTTAAATTGTAGCTTTAATCTATTGTGATTCCTTCTGTAATTATAAACTGATATTGAACTCTGTGTGTACAGATATCTGTCTGAATGCAGTAACCCGCTCTGACACTCATTCACATGGTTCCAATACACAATTATTAAACAAAGCACACAGTTCACATTCCTAATTAAAATATTTCCAAATGTCTTGTCATTTTATATCGAGGTTGTTAAAGTAGTTTGACATTGATACAGGCTAGATTATCTAGGCCTGCATTAACCCCCAAAGTACCAGCTATCAATTACTAACGTCAGCTAAGACATGGCCAAGGCCAACGTATTTCTGAACCGCTATCTGATGTGATAAATTTGTAGTTGCGAGTGAGGCTTTATTGGATAACCACTGCATAGAAAGTAGGTGCTAATAACCTCACGAGGCAGATGGCTGGCATTTGAATTCATCCTGTAACACATTCTGTGAATAATCCCTTGTAAGTTTTCTTTCGCCTAAAAATAAATTTGATTGAATGTTCTGCTGGGGCTCAGGATTGGATTATCGTTCTATCTGGTGAGATGAGACTTCTATTTCGATGGGGTTCTCCTCTGCAGCAGAGGGCTGGAGAGAGGTGCTACATGTTCAATGTAAGAGAGTAATGGCGTGCAGTCCAGGGTTCAATTTTACTGATCAATCGGACAGTTTAATTTATTGAAATGGGATGTAACTGAAGTATAACTCTTACACTGAGCTGAGAGCTGTCAGCCACAATATGTGCATTGGGTGTGTGTTAGAGAATGGATTTGGGTGTATGTTCAAGCCACCAGGGTTCAGGATTGTGAAGGGAAATTTTAAGACAGGCACCAGGACGTATTTCTTTACACAGAACGTAGTGAAAGGCGCTGTATAAATGCAAGTTGTTGTTGCAGTAAACAGCTTGAACTGGCTACCAGAAAGCGTGCCTTAAGATGGGACATGAGACTCAATTAAGAAACTGCTTGAGGGTGTGATGGGAGAACAGTAGAGTTTGCATCCCGAATAGATGAGAATAATACAGGACAAAGGATCTTCTTCATCTAAGCCTCATTTGTGACCTTGACTATAGGAGCTGAGTTATCTCTCCTTTTGACACAAATGGAAGAGATCTGGTTGAAGCCAAACACCTGTTGAAATCTCATGAAACCACTTGTGCAAAAACAAAAATTATTAACATCCTTGGAATAGGTATAAAATCATTAATGTTCTCCCTCCCTCAACCAGAAATGGAAACCGAATAAAGACTTTGGTCAGAAATAAGTTGACAGGCCTCTGTATGTTATAATTATTATTATTTGTTTATTTATTTTTCAAGGGATTATTACCCTCGGAAAAGCGATCCGCCAATCGACTAATAACCGGGTTCCTACCTACTGCTGGTAAACAGAGGCGCGTGTGTGTGTGTGTGTGTGTGTGGAGTAAGGAAACTTGCCCAACGTTTCGCCCTGACCTGCCCGGGAATCAAACCCGGGTCCGCCCACTCGCGAGGCGAGTGCTCTAACCACTGAGCTACAGGAATCCACTTTTCCTTTCAATTGCTGAGCTGGGGTTCAGGATCAGTGCAGTCAAAAGAGTTTGAAGAGTTAAGTTGAATTGATGAAATAATGTGGAGTGAGCCCGAGTGAGCAACCTGATCTGTGTCTCAACTCACAAAAGGATTTAAATAGTTTCCACTTGACGACCATGTGTATAGTTCCACCGTAATAGAGTGGAACTTGTTAAAGGAAATGCTTAAAACTTCAGGGATCAATTTGGTCCATTTTTTTTACATTCTGTGAAAAATACAGTTTGGTGTATAGCGTAAGTATAACCTACGAAGTCCTGTAGCTTAGTGAATTGACTGTATATTTTGTGGGTGAAACGCGGCAGTCGTAGATTGAGTGACCAAATTATTATTATTTATTTAGTCATTTGAAGGGATTATTATCTCCGGAAAGCGATCCGCCAATCGACTAACAACCGGGTTCCTACTCACTGCTGGTAAACGGAGGCGTGTGTGTGTGCGTGTGTGTGTGTAAGGAAACTTTCCCAACGTTTCGCCCTGTCCTGCTCGGGAATCGAACCCAGGTCCTCTCGCTTGCGAGGCGAGTGCTCTAAGCACTGAGCTACAGGAATCCTTTGCCAATGAAACCCGGGAGTTGTACAGATTGTGTTTTGAGATCCACTTTTAACATTTGACTTTTGTCATGGGTTTCGCTTTGTAATTCCAAACCTAGATGAGGTAAGGAACTTCTCTAAGGAAACTTTAAAAGAGAGTTTTCTGGAAGAGAAAGAGGATGATATTTCTTGGTTCTGTAATGTTATACATAAGATACAACATTTTAACATTTACTGTAAGATTTGGGCATTTACCTTTTAAATTGTTTACATCTGATTGCAAGAGACTTTTTTTNAAGGGGAAAATACTGTAATTTACAGATTAAGTTGTATCTGGTTATCTTATGTTATAGGAATGCTGAGCATTGTTATCTATCCAGAAACCTGGGCCAATCTACACTGGAATTTTAATCCTACAGAGGTTTGCCAGTGTGCACTCATCTTAAACTTATTACCTAAACCATCATTATAACATAGAGAGAACGTAAGGAATCACAGTGAGCTTTAAGATTGTGGGTCCTGGGTGTATATGTGATGCTGCCAGTTACAGAGAAAATAGTCTGCTCACCAGCAATAGTAAGTTCACCCACAAAATACACAGTCACTACACTATACAGTAACTCCTGTGAAGCGCTTTGAGCCGTCTCGAAGATGCGATAAGGCACAATATCAAATGAAAGGATTATTGCGATTATTATTTGTATAATTCTCTCTGGTCTGTTGTGCTGTAAGGTTCTCATCTGCCTTCTTATGTGGGGTACAACAATAATAATAATCCTTTCATTTGATACAGCGTCTCATCACGTCTTTGAAACATCTCAAAGCCCTTCACGGGATATACTGTAAAGTGTAGTGACTGTGTGTTTCGGCAATTATCCCCATTTGGCTGCTGAGCCTGCTGTGATGTCTGTATGTTAATGGACCCCCCCCCCCCCCCCGTCCAAAGACCTTGGTAACTGTGACACTGAAGAAAATCGGACACGAGCCTTTCGATCTCATTCTCTTTTCACCCGTGTCGTCGCCGGCACTTTTCTTCAGATTGTTTTGTGGTTATCTTGCTTCCTTTTAGACTGGGACGTTTTTCGGTGAAGTGGAAGGAGCGGTCATGAACAAACTATTACTGATGGGCTCATTTAAACGGTAAGAGTCACACGGAAATCACGTGCCAGGATTATGTCAAACGCAAGGAATATTATTATGATCATTATTTTTATTAACCGTTATTTGCCGTTCCTCTCTCTTTTTAGAATAACACTGTACGACTACCAAGCCATGTGCCGCGCATCGACAGACAACAGTGACAGTGCCCACAGCTTATTGGATGTAAGTATAGTGAGCATTCTGGAAAGAATGTTCCACACAATGAAATTACCCACCACTTTAAGCGAAACAAATCGCAGACTGCGTATGTGTGTGTGTGTGTGTGTGTGTGTGTGTTTAGGTCCCTTTTACTAAATTAAAAAAAAATTAGGTTATCAACATTAAATCAGTGAATAAGCCTTTCAATTTCAGAACGGTTATCAATTAATTTATGTGAGGTAGATTAAAATCCCCTTCTTCACAGGAAGCCTATTACAGTACTAATTCATGCCTTTATTTTTGAACAATGTACGAGCTGTTTGCAATGAGTTACCTTAACCGAAAGTCCTTCAAATGCAAAAATCCAGTCAGATTTAATTAACAAAATGACTGATGGCTTCATTGTAAAAAGTTTATTAGGGGCCTGATAAGATGTTGGTAAATTACATTTATTACCCTAATATTTTCAGCATCATGAGCTGAGCTGTTTTTTGTGTATTTCGAGCTTTATATTTTTATGTCTAAATTCGAGCGGAAAGGATTTTTTTGGGGTGTACATTAAGTCCACCCTTTCCTCACTTAATACTGACGGCGAACACAATTTCCACAGCTGCACAAACTAATTCGGTCCTACTTTTCCACAGCCTTATTATGCCTTCTTTGCTGCAATCAAGTGGATAGCGACAGAACTTGTCTTGTAAGTAAACTCTCTGAGATTTGTTGTTCTGCTTATTGAGTCCGTAGTCACAAAACCCAAACAGAGAATCTCTGCACACGAATTTCACCCCCATTTATTTGTGAGCTTACGATACAGCATCGTACGTTTCTGAAGTACGTTCCCGTTTACCTTGAGGTCTCTATTAGTTCTTGTACAAATGGAATGTAGGTACTTGACGTGTGCATCTTCATTTCCTTATCTCTCCCACCTGCTCGCTCCCAACCCACTACCCGCTGCCTCCGCTCCACTGGCCCCGGCTCCTGCTTGTCCCTCGTGGCCTTGGCTCCACCATCGGTGGCCGGGCTTTCAGCCAGTGCACCCCAAAATTATTGGAACCCCCTCCCTCTCTCTCTCCACTTGGCCCCTTCCTTCCCGATCTTCAGATCGCACCTGAAGACATTCCTCTTCGACTGCGCCTATGGTCATCTCCCCCTCCCCCACCCACCCCAGCTCGGTGTCAGGCTCCGCCACTCCCAAGCATGTGAGGGCAGATATAGCAATGCAAGTTGTTGTTGTTGTTGTTGGCCAGTTATTCAGACATTTCTTGCCTGACCTGTTGTTCATATAGAGATCTCTTTGCTGATGTCTTCTCTGTCTGGTAGACATGGTCACAGCCTGAAACTCTAGAGCGAGAATCTTTTGTTTTTTTAAAAAAAAACAACTGCTGCACGAATGTCTTTACGACATATAATAATAGTCAAAATGCGTCGACTCAGTCCTGTTGTTGCAAGTCCATCATTGCCCTTGGTCTGGTTTTGCTGAAGGGTGCGCAGTCATGCTGTTGAGAATCCAGTCTATAAAACCTGCCCTTAGAGGAAGTCTACGTAGAGAGTGACATTCTTCCTCTCTACCTGAAGTGATTCCATTGCGGGGTAAGATTTCCCAGGAACAGTGACTCCCATGTTATCTGGATTGGCCAGTGTGTTCTTTACTGTATTATTTCCTTTTGACAGAGTAGCTATGGTACAAACTATGAATGTCCCCCTCGCATAACTGTTTGCTGCGGTGTGGTGTGTTAATAAGGGTATTGATAAATGGATCTTGAGAAGTTCTTGAAAAACAGCCAACGCCAACCATAAAAACGAAGGACTGCAGCCCCAAAAGTGCTGAGGATAATTCTGCAATAGACATGAACGTAGTGTAACGCTAGCTGTGTAAATAGTCTAACCAGCACTCTCTCTTTTCTCAATCTTTGCTAGATTTCTGGTGGAATTCAATCTTTGCAGTTGGTGGAATTCAGGCTTCACAGTAAAAGGTACCTTTTTTTTCTCCTTATTCCAGCCCCAGAAAATGGAATTATCAACTAGAGGGTCTCAGTGCTCAGATATCCTGTGGAAGTAAAAGTTAATTTGCGAGAAATCAACAGGTGTTAACAGTAAAAAAGGTTAAATGATTCGAAGGAATGGGTGAGGTTGAATGTTCTCCATCTACCCCGGGCTTCAAGTCAACGCTAGATGAGTGGAGAGAACAAATCTCTTGTCCTCTGTCAGAGTTTTACATGTAATGGGTTTTAAGACGAGTCTTGATTCAATAGGTTCAAGGCACAAAACTGCCTATAATTGGGCTCTATATTGGCCACTTTTATTTATTAGAATGATGGGGTGGGACGGGAGAGACTTCGCACGGACTCCACTAGAGGGTGTAGCACAGAGAGGGAGCTTTACTCCTGCTTTGAGTATAAAAACACATTCCACCTGAGAGAAATATTTAATTTGTTTGGTGGCTTTAAAGCTTAACGCATCTTAACACAGAGTCTGCGCTAAAACAAAAAAAAATCTTTTTTTTCCACCCACATTTACACTTGCTTCAGAAGTTTGAACAGGTGGTCTCAAGACCTTACTCTTCGACCGCCCCTTCGGTCACCCTCCGACCTCTACATCCCTCCTGCTCTCCCTGCCCTCCATCCCCCTGATCTCAACCCACCGTCCAGGGCTTTGGGATGTCCTGACACTGTGAAAGGCCCTGTGTAAATGCCATTTATTGTTGTTGTTGTTGTTTCAACACCAGCATTCGCTCCCAGGTCACATTGATCAGACCAGTGTTTGTTTTTGCTGTGGCTTTCACCGTGACTTGATGGTATAACATGGGCATCAGTTCCTCACTGCTTATTTAGTTCATTTGCTGGGTTCAGATACTTGTTCCTCCATGGCTGCTAATGTCCTAATCCACCATCACTCCCCTATCAAAACATCACTCTGTCAGGGACTTAGCTCTCTGAAGACAGGCAAGGCGCTTGTTTGAGTTTAGAATGTTTCTTGGCTCAAATAAACCAGAATATGCAAACGAATTAGTCCGTCCTGAATGAGTTACAGTCCCTATGAGTTCTGACAGCAGCTAAAACATTGAGATTTCCAGCCCTCAGTTATACCAATGGCAGATCTTTCAATGGAAATGGGGGAAACCTGTCATGTAGAAGATTGAAGAAGTATAATTTATGGATCTAATGATTCTCTGAATAACGCTATAATAGTTCCCAGATTGTTGCATACTGATTGGATCTCCCATTAATTTGACATTGCTTGTTATGGATAGGCAATTTCCCAAGGATCAGTTTCCATCAGCACACTATGGAACGACGTTCTCTGTAATATATAAAGCCAGCCTCCCACTGCGCAAGGATACGGTTTCACCATCTTATTTGTCATTGAACACATTTCAGAAATTGTTATCTGTTGCCTGATAGCAATGAAATGCGACTTGACAAGACACACAGAGAAATGTTTATTAAAAAGACAACAGGTAACATGATATGCAACATGCAGAATCTCTGCTGCGCTAACAGCAACACAACTGTGATTTTAACCGATAATAATAATAATTCTTGCATTTCGACACAGCCCTTAATCATGTCTTCGAGAGATCTCAAAGCCCTTCACAGAATGTACTGTAAAGTAAGTTGACTGTGTATTTTGTGGGAGAAACCGTTATCATTATATCGCATATGGATAATGCGTAAATCTTTATCCAGGTGCTATTTTGATCATATTTTGCCAAATATTTAAGGATGGAGCAATTCCTATAAGTTTGCCAAGAGCAGAAGCCGGGGGTTTGTGGGGTAGAAGCAGCCGGTTTTGGGAAGTGATTTGCAAAACTAATGAATATAGATGGGAAGACAGGAATCTTGCTCCTCCGATCCCCGCATGGCTCCATTCTTTCTTGACTAAAAAAACCTTGTACCATAGAATCATAGAATTATACCGCACAGGAGGTGGCCATTCGGCTCATCGTGTCTGCTCCGGGTCTTTTGAAAGAGCTTTTCCAAATCAATCCCACTGCTCCGGGCTCTCCCCGTAGCCCTGAAAACGTGTCCGGCAACTCTGATTACAATTTTGGCAGCTGCCATAATGGCTGGGGCTGGGAACAGAACAAGCGACCTGGCTGGCTGGCTGTTTTGAGCTGCCTTGCAAGCTGAGTTTTGTAAAAAGCCGGAAGGCAGGAGAGTCAGAGACAGGAAGGAATTATGGTAGCTTTTCCAACTGCGTGGAGCGAAGGTGCTCGTAGACACGACATGTTCCAGTACCAGGGAATTTACAATTCTAAATGGTCTGAAAACCATTAGTGAGAATGCAGAACCTTGTTCTGTCCCACTGACATCAATTAAATTCCCGCAAGAGTAGATTTAAATGGGATTGGAATTCTCCTGACTTGTCTCAGAAACCCGTTAGATAAACCAGAACACTCCAGTTCCACTTAGCTTCCTCGGATTTCTTTGTGTAACCTTCGGAGATAAGTCGTTGCTTTATTATACGCAACCCACAGATTGTGCCTGGTGTACGGTAATTAAATGGGAAAGCGAAGCTGTGGAAAAGCGGTCCTATTTTCTCTTTTGCCGTATTCAGCATTTCGCCCACAATATACACAGTCAATTCACTTCACAGTATATTCTGTGAAGCGCTTTGAGACGTCTCAAAGACGTGATAAGAAGCCAAATGCCAGGATTATCATTATTATTATTATATTCCATTCTATTCAATTTTCTGGGACTTATAAACTCGCACTTTTTGTTTAAACACAAACAAAAATGTTAATCTTCCTTTTGGGCAAATGATTCAAACAGGAATATGAAGCCCGGCACTGGAAAGATATGTGTGTGTGTGTGTGTGTGTGTCAGCACTGAGCATATTCTGACTTATTATATTGCTGTCCGTTGCCTGAAAGTGTGGTAATAAACTTCTTGTATGTGTGTAGTCCACAATTCGACTTTCCAGTAACTGAAACGTTCAACAAACATCAGTGAATTGTTAGTCCAATAAGTCGGGGACACCCCCCAAAAGCACGTTTCAAGTGGGAGGGTGGTTTTGGGGGAGGGGGGGGGGAGTGAGGGGGGAGAGGGGGGGAGGGGGAAGGGATGAATTAGATGTATCAGTATCATTTCGCCCACAAATATACAGTCAATTCACTTTACAGTGTATCCCGTGAAGCGCTTTGAGACGTCTCGAAGACGTGATGAGGCGCTGTGTCAAAGGCAAAGATGATTATTATTACTATTAGCTGCAGCAACACAGTGAAATTCCTCAGGATTGCCACAAGGGGGCAATTGGTTTAAATGTCATTGGTTCTCTCCCCCCCACCCACCACCCCCCCCACCCACCCACCCCCACCCACCCACCCCCCCCACCCCCACCCCCAGGCCCCCCGATGCCTATGGTACAATCTAAACCTCTTCCCAGACTAACAGATCAGGGGTTATTTTTTTTTACCAATGACACCATTCTCGTTAGGTTTGACCCCCAACGAATAATTTCTAGACGTAAATCCCGGATTTCAAACTTACCGTCGATATTATTATTTTATGCATTTCCTCCCACAAAACGTTAGATTCACGACTAACGCTTCGGTCAATTGTAATGCTTTATTGCAGCTCAGAGATCGAAGCAAGTTCTCCTGCCGTGTGACACTGAGTATCCAGCCTTTGTGTCTGAACGCACCATAAAGGAGACCACTGGGAGCATCCAATGCGAAGAATGCAGCAAGTAAGACCTTTTCACCATATATATATATATATAGAGTCGTGTTTGCCTATATACCCCCACCTACTCCTGCCTCCAAAATAGTAATAATTTGGTCACTCAACCCACGGCTGTTTTGGGCCACTGCTGTGTGCAATTGGCTGCCCCGTTTCGCCCACAACAAATACGCAATCAATTCACTTTACAGTGTACCCTGCGAAGCGCTTTGAGAAGTCTCAACGACCTGATAAGGCGCTGTATCAAATACAAGGATTATTATGATTATAATAATAATTATTATTATTATTATGGCGTTGACTTTCGTTTAATTCCGTGCTGTGTACTCTAACCCAAGTCAACGCACGAGAAGAATTTCAGGCTTATACAGTTATCAAATAAATATTTCAGAACTTTTTGTTTCGTGGAAAACGGCGGTTCGAAAGCCGACAGACACTTTTTGGTTCATTGCTCAATTGCCGGAACAGATTGGCTGCCATGTGCCATTCTGTCTGAAGAATTCTTGCACGTCTACACAAGGCGCCCTTGGTCTCCAAGGGCAGGGCAGGCTGGTTTGCCCTCTGAGATGCCATCTGGCTTGAAGGGCGCTATATAAATAAGTTGTTGTTGGACTGTGTTCATTTACACTGCGTAAGTCGTCTTGTGCTGCACTTTAACTGAGCGGGGTTATGTGGGTTCTATCACCCCATCACCCCCACCCTCCCTCGCCTGGCTCCCCATCCACCCCACAGAGGGTAGAGTTCAGAATCCTCGTCAGCTCGTCCGACCTCTGTGATCGCTTCCTTGCTGAGGTGAGCTGACGGGTTGAGCCACGGCTCAGCAATCATAAGGGGAGCGCGTCAGTGGTCGCTCGCGGGACACAAAGACACGTTAAGTCAAGTCCCTTCTCCCATCGAAGCCCAAACCTATTGGAGCATTTTTTTGGCGAATGTTCAACGGTCACCAGTAGGGGGAGCCTCAACGCTGTGTTTTGAGGCGTTGGGAGAGTGGGTTCGGAGGTGTAGCAAAACCACATTCGCTCGTCCGCATTAGTAGGAAATGATTATTAGCACTGGAATGTATCAGTTACACCATTAAAACCAAGTGCTAAAATGTGACAATGATACGGAAACAATCATTTCCATCTACAAGGACCTGCTGATGGTCGCGGGGCTAAGTTCTCGGGTCCACAATTTGTGAAATGTCAGGCGGCTACAGGAGCAGGAAATGTCAGAGTCAGAATAGATTAGATAGAGTTGTCAGGGAACACTGTGCGGGCGGGAGAGCTCTGCCAGGTCAATACTCCTGTAGCCCACGAGAGCAAGGAGCGAAGAAAACAAATGCCTTGCCTCGCTGGCAGCAAATAGCAGCAGTCGCGTCCAGCTCCAGGAACGTCACCCTGGGTTCGTCGGGGCTGCAGTTAGTAGCAGCAGAGGTAGAGTCATCAGAGGCACACGTCCAATTGACTTGAGCAAACGACTTGTTTGTGGGACATTGCTGTGCGCAATTGGCTGCTGCTTTTCTCCCAATCAATTCGCTTTTGCGGGATGTTCTGTGAAGCGCTTTGAGATGTGATAAGTTTAACTTGAGATACTATTTTCCTGCAGTAATAATAATAATATTATGTACTGTATATGCTGTATCAAGCAGCTGGTCAGAATTACTCTGCGTTTCTTGTGAAGCGATTGGCTGCCGGCTGGCGTAGGAAGCCAGCACAAGGTCAGCGAACCTCCTGCAGTTCTGTGACTTGACCTTGAGCCCTACAGTAGCCCCTCAAGTCAGTTATTTGCTCTTCACGCAACAGAGGAAGAAAATTTGGGTGTGAGAGGAATTGAAAACAAGCTTCTGGAACAGTGCTATTATACAGTTGGGTGTTTGACCAAGTTCACGAAAACACTCTCACAAGCCAAACAAAAGCTTCCAATTATGTTTCCTGAGCCAAGCTCTGTCTGTCTCTCTCTCTCTCTCTCCCAAGCCACACACAAAATGCAGAGACAGTGTTGTGTGGGTAACTGTTCCTGGGTTTGATTATCCCAGATCCTATCTGTCATAGATCAGCAGAGAGATGCAGCTATATATATATATATATATATGAGGGCAAGAATCGTGAACAGTATGCTGGTGAATTTACACGATGTGATTGATTCATATGAATTGAAATACTCTCTCTCTCTCTCTCTCTCTCTGTCTCTCCCCCTCTATTCTTGGGAGATTCTCAATGAATTTAACATTCCCAGTGGGTAAAGGGATTAGTTTGGTGGAAAGGTCACTGAACAATGTGAGGTAAACTTATTGCAAAAGCAGCTGTGGCGGATAAGTTGCCAATAAAATTCTATCAATGTTTGATGCCTTAAATGAGATTTTTTTTTATAGGTAACATACAGTGATAGACAATATTAGGAGTAAAATTTCTTTGAAGTGTAGTGACTGACAATAAGCATCTATGGTTAAATACTGGGAAAATAGTGAGGTGTCCTCCTGAATTGAAAGGCACTATATCAAATGCAAGGATTATTATTACCATCAATAAAGTTAACTCAACAGAAACGAACCAGCAGTCAGTCTCTGCATTTTTACACATTTAAATACTTTATAAATCCTGTTGAAGCAAGATCCTTCGAGACGTCTCAAAGCGCTTCACAGAATATACTGCCAAGTAAATTGACTGCGTATTTTGCGGGCGAAACGCGGCAGCCGATTGCGCACAGCAGCGTCTCCACAAACAGCCGTGGATTGAGTGGCCAAATTATTATCTTTTTAAAAAAAATTGAAGGGTCTATCACCCCATGATAAGCAATCTGCCAATCAACTAACAAGTGGGTTCCTATTTACTGTTACGTAAACAGAGGCATGTGTGTGAATTAAGGAAACTTGCCTAAGGTTTTGACCTGCCCAGGAATCAAACTCGCAACCTCTCGCTTGCGAGGCGAGCCCTCTAACCACTGAGCTACAAGGAATGGCTATTGAGAAGCAGTTACAGAATGTCTTCCTGTAGATTTTGAGCCAAATACATTTCTATCAAAAAGTATTCGCAGCAAGTGGGATTATCAGTAGGGGGCCAGGAGCCAAGGCTGAAACCAGCTGAACATCTCTCCCATGCGAGCTCTATAATAAATGCTAAATTATAGCCCGAATAAAAGGTACCTGGAAGTGATTACAATGCAGTGCTCTGAGGATTCCACACTAGTCACCTGTGCCCAGAGCTCAGAGTACAGTCTAATGTGTAATTATTTATAATATACAGTGTTTCGCTTTTACTTGTGGGTTTCCTGTTGATCAATGTTTCTGTACAGGCAGCAGCTGTCAGTGTGTATGCTGATGGTTAATGAGTTCCACATCCTTGATCCACAAAGACGTTCACACGAGGATTACCTAACGTGAGGTTATGTCTGCAGCAGTAATAGCCTGGCAACATCGCAATGTGTAGGGTCCGCATGTCTGAAGGGCTCCTTCTCCGTTACACAGTACAACTTCAATTGAATGGTATTCTGTTTACCAGCAGTGAGCAGGAACCCGGTTGTTAGTCAATTGGCGGATCGCTTTTCCGAGGGTAAGAATCCCTTCAAAAANTACACTCAACCCACCACAGTTTGTGGGGACGCTGCTGTGAGCATTCGGCTGCCGCTTTTCATCCACAAAATACGCAGTCAGTTCACTTTACAGTGTATCCTGTGAAGCGCTTTGAGACGTCCGAAGGCGTGATGAGGCGCTGTGTCAGCTGCCAGGATTATTATTATGAGTAGAGAATAGGGAAATAGTCATAAATATCAGATTATTTACCTCCACGGAAAATAATGGCAAATGTAACAGGGGGAGAAATCACAAGAAGGTGAAATTGAGATAAAAATGCATCTGCCTATAATGGCTAGCTTTATAAGAATATTTCAAATAACTTCATAGGACAATAATCCTATCGAACTCTAGACCTGAAATTTCAGAGATTGCAATACGATACCATTGGAAACCAGTTCTCTTGTTACTCTTGTTGGATTCGTGTAAAGTGGATTAGAGAGCTAAGTGATCCCTCCAGAATTTTTTGAAATGGATATTGGGTATGAACGGGTTCTTGTATCCCGCAGAAAGCTTCCTTTATGAGCAGCTACTCCATTACGTGGGTTATTTTCCAATCCAGGAAAAACAAACCGAGAATACGAGAATGATTTTTATATAAGTTTCTCGTGGGGTCAGTCTTGGAGTTGAAGAGATTATGATATTGCTTGAGATAAACTCTTAATGCCTCTCCCAAGTCCCAGTTGTTTACTGGTTCACTAATCTCTGTGCTGTCTTGTGAATGTAACTGTATCTGTTAACTTCTGAAATACAGTAATCCTGCCCCATGTTCTCAGGAAAGGACAGTAGCTTTGAATATACTCCAGAGGAGTGTAACCCAAACCTGTGGAACCTCTATCTAACCTCTGAGACAGTTTCCTGGCGTTTGAAGTGACGCTGTTATTTTTAAAGCGATTGAATCTTCAATACGATCGCTCGATTAACCAAAACTCTCTTTGGCAAATTTTATTCTCGTGGCTTGTCGCTCGATTTAAACAATCTAGTGATGGAAAAACTATTTGTGTGGCCCAAGGTGTAATGTGTCACAATTCGACTCGTGCTTCAGATGAGGACCATAAATGGATATTGGTTATGAACTGCGTGACTGTATTCTGCAGCGTTCTTTGGGACGTTTCGAAGACGTGATAAGACGTGATTATTATTACAGTCCGGGTGGTAGAGCAGGTCACTGAGCTGGGAGCCTGATGTAGTATATTAACGGCCGGTCAGTCATCTGACACCAGATGGACTTGAGGAAAATACATCAATGTCGTTGTCCACTTCAGCCTCATGTGCAACATTCTCACTAGAAATTTGCCGTTCCCAGTTGTCTGGTCAAGAGCTGACAAAGAGATGTGAAGTGACTGACATCCATCAAGATGGGAAGTCAATGCATTAATGACAAGTCGAGGCCACCTATAAAAAGGTTGAAATATAATACAATCTGGTCTTTACCATTTGGGTTTTACCATTTGACC